CAGATATAAATTTACATTTGTATCAATATACAAATATTTCAAATAAGAGTAGAAATATATGTACATTATAACAAATACAGTTCTGTATTTGTATCAATATACAAATTATCTTAAACAGGAATATAAAAATAGTTTACATTTGTATCAACATATAAGAATCCATAACAGTGCAGATTATCTAAGGCTGCTACTTTACTAAATTTGTTTACTAGTATATACAATAATCTACCATAATATCTTATACCTATCCATTCCACTTTTTCTTTTCTTTCCTTTTTTTTGGGGGGGGAACACTTTTTCTTTTCTTAAGGAGAATGCTGAGTCTAATATTTTCTTCCACCCCCAACCCTATAACCATCATCCATAACCCTGATAAATATGAAACCTTTGAGAGAAAGGGCGTTGTTTTCTTAGAATTGCTTCCTGCTGTTTAGGGGGTGATGGTATCTCTGTTGGGTACTGTAAGAAAGCTCAGATAGTTAGGTCTCAGTTAGACTAATTGTAGATTTTGCAGCAAGTCTCAGAGTAATGGGTAAGACTGTCTGAAATTCTGGCTAGAAGTGTAGTATGATGATGAGTACCATGGCATCATTCTGGACTGGGTAGAGTTGTTGTTGTTGTTGGGGCCCCATCTTCCTTCTGGAGACTTCAGAGATTGCTATTGGAAAAACTTATTTTTTACCATGAAAAACTTGAACATTATTAATATATCAAAATGGAAAGTTTGGATTTAAAGATGACATGACATGTAAGAAAGGATTCTGAGACATCAAGAGTAAGCATGGAGAGAATTAGAATCTTGAAGACAATGGTCCCTTTTATTGGTTTCCTTCTGTCCCACACCAGAGGGCTCTTCTGATATGGGACTGAAGAATCTCTCAACCTTTTTTTTTTTTTTTTTTAGCAATATGCTTGGGTTTAGAGAAGGAGTGAGCCAATTCCATTTCCAAAGCCAGCTTGGTTTATAATTGAATTAGAACCACAACTTTTCTAGATTGAAAGAGATATAGATGTTAGGCAGTGAGATTTTACCCTGTGTAGATTGGTACCAATAGATTCAGATATTGGTTAAAATATTAAGGCAACTCCACATATTTAAAAGGGAGGTTTATTTTGTGGGGTAACTTACAAGTGAAGAGATAGGTTACAGGGTCTGGGAAAGGTGTAGTGCAGTCAGGAGGTGTTCTCTGGAAAACTCTGCTCGGTCTACCTTCAGCATCCAGGGTCCAGGAACCAAGAGAGCCAGCCCATCCAGATCCCGGGTCTTCAAGGGTCCTCTCTCGGCTCCACCTTGTAGGCGTGACAGTTATGGAAATAGTGGGGGTGGCCCTTCCAGATCAAAGCTGAAATAGCTACCCACTACAGATCATTCATCAAACTCAATAAAAAAAGGAGCAGTTATAAATGAAACAGCCCATCAAATAACAGAAGAATCTATATTCTTCTCAAGTGTACATAGAACATTTTATAAAACATGTAAAAATATTAGACCACTGCCATAAGTACACTGTGTTAGAAAAAGATTAATGTGTTTCTGTCTCTTCATAATATCAGAACTTATTGAGTAACAATAAATTCACTAGGTATTTATCATGGTTTCAATGGCAATAGCTTACCAGATAATACTTCTTTTTTTGGTGACTCTGGCTGAGGCAAATATAAAGTTTTTTGTTAAAACATTCTTAATTACTAATATTAACTTTCAGGTTATGCATTACACACACACCACTCTCTGTGTATGTGTTAGGGATACTATTGCTGTGATGAAATACCCTGACCAAACCAACTTGGGGAGGAAAGGGTTTATTTGATTTATGCTTCCAAATCACTGTTCATGTTGAAGGAAGTCAGGACAGGAACTCAGAAGAGGCAGGAACCTGAAGGTAGGAGCTGATTCAGAGGCCATGGAAGAGTGCTGCTTATGGCTTCGTTACAGTTTCAGAGGTTAGTCCTTTATCATCATGGTGGGAGCATGGCTTGGAGCAGTAAGTGGGAGCTGCATCCTGATCTCTAGACAGACAGACAGACAGATAGGCTGGGCCTGGTGTGGGCTTTTGAAACCTCAAAGCCCACCCCGAGTAACATGCTTCCTCCAATTAGACCACATCTCCTAATCCTTTTAATCCTTCTCAAGTCGTGCCAGTCCCTGATGGCTAAGCATTCAAATATATGAACCTTTGGGTCCATTCTTTTTCAAACAACCACAGTGTGTGTGTGTGTGTGTGTGTGTGTGTGTGTGTGAGAGAGAGAGAGAGAGAGAGAGAGAGAGAGAGAGAGAGAGAGAGAGAGAGAGAGAGAGAGAACAAAGAGTTAGAGAGGATTTTCAGAGAAACCAAAGCTAGGAAACCAGATGGCACAGTCATTGAATCCTGAATCAAACTGTGAGAAAGAAGCTGAAGAAGCTGTGATGACTCTGAGTTGGCATTTCAGATACATGTTTGAGAGCAAAGCTATATAGTTGAATGTAGCTGAAGAGGCAAAAGATAAATACTTAGATAAATTCCAATTACTTACCACAACCTTCCAACAAAGGAAGCCTTAGGACCTGTGGGCTTCACCGCTGGATTCTAATTTGTGTTATAAGGCCAATATAATGCTAATACCAAAACAGCCTTGACAACAGAAGAAAATTGCTGGCCAGTATCCTTAATAAACATGTTATAAACATTCATTCTTTACAAATTACTAGCAGACAGAATTCACAAGTGCATACACTGGGGTGAGTGGGATGAATCTCCAGCATCCATGTAAAATGGATGCCTGTAATCCCAGCACTAGGAGAATGAGAGACAGACAGATCCTAAGGGCTTGCTGGCCAGCTAGCCTAGCCAAGAGCGTGAGTGTTCAGCTCAATGAGAGATTTTTGTCTCAAGACAATGGACTGAGAGTGATAGAGGAAGATGCCTGGTATCCTGCTCTGAGCTCCTCTTGTACACACATATGAGCACATTATCACACAGACCCCATGTATGCTCATACAACATACACACTGTCATATGTAGCTAGAGTTTTCCTGCCTGGCCCACAGTCAGGACAAATCTCTCTCACCTGCCAGTCCCACAGCCGCTCAGACCCAACCAAGTAAACACAGAGACTTATATTGCTTACAAACTGTATGGCCGTGGCAGGCTTCTTACTGACTGTTCTTATATCTTAAACTAATCCATTTCTATAAATCTATACCTTGCCACATGGCTCTTGGCTTACCGGCATCTTCACATGCCGCTTGTCATGGCGGAGGCTGGCAGTGTCTCTCTTCCGCCTTCCTGTTCTCTCAATTCTCCTCTCTGTTAGTCCCACCTATACTTCCTGCCTGGCCACTGGCCAATCAGTCATTTATTTATTGACCAATCAGCAACACATTTGACATACAGACCATCCCACAGCAGTCATACATCATGATTAAGTGGGATTTATCCCTAAAATGCAAGCTTCACTTGACAGTGTACAAACAAAATGTGATATATCACACTGACAGCATGAGGTGTAAAAGCATAGTCATTGCTAGAAGAAGAAAAGACTTGAAAAACAATTCAAATTTTCCATCACTAGAAAAGTTCTCTAAAAATTAATCATAGAAGGAATATAGTTTCATGTAATATGTTTTCCACATATGACAAGCCTACAACTAACACTGTATTCAGTGGAGAAAGGCAGTCTTTTCTATAAGATTAGGAGCACAAAGGCATTTTCACCATTCTCAAATGAAAATGTGCCCTGTCCTGTCTCTGTACAACTACCTACTTCTCTGTGGATCTCCCTGATTTTGGACATACTAAATGTCCATCAATAGGTAAATGGTTAGATGAACAATGGTGCATCCATGTTATGGGCTCTAATTTATAACAAAAAGGACTGCTTGATAAATCCAGGATTGTGCTGAGTAGAAAGCTAATCATATATGGTTACATTCTATATCAATCTTTATATAATTTTTTAAAAATTATGTAATTATAGAAATGATCACCAGCAATAAGAATGTACAAGAAAAATCAGGAATGGGAAGACACAAAGGGAACGTCACAGTAAATAGACAGAACAAGAGATCTTGTGTCTATTTTAGTTCTTGCTGTGGTAGAAAATACATAAGCCTACATGTAAAATTGTGTCAAAGTCTCTTTCCCACTGGTTGGTGGTGGCACATGACTTTTGTCCCAGCATTTGGGTGTCAAGGCCAGCCTGGACTACAGAGTGAGTTCCAGGAATGCCAGAAAAAAAAAACAAACACAGAAAAACCCTGTCTTGAAAAACCAAAAGGACAAAAAAGAAAGAAAACAAAACAACAACAAAAAAAGGTATGTGGGGGGGGGGGGGTTTAAAAAAGGTCTCTTTCCCATAGGAAAATGAGCAAGTGGAATTTAAATGTAAACGTAAAACACAACCCTTTACAGTTGTACTTCCCAAAATGACATGTTTATGTATAAAACAAAGTAGGTATAAGAGTTAAGTTACTGTGAAATAATTGTCATGAATTGTTTTAATTTTATGACATACTAGACAATTTGAAGCATATTAATCATATTAATTGAGTATTGCTGACTTTAATCGAGTATGAAAAATTTGTTCAACTTTGGTCAGATTGGAGTCTCTTGATTCTCGGTTAATGAATCTTGCTGATAAGGTGTTCCCTTATCTAGGCATTCACATTAATGCTTTCACGGTATAACTTAATTCATTCATATTAGTATAATACACACATACACATGACATTTACTTTGCCCTCAAGAAGCTTGTAATATCTTGAAAAATAAGACTTATAGGAAACAACTATAATTTACTACAGATTGTATGATAAGATAATAAAAAGAAAAATCTCATTTAGTTGGGAAGCATGAAAATGAAAATCAAAAAGTCCAAAGAGGGATGTAAGATTTGAGAACTCATGGTCTTTGACAAGAAAAAAAAATGTCCTAAAGCTTCCAAGGTAGTAATCTCTGGGAAGCAGCAATGTAATAGGCAATTACTTATGGATTAATTAACATTCTTTATTCTGTGTGTAGATACCACCTCATTGGTTCCTCCTCTGCTGTATGTGTAATCTCAGATCAAACTGTTGCTTGGGATAATGAGGCACCTATTTGTCAGAGTAAGTTGAAATTTTTATTTTTATTACCTTGACTCATGTACTTTAAATTTTCTCTGGAATTATATGTATATTTTTGGAGGGCTGAGATTGAACCCAGGGCCTCATGCCTTTTAGGAAGAGCTCTATCACAGCTGTAAACCTAAAACCCTGTAAGGGATTTTTAAATCTTTATTAAAATTGCTTTTGTATAATCTGTTCTTTAAGTAACTGAAGATGTTCTGGCTAGTGTCAACTTGACATGAGCCAGAGTCATTTGAGAATAAGGACTTTCAATTGAGAAAATGCTTCCATCAGATCTGGCTATAGGTAAGCCTGTATGGCATTTTCTTAATTATGTGGGTGGGCTTAGCCCATTGTGGGAAGTGTCAGTCCTGGGCTGATGGTCCTGGGTTCTATAAAAAAGCCAGCTGAGGAAGCCATGAGGAACATAACCAGCACCCCTCCATGGCCTCTGCATCAGCTCCTGCCTTCTGGTTCCTTCCCAAACTGAGTTACTGCCTTGGTTTCTCTCACTAGACTGTGTTTCTGGATATGTAAGCCAAATAAACTCTTTCCTCCCCAAGTTGCTTTTGGTCATGGTTTTGCATCACAGAAATAGGAACCCTAAGACAGAAGACAACTGCAACTTCCTTTAAGTTCTCCTTTGTCCTGGGATGTTCCCTTTTTTCTTTTCTTTTCTCTTTCTTTCTTTCTTTCTTTCTTTCTTTCTTTCTTTCTTTCTTTCTTTCTTTCTTTCTTTCTTTCTTTCTTTCTTTCTTTCTTTCTTTGTGATATTTACCTTCTTGAGTCTGGCTTATTTCTTTTAACAAGATGATGCCCAGTTCCATCTGTCTTCTTGAAAATGAAACTATATTCCCTATGAGTGAATAAAACTCAAATGTGAATGTATAACCTGAAGAAAGTGCAGAAAGCATGAAAATAGTAAGAGGACCAAGGCTAGGGGGAGCACTAGAGAGAGTAATAGCATAAATTAAATAATATCATAGGGCCTGGTACTAGCCGAAATTTCAGACTTCTAGTGGTGGTTTTGCAGTGTGTCTCCCATGGATAAGTGGAACCTACTTGATAGCTTTCTCATACCAGGAATAGAAATTAGTCATCCTAGAAGGAAATTCTTGTTCTGCTTTCCTCCAGCCTCTTTGTTGTGATTGTTCCAGATATCTGACTCATACAACCACACCCTGGTGACCACTCTTCTATGGAATAGCTAGATAAAAGATACTGAATGGCTCTTCTAACGCCCACATCTTACAGTAGTTTCACTCACGTGCATATCCTCTTACAATTCGTGCCTACTTTGACTGAGCTCGCTGGTTAATGGAAACTTGCCTGACCAACACTGGGATTCCAATAGAGATTTGTCCCTTAGGTCACTCTGGGGCCTTCTCCTCACACTGACTGGCCTCTGTTTTACTTCATGTGTTTCATGTACCCTCAGAGCATACAGAAAATAAAATCATTTTTGTCTTGTTTCTGTAATCAATTGAATACTGTAATCATGGAATACTGTAAATTAAAATATACCCTGCTGGGCAGTGGTGGCACAGGCCTTTAATCCCAGCACTCAGGAGGCAGAGCCAGGCTAGGATCTCTGTGAGTTCGAGGCCAGCCTGTGCTACAGAGTGAGTTCCAGGAAAGGCGCAAAGCTACACAGAGAAACCCTGTCTCGAAAAAACAAAACAAAACAAAAGTTTAGAAATAATATATATACCCACACACAGCTCTTTTAGATTAGATCCCTCCTTACTGTGGCTCTATCAATTTTATATAAAACTATCATCCTTGAGCCTGAAAAACTTTTTTTTTTTTAATTTTGTAGATCTGGAACTTTATTATTGAAACACTTTCCTTTTTTTGGTTCCTTTTAGTTATTGTCTTTTTTATGACTGCAATTAGGCTGGTGGAATTTGATTTTATAACTTTGGTATATCTAGATGAAGAATTAGTTGAATTTTGTTGTTGAATTTGTATGGCTTCCTGAATCCCATATCTTTCATCAGCTTTCTTTAGTGCATGGTTTCATCCCTCTATTCTCTGTGTAATGCTGCCAAAGTACATGTCATTCTTCTATACCAAAGGCACTGCTACCACCACTGCTTCTTTAAAAACCACCCAGGAGACAGATTACTGGAGATCATTTTTTCAAGTCTGGGTTGGGGAAAAATGGGTAGCAGTTGTGTTCCTGTCAACACAGTAAACACAACTCTCACCTCAAAGGAGAAAAGAGATAGTTTATTCTGGAGCCAAACATGAATGACCAAGACCAGAGAACACAGATTTAGGTTACCTCAAATTCCATGATCCAAGATGGCAACATTTGATGTCAATGCAAAAACTACAGCTCTTATCTTAAAAGGAATAAGAGATCGTTTATTCTGGTGCTATTTTAATTGACTATGGCCCAGGAAAACAGATTTAGATTCCCCCAATTCTTTGTTCTAGTGTGGAAGCAGTTTCATAGTTTTATAGAACAAAGAAAGTTATGTCAAAGCAAGTTTAATTTAATTATTTAATTAATTATGGGTACATCAGAGAGGCAATTACAACAAGATGGGGAAAACTTTTCTATAGACCTAAGATCATAGCTGATGACATTTTTAGCTTTTTGGCTGGTGGAAGCTAGTGATTTGCTAAGTTAATAGATCCCAAAAGGTTTCTATCTATTAGTAACAGAATGTTAATTAAGACACATAGGTGGGGAAGGAATGGCTGTTCTGCAGGGCTAGAACTAGCCCAAGATAGGTAATTAGCCTCTGGACCTACAACATCCTGATCTCACTAGTACTGAAGTTTTAATCAGCCCAACCAGTCTCTGCATACACAGCTTCTTTTCAGAAATCTCTCCTCACAAAGTTTCTAGATTAGCAAAACAAAAGAAGTCATAATCAATGTGCTTATAAAATACATTGGTGGAAACATTAAGTAGGTGGGCTGAGGTAAAACAGAGAAACCTCTGCTAGACCTCAGATGCTGCCTGATGGTATTCCTAGACTTTTGATTAGTAGAAACCAGGGTTATGTTAATATATCCAAAATAGGTCTTTTCCTGTTAGTCACAGAATATTAGGTTTGACACAGAAGTAGACAAGGAGTGGCTATTTAGAGTACTAAAGGTAGCCCAAGATGAATTGTTAATTAGGCTCTGAATCTGCAAAATCATGAGGAACAGCCTCCTTCCACCCCAACCCCTTCCCCTGATATATAATTAGCCAAGAGAGTGAGACGATACTTGGTGCAGAAGTAATCTCCAGAGGACCACCTTGCTTTCTCAAGCAGTAAGGACTTCTTCAGATCACCTTGTAGGACCAGGGCTGAGACAATGATCAATGAAAGGAGACTATAAAACATAGAGCAGGGAGGACCACAACTGCCTAATCATAAATAACTCTTGTCCTTTGTCCCAATTCTTCCTCTATAAGCTCCTGTCAATACCCAGAAGACAGGCTTTGGGGTCAATGAGCCTCTTTTTCTCCTCCTTTTTCCTGTGTGTTCTCTTTGAATAACTCTCCCTTCTCTGCTTTTTGCCATCTCTTTAATTGGCTTCCTGGGAACGAGTGGCCAAAACTAGACTATTAGGCCTACTAGAGCCCTGTTATAACAACAAAGCAGACTGAATTACAGAGAAACCGTGATTGAAGTTTTGGGGGATGAGCTAGGTTAGAGAGACTCTCTTTGAATGATTAACATGCTTGCAGGTGACTCAATATAAAGGAGACAAACACAAAATTAATGAAGTCAGTTGCTTATCACTGTAATGAAATAATTGCGACAACTACCTTCTATGATAAAGTATTTATTTCAGCTGACAATTTTGAAGGGTCCATTCCCTGATTTTGTAGTTCTATTGCTCTGGGCCTCTACTGAGGCAAAACCTCAGGGCAGGAGCTTGTGGAAGTGATGAGCCAAAGCAGAGGGAGGAAGAGTCAAGGTCCTACATTTTCTCAAGGTCACATCCTCAGTGAACTAAGCATTTCCCAGGAGGCCAAACTTCTTAAAAGTTCCACTGCATTCATGCCACCCAGAACACCAAGCCTTTAGTACTTGGTTGCTGTGGAAAATTTACTCATATTTAAAACACAGCAATAACCCACACTCTTCAGAGAATACTTTTCTTTTTTCTGCAAGGCTCTAGGACACTGCCCAAATGGCACTATTTTGATTCAGTATCATAAATTTTAAGTTTTCTTGGCCATCTACAGTACTTAAGATTTCCAGCCTTGGAAATAGCAGTTATCAGTCAACCCTGATTCTAAGAGTATAGTTCTTTACAAGGTATTACCAGGACTTCCTTGTTTAGGAATCTCTGGACTCTAATTTTTGTCCCTTGATTTGGTAAACCCATCACAATTTCAGTAGACTCTTGGTTCCCTACTATTGGTTCGGCTCCCTTTTTCCCATGGAACAGCAGCCCAGTGCCAAACACTTTCTTCATTTTAAGTATATTTAGGGTTTTTAGTGAATTAGGTCATAAAAACCCATCTTATAATAAACTTGAGGGTTTTGTCTTTTACACGTCTCAAAGTACTTGAAATTATATTTGGAAGTATGTATTACTTGAAAATTTGAAAGAACTTATTTGTGATTTTTTTTTGTATTAAAAGTTCTTGGTCAAATTCAGCATCTTACATATTTTTGAATGAATATTAATGGTCTATAATTTCATTATCCATTACATTTTCAAATGCTTAGTATATAATAATCTATACTTTCACCAATTTTCTTACATACTTGCAGGAATTCAAAATTTGTTTCGTACTATCCACTTGTGTTTCATTCACCCCTTATTTTTTTCTTAGTGAATGTTTTTTTTTTTTTTAAATCTTCCTTTCAGTTAACAACAAATTTGCAAATTAATAGGCAAGAAGAAAAATCTGGAAACAAGTATAAACTCTCTAATATAATCAAAGAACTATTTCAAATGAAAAAGTTGATTATACTTATAACTGCATGTGTTTATAAGAAATAGGTAGGAAAAACAGAGCAAATGTTACTGTGTGCACCTAAATAGCAGTATTTTAAAACTCATCTACAAGTCAATAAATCTTAAATGCTTTTAATGAACATTTATATTCATTTATAATGAGTATAAATATTTTCAATTCAGTGATTCATTAGATTTGCCCTATCATTATTTAAATAAAATTTAATCTGCTTTCTTCACCCAGTAATTGTTTGTAAGACACCCCCTTCCATTGACAATGGAGATTTACTTACTACCACAGAAGATTTTCATTATGGAATGGTGGTTACCTATCGCTGCAGATCTGATGCGAGAGGAAAGAAGCTCTTTAACCTGGTGGGTGAGGCATCCTTACACTGTACCAGCAATGATGGGAAAGTTGGAGTCTGGAGTGGCCCTCCTCCTCAGTGCATTGAATTCAGGAAATGTACACCTCCTCATGTTGAAAATGCATTCATAGTGTCTGAAAACAGAAGCTTGTATTCCTTAAGGGATATTGTGGAGTTTAAATGTCAGCCTGGCTTTAGCATGGAAGGAGCCAGTAGTGTGCAGTGTCATGACCTAAACAAATGGGAGCCAGAGTTACCAACCTGCTTCAAGGGTAAGTCTGACCAGGGCTTGGGGGCCTGCAATGCTATGGGGTGTTGGAGGACCAGAGTTAAGGGTTGGTTCTGGAAGAGGGCATATGATAAACAGGTTGGATGAATAAATTTTCTTAGGGAATGTGAAATCAGGAAGGGACATGTGTTTGTGTGAGTGTTTGTGCACCTTTACAAGCACATCCATTCAAATTGAGGAGGAGCTAAATATGAACAAGGCATGTGATACATCCTGGGAATTCTCATACACAGAAGTTCTTTACATGTATTGCCAACTCCAGCCCTTATCAGTTATTCATGTGTATAATATTTACTAATATGTAATGAGTGGTCCATGGCTAGTCATAGTAAATGTATGTATATTTAACTCCTAAAATGAAGCTATGGGGTAGTTACCATTCCTTCCATATTGAGGCTTAGGGAATAGATAATGTTCTAAGACTATATACATAGTAACTTTCAGAGTAAAGATTAGAATCCAAGGTTGCCCATATGGCAGATTCTTCAAGGAAGGAAGTCTTTCCTATTGATAATGGGATATAAAGATGTTAGAAGGACAGGAAGAAAAAAAGAAGGAAAACAATGTTGCCAAAGATTAAGGAGCTACTGTTACTACAGGAATAGAGGGGACACAGCTGGTCCTCCTAGCTGGTTGACACAGTCACACTCTGTCATGGCTGACACAGCCAGACCCTGCCACTGCTTCCAGGATAGAGTCAGTCCTTGCTGGTCATTAGTGTTGCTAGAATTTGAGTGGCTGTTGCTCACTTGAGAGTCACCAAGATTGCCTCAACTGATGCTGTCCCTGGATGCATAAAGGTGTCTATCACATCTTGCCTTTTATAGTGATATATATCTTCCAGGTGGCAGAACTTAATTAAAACCCCTAGAGCAGTAGTTTTCAACCTATGTGTTGGGACCCCTTTGGCAAACCTCTATCTCCAGAAATATTTACATTATGATTCAGTAACAGTAGCAAAATTGCAGTTATGAAGTAGCAGTGAAGATAATTTTATGGCTGGGGATCACCACAATATAGGAACTGTATTAAAGGATCACAGCATTGGGAAGGTTGGGAACTACTGTCTTGAGCAAAGAAGTTGTAGTTTTCATGTTTCTACCCATAACAATCAAAAGGCAATAAAAAGCGTGAGAGTGGGAATCATTAGAAATTTAATCAGCCTAGTCTTTAAATATCACAGCTCAATGTATTAGTCAAGGGAAGCTCTTGAAAGATGAGCCCTCAAAACAAGTATCATAATATCAAAAATATTTGGAAATTCTCATGGAAGTCATTCATTCTAAACCAATACCCCATGTTTTACTAGAGAAGTCTAAAGTTCAGAGAGGAGAACTGAGTTGATACGAGGTTTTGAATTTGGTTTTGTGTGTGTGTGTATGTGATTTTTTTCCCCCATTTTGCAACTTTAAATAATTGTGTTAAGACTCACATGCATCCTCACTCCCTGAGTTCAAAACAATTGACTTAAAGAGAAGCTGGACCTAGGACTGTTAGAATACTTAATGTACAGTGCATACTTCTCCATTATGATAACTGGAGGTTTTTTAAAAGAATTTGCTCAATGACTATCCAGCTGTCTTCTCAATGGAATGAAATGATTGACTGAACAGCACCAGCTGTGTAGTGAACAAAGAGAGGTAGCTCTCTAATGAAGCAGGATTCAAAGATCAGAACAGAATCTGTTAGCACCATTGTGGTTGCCCACTGGGAAATATGTTAGAACATTTAGGTTCTCCTTATTGCCTAAAATGTGAAGCTTAAAAGTTGGTGATGCCAGTCGGGCGGTGGTGGCTCACGCCTTTAATCCCAGTACTCGGGACGCAGAGGCAGGCGGATCTCTGTGAGTTCGAGGCCAGCCTGGTCTACAAAGTGAGTTCCAGGAAAGGCGCAAAACTACAGAAAAACCCTGTCTCGAAAAACCAAAAAAAAAAAAAAGTTGGTGATGCCATTCTAGAAAGGTAGTATGGGAATCTAAAATAAACAATTAATCTTTAATTTTGTGTAGGGTCAGTAGAAATTGGAAGTGTAGCTGAGCAGTGGTGGTGCACACCTTTAATCCCAGTGGATCTCTGAGTTTGAGCCTAGCCTGGTCAGCAGAGCTAGTTCAGGACAGGCAAGGCTACACAAAGAAACCCTGTCTCGAAAAACAAAACAAAAAAGAAATTGGGAGTGTACACGTTAGTGTACATCTTAGAGAGAAAACAATAAACTCAAGATTCATCAGGTGTAGTCACAGTGTCTGAATTGTATTGTCACATTTGGCAGAAAGGTTGTTTATTTTGTCCTATATAAATAAAGCTATTTTGTTTTTCTTCTTTCTTTTTCCATATAGTTGTGATCCTCTTGGCATCTGTGATCCAGTTTACCATTGAGAGAAATGTTTTCCACACCATGAGACTTTTTCCCCCTTAATATGTTAGCTGCCCCCAGAAATCCAACACTAGGAGTATACCCCCAAACAAAGATGATTTTTTTTCCTCCCAAGCAGAAACTGCTTTACCGCTGTGAGCCAGGCTACACTCTCCATGGAGTTGTTTCTCTGCACTTCAGAGTCCTGTGGCTCCTGCATATGCAGATCTCTAGGCTTTCATCTGGCTTGACATATATGACTTGTGTTTTTACTCTCCACACACTGCTATTATTTCTGTTTGGCTCTTTTTCTTCAGTGAAATCCTGTGGTGTTTTCCTGGAACATCTTCCTAATGGACGTGTGCTATTTCCACTAAATCTTCAACTTGGAGCCAAAGTGTCCTTTGTTTGTAATGAAGGGTGAGTGTGAGCAGGCTTGATCTGCTGGACATTAAAACTAAGTCTGAGCTTGTCCAAAACAGGAAAGAAACAACTTCTGATGCTGTTTATAGGAAAGATTGGTGACTTGTAGAATTGATAAAAGGAGATATGAAGGAAACCTACTGGTTTTAAATATACAGGTAATGCACTAAGTGAAAAAATCATTTTCTAAATAGAAAATAACACTAGTGATTTTGAGAAAAATTATATGTTACAAAAGCTTATACAAATAACAATACATTTAGCAATGTTTTAGGAAAAAAAATAATACCTCATTAATAGAATTTAAAAGAGAAACAAAAAATAAGGGGCAACTTTTTAAAGCCCACTGGTGTATCATTGAATCAGTAATGGGCTTTGGGCTCTGAGTTGGGATCATGGTGTCTGATGTTAATATTTTAGGTGAGGTCATAAACCTTCACAGCAGACACGCTTCTGTGAAACTCCCAGTCATGGACAACAAAGAACCTGCCCTCCAGTGCTTCACAGAATCTTTGGCAGGCACCAAATACCAGGACCAAATAAGATTTAGGAGGGCATAAGGGTCTAAACATCCTTTGAGAATTTTAAATGACTTCATTCAAAAGTTGGCTCCTCTCCTCTTCCCATTTTTCTCTCCAGTCCCAGTGCTTTAAAAGGAAAAACAAACAACAACAACAGAACGCCCACCACCACAAACAACAAAACACTAATAAATTTTGAGTCTGTTACAGGCCATAGACATGTACTTCATAAGTCATCTGCTTCTCTGAATTACTCAGAAAAGTATAACTTATTCTTCAGTAGCTTAACATGCTGTTGTGAGCTTCCTAGATAACAATCACAGAAACTGAGACATAAGAACAATCTCTATTTCCTACCAGTTAACTCAGCTTTCCCAGTGACAGCGTTGGCAAGGTGTTCATTAGCAGTCTGGGTTTGCAGTTGTGACAGTGAGCAGCGCCAGGTTCCTTTTAGCATGATCAGTGCTTTTGAGTAAAGGTCCAGGATCTGGCTGTGCCCTCACTACTTTCTTTAGTTTAAGCTGGGACTTTATATTGCAGTTCTGTTTTACCCACTTGCTGGAAGCTGTGGTAGTTGAGTAGCTTAGCATCTGCACACCCCTTCCACCTCGTGGTTCCATTTCCTCAAAATCCTCGATGCTTTTTTGGCTAGACCTGAGAACTGAGTATTACTCTGGCCAAAACATTTTACAGTCCACTACCATTTTCTTCCTTAGGTTTCAATTAAAAGGCAATTCTGCTAGTCATTGTGTTCTGTCTGGAAGGGACAGTGTTTGGGATAGCCGTGTTCCTGTGTGTGAAAGTGAGTATATATAGTGATACTTTAATCTAGTTGCTCTCCCTACCTTCTTATATTTTAACCCACTCCCTCCCTTTTAGTATTTCTTCTATATTCTAGTTTGACTTATTGACAGAAGTTGATTAGTTTCATAAAAGTTTGTTTTGAATCAAAGTGAGTATCTCCTTGCTTTGTAACCTATTTGATCAGCTTCCATCATTCAGAATTCTGTGTTATGTGTGATATTTCCTGTGTAGTTTGCCCCTAGGACAGGAAGGACTTTGACAAGTTTTTCTTCTCTTTCCTCCCTTTCTCGCTTCCTTGTAATTTTCTTTTATGTTCTGCCATCAATATACAATCACTTACTCATATTTATTTGGTAATATGCATATGTAAAACAATGTTCACTTATTTATTATTGAGCAAAAATTATGTGCCATATTTTCATCTGCACTGGAATTATAACAGTGATCATGATATTATTTATACTTAAGTAGGGAGAAGAACAAGAAACAAATCAATTAAGTATTATGGAGATAATAGATCAGGTAATAGGTAATAAATCAGAGGAATATGAGAATGAGAGAAAATTAGGTAAACCACATCAGACTGAGTAGGCAAGGTAAGGTTCTTAAAGTCTCAACATAAGCATATAAAATATGCTGAAATATTAAGAAATAATAAGATTAAAAAGAAAACCTGTGCAAAATTATTACTTATTTCTCCTACTTGTTCTGTTAAAATTTTCCAAAGATTTGACAGCACTTTTTAAATATTTATTTATTTATTTAATGTGTATAGATGTTTTTCCCACATGTATGTCTGTGCATCATGTGCATGCCTGTTGCCATAGAGATCAGAAGAGGGTGTTATTGGTTTGTCAACATGTGATATGTTAATATTGAATATTGTGTGGTATATATAGGAAGAAACTAGATGATATAAAGGTACATGAAATTATACCTACCTATTGAATTTATTAGTTTAGTCATCAGAGATTGACCTTTTTTTTTTTTTTTTTTTTTTTTTTTTTTTTTTTTGGTTTTTCGAGACAGGGTTTCTCTGTGTAGCTTTGCGCCTTTCCTGGGACTCACTTGGTAGCCCAGGCTGGCCTCGAACTCACAGAGATCCGCCTGGCTCTGCCTCCCGAGTGCTGGGATTAAAGGCGTGCGCCACCACCGCCCGGCGAGATTGACCTTTCTTAAGCTGTCATGCTCTTTTATCCCCTCACTGATCTGTTGATTAGACCTATTTCTACTCTGTGGTGTTTACTGACAAAGGTTTCTCCTGTGCCAGGACTTTGTGGGAAAAGAGCAATGAATAGGTCAGAGTCATCCATGTTTTCATGAGTTGGTTTTCCAGTTGGGAAAAAAATAACAGGAATATAATTTTTAAAAAAAAAAATTACAGTACATAAATAGCATGATAGTGATATGTGATAAAATAAAACAAATTTATATAAGAATTTATTATGGTACAGGAAGTGGGGGTAGTAAGTCAACATCAAGTCTTCAACATGATGGAGGACCCTTCATTTGCAAACCATTTCCTTACAAAAAACACCAAGGATTCAGAAATTTGCAAATAGGTTAAGTATATGTTTTTTATATGAAACATTACTAGTTTATCTTACTTGTATTTCCTAAAGCAAAGCAAGCCAGTTTATAAAATTCCATTTTCCTTTTCATTATAAAATGTTCATTTCAAGTAAGATTTGTTAAAATACAATGCTGGATATCTGTATGCTTTATGGTGAAAGTTTATAGAAATAGTCAATCCACAAGAAACTGAGGTGTTGAACCAAAGCACAGACACATAAGACTGACAGTAAATATGTGTCAACTGTAAATTACTATAGTAAGATAAAATTTGTTTGTTTTTGTTTTTGAAACAAGGTCTCATGCTTTAGAACCATCATATCTGGCAAAAATAATCTCTGTAGTTATCTGATGATACCATTGTGTATTGATTGGTACTGACAATGGCCTTGAATCACCAAGAGACGTTTAGTTTGCTAAAGATGATAGTGCATGCTTCAGACAGGATTCCCTAGAACTTAGTGTCTATGTGACCAAAGCTTCACCTGTCTTCAAACTTATTGTAAACAGGACTCTTACTATCCCTAGTATAAAGTAGGCAATTGAATGATTGCTTTAAAAAACAAAGCAAAACAAAAAACAGAAGCCTATTTCCAAATCCATTAAGAAATTAGCTTTCTAGGTGATCTAGGACTACTATCTTCTGGACTTTTAGAATAAACTCTAGTTTAGCATAGCTCTGTAGTTGGAGTTTTCCTGCCTGGCCCACAGTCAGGACAAATCTCTGTCAACCCGCCAGTCCCACAGCCACTCAGACCCGACCAAGTAAACACAGAGACTTATATTGGTTACAAACTGTATGGCCGTGGCAGGCTTCTTGCTAACTGTTCTTACAGCTTAAATTAATCCATTTCTATTAATCTATACCTTGCCACGTGGCTTGTGGCTTACCGGTACTTTACATCTTCCTTGTCCTGATGGCGGCTGGCAGTGTCTCTCCTCTCAGCTTCCTGTTCTCTCAGTTCTCCTCTCTGTTAGTCCCGCCTATACTTCCTGCCTGGCCACTGCCAATCAGTGATTTATTCATTGACCAATCAGCAACACATTTGACATACAGACCATCCCACAGCACCTCCCCTTTTCTTTTCTTAAAAAGGAAGGTTTTAACCTTTACACATCTCCAAAGTCAGCTTGGTATATTTGGGAATTTGGGCGTAGCTTCTCTTACTACTTCCTGCTGGAGGGGGGCGCTGTATCTTCTGGGGAAACAAAGAAAATTTTAGGATCATGGAGTAGTCCGTGAGGCTGTATCATCTGAGCCAGTTGCCTTGAAACGGTTCTGGATGTTGGATCATCTGGGCCATGGTGTCATCGGAGACCTTTCAGGTGGTCTTGGCTGGTCAAACCTGATGTATCTTACTCTGGAACAAATCCATAGCCTCTTGCTTTCTGTGGAAACAAAAGAGACTCTTTTCCAAAGCAACATATCCTTACATCCAAATTTTGAAGTTAAAGTATCTTTAAAATATACATACTGGTTTAACTCAGCTTCCTTTACAATCAAATATCTCTCTGTAGTTAAGAATCCCAAAGACAACACAATCCAGACTCTCTGTGTAATAGTCATCTCTACGTGGCTTATTTTTTATATTAATTTTACTGTCTCTTTAAAGACTTTATTTTTTAAAACCATGTATTTGTTTCTATACTGTATATATCACCTTTTTTTTCTCTTTCAAGCCTACGTATATTTTACACACATTTTAAACTATTACATCTGAATCTGTCTTATTATGAATCTGTTGCTTTAAGCTGCAGCAGCTGTGGCTGCTGGCTCCGCCCACCTCAGCTTCCCAACATGGCGGCAGTATGCTTACCGCCAGCTCTGGGAGCTTTTGTGGGTCTATGCTTTTATCCAAGCAGCGTGTAGCCCAGAAACCTCTTTTTTTGTTTTGTACTAGCAAAGGCTAAATCCACAATGCAGCTTAATGTGCCACTTGCAGAGGCCTCATTCCCGCCATATGGCGGCAGGTCAAGCGCGCACGCTAGGAACCCGCCAGTAGCTCAAACCGGCAGCTGCCGCTCATTTGAGAGAGACAATTAGGAAGCTATTTTTAGCTCCGTTTTAGAATCTTTTTTTTCAGTTTTTAGGTGGAAACTCTTGCCACCACGTTGGACACCATTTGTAGCTAGAGTTTTTCTGCCTGGCCCACAGTCAGGGCAAATCTCTCTCACCCGCCAGTCCCAAGCCGCTCAAACCCGATCAAGTAAACACAGAGACTTATATTGGTTACAAACTGTATGGCCGTGGCAGGCTTCTTGCTAACTGTTCTTACAGCTTAAATTAATCCATTTCTATTAATCTATACCTTGCCACGTGGCTTGTGGCTTACCGGTACTTTACATCTTCCTTGTCCTGATGGCGGCTGGCAGTGTCTCTCCTCCCAGCTTCCTGTTCTCTCAGTTCTCCTCTCTGTTAGTCCCGCCTATACTTCCTGCCTGGCCACTGCCAATCAGTGATTTATTCATTGACCAATCAGCAACACATTTGACATACAGACCATCCCACAGCATAGCTCAGTTCTGTCTTAGCAAAAACCTTACAGACCCAAAAGTACTAATGTTGCATTCACAGGCACCATCATCATATTAGTTATTTTGATTGAAATTAATAGAACTTAACGTTTTGTCTCTTTCTAGGACTTTTATTTTTGTCCATATTCTCCAGCTGTCATCAATGGGAAGCATACAGTTACTGTTCTGGAAGCTTGTTCTCTGCCCCTCCCCCCCATCCTCTCCACTATTAGCATAATTCATTTTTTCTTAACCAGTAAAGCACACTTTACACCAGTGCCTTTTCATCTGTAGTTCCATCCATCATAGTAGCAAAATCACCTAGAATGTTACTTAGCTCCATTCCAGAACTCGGACTCTGTTCTAAGAAGGGTCAAAAGGCTACTTTGAACAAATCAGTCAAAATACTCTAATATAGGAAAACCACACTTGCAGAAATGTCACTTTACCTTGTTGATACCTTTAGAGAGAAACATATTTTAGGCAAATCTTAGACAATTACAACAGAAAAGGAGGTTTTACTTGAAGTTGAGGAAGATATTGATGGCTGGAAAGAAAAAGAAAGAAATTTCAAGGATGAATTAAATCAAATAAAGGAATTAAATATAAAGGTAGTATTTAAAATTAGAATCACAAGTTACTAACTTCTTTCTTCTATGTACAAAAGCAGGCCAGAAGTATTCACTTATTCCAGAGCTAAAATATCAGAATATGTTCTATACCTAGAGATTTAACATGAAATTGGTATTTTCTTTAGGTGTGGCTCACATGGATCCAGGGCTAAACCATGGTTGTCCTAACTTCTGATCTTTCTAAAAATTTCCAGCTACAGATTTGATAATCACAAGTGTCCCACATTTCCTTAATGTACACAAAAAATGAAAGTCAGAAAAATATTTAAAGCATAAAAAGTTTGGAGGGGTGACAATAATTCTTTATTGAAAATAGGCCCATTTTTGTAGAAGGCAAAGTTTGGGGTTTCAAATGTTTCTATAATAGCAGTTTCAATTAACAACAAAATACTAATTTTCTTGTGATTTTTCTAATTGCAGAAGTGATATGTAGCCTCCCACAGTATATGAGTGGAGTTCGGAAAGAGTTGAAAATAAAAGAATATTACTATGGAAATAATGTAACTTTGGAATGTGAGGATGGGTATACTCTAGAAGGCAGTTCTCAGAGCCAGTGCCAGTCAGATGCCAGCTGGGATCCTCCTCTGGCCAAATGTGTTTCTCGTAAGTATGAAATGTAGGGATTGGAGCCCCTGCCCATCAAAGTCACTGACTGCCCAGTCATCTATCTATTCTGGTGCCTACTGTGATGAGGTGTTACAATGTGTAGGGATAAGGGAGCTGAGAATGTGCTGTCTCAAAATACAACAAGTTAGGATGTTAATAAAATCACTTCAAGTATGACTTCAGGAGTAGAAAATGCACAAGAAGCACATACACATGAGAGACACATACCCACACAGAAAACCACAAAATCAGAAACCATAATATATATAAACAAAAGACCAGTAAGGCTAAAAAAAAAAAAATCTCCAATACCGCTGTGTTCATATTGAGTTGGTCATCTACTGCTGGGCATGGGGCCTGTCTTTGAGTGTAGCTTGTATACCCAGTGAGACTCCATTGGAGAAAAATAACTTTTCATTTGAAAGCTGTTGTCAGTTGGAGATCATGTCTACTTCCCGTTCTCAGTGCTGGGACCCCATCTGGCTTAGAACTATGCAGACCCTGTGCATTCTACCACAGTCTCTGTGCATTCATATGTGCATCAGTCCTGTTATGTCCAAAAGGCATTGTTTCCTCTTCCATCCCTGCTGGCTCTTACAGTCTTTCCACCTTGTCTTCTGCAAACAACCCTAAATTTGATCTTTAGCACTACCAACAAATAAAGAAGCCAACGTTTTATAAAAACTGTTCACATTTTAGACCTGTTGACCTATTTGAAATGTAAATAAAAAAGTACTAAAGAGATAGGAAATGCATATAAAATAGAATAAAAGGTTAATAGTGTTATCATAAGTACTATAGTGGTGGTTGTGGTAATGGTAATAATTGTAAAAGTTAAAGTATATTGAACATTTAGTACTGATGTTCAAAGGCTAGTGATAGACATAAGATAGATAGGTGGTAGATGATAGGTATGTAGATAGATAGATAGATAGATAGATAGATAGATAGATAGATAGATAGATAGAGAGAGAGATATTCTAATAAATGTTAGTGTTTTTACAGATAAAGAAACTAAAACATGAAGGGCTTAGATAACTTGCCCCAAACCACAAAAAAAGTGTAGCCTAGGTACAATCAGTCACACCACATACCATTAGAGACAGTGTGCTATAACAAATAAACGAACAAAAGTCCTACATAAATAATTGTCAAGAGGAATAATTTCCAGTACTGTAGTTAAAGGGAGGACAGCTATTAGGTAAAGGTACCAAACATCAACTGGAGGAGGAAAGGGTTTATTTGGCTTACACTTCCACATTGTAGTCCATCATCAAAGGAAGCCAGGACAAGAGCTCCAAACAGATCCAGAACCTGGAGGCAGGAGCTGATGCAGAGCCCATGGAGGAATGCTTCTTACTGGCTCTCTCAGCCTGTTTTCTTATAGAACCCAGGACCACCAGCCCAGGCATGGCACCATGCACAGTGGGTTGGGCTCTTCCCCCATCTGTCACCAATTAAGAAAATGCCCTATAGGCTTGCCTACAACTTGATATTATGTAGACATTTTCTTAATTGAGATTCCCTTTCCTCAGATAGCTTTAGCGGATGTCAAGTTGACACAAAACTATCCAGCACAGAGTTAGAGACAAAAGGGGCCAAATATGTACCAACTAGAAGGTTCTTGGAATCAGATTTTAGGGTAAAACCCGTGGATTGTGCTGCACCACTTGTGAACTTTTTTCTCTGGATTGAGATCTAGACTAAAGCAACCTCCTTTGGATTCTTAATCCTTTCAATACCATTTGGTAACAAACCTTGAAATCTTTATGGGGAGAAGAGGCAAGTGAGAGCGTAGAAGAGAAAAAAATGAAAGAAAAGAAAAAAAAAAAAACCAGTATTTGACCCTATGACTGAGAATAAATTACCCAAGATACCAGCCATTAGTCTTCCTAAAAAAGGAAATTGGGGAGTAAGTTTTAGAGTTGCTGTAGCCTTGGAGTGGCTCACTATGGAAACTTTTGAGAGCAATTAAAATAAGAACAATTACCTTTGAGTACCAGTACCAGAAGATGAATGTCCTGGCATTCTCCGGCCTACTACATTACCAGCTCAGTGACCTGTTAGTAAGATCACAGCCACTTAGGCAAGGACTAATCTTGTTATAACACATGTAAGCATGGTGTTGCTTTCAAGACTAGTAAGTTCATCTTCAGAGAAGATGTGAAAACTCAGAGAAGTCTTCGTTGTAATTCTCAGGCTCCCAGTATGATATGTAAAGCATGTCCTGAAGTCCATTTTCATTATGCTCCAGGATCCCTTTCATTGGTGCAACTGTTATTAGAACCCAGTTTATTTCTTTTTGGTCCCAATTATCTCTCAAAAGCACAAGTGCCCTGCTGTCTTCTCACTTTATAGATCTTCCTAGTTCACAAGTCCTGTGCCATTTCTGAGGTAAAAGAAGCTTTATAAATTTTCTTCTGTAATGATAGTATTTTATAATAAAAATATTAATTAAACAAGTTTTCAGTGAGTGAAAATGATAAAATGAGATTGTAGGAGTGACACCAAAGGCTTTTTATATTAGAAAAACAATAACTGACTCCTAGATTAAAATCAGAATGAACCATACTAGCCAAAGCAGCCTTGCGGGCACATTATGTGCCAGTAACATTTATGTGGCTTTGTTTCTCTTTCAGGCACAAACATCAGTCTCATAGCTGGTAAGTCTTATGATGAGTTTGCTGAGCAATTCCAATATCATAAACAGTAAGTACCCACTTATAATAAATGATATGTAAAAAGAAGTCAAAATATCTTTTAATTTCAGTTAAAATTAATGTAATTTTAGAGCAGCAGTTCTCAACCTGTGGGTCACGACCCCATTTCACAGGGGTCACCTAAGATCATCAGAAAACACAGATATTTACATCATGATTCATAACAACAAAATTACAGCTATGAAGTAGCAATGAAAATAATTTTGTTTTTGGGGTCACCACAACATGAGGAACTGTATTAAAGGGTCACAGCATTAGGAAGGTTGAGAACTACTGGTTTAGGGTGTCATAAGATTGGCATCCTTGTGCACATTGAGGGACTTCATCTTTGAATCATTTGAATGAATAAACATTCTTCACTGTCGACAATTCTTTATTTTAACATTGCAGGAGAGACAACTTCCTCTTTGCTTTGTACCTGGAAATACGTTTCTGGGTAGTCATCCTGATAATTTGTACCATTAAAGTCATAAGACCACCATATGAGTTAATCTTGTGTCTGGAGATAGAAGCATATTGTATTGTCTTCACCTTTGAAGTTTCTGTTGCTGTGATAAGATACTGTGACAAAAGCAACTTAGAAGAGAAAGGAGCTTTTATTTTTAGCTAATAATTCCAGGATATCATCCATCATTATGGGGAAGTCAGGGCAGCAGGAACTTGAAGCAGCTGCTCACATTCACAGTTCATGATACCTTGCCTGAGAATGATGCCACCTGCAGTGTGTGTCTATAGGGCTGTGGTGCCACCTTAATACATGCAATTAAGACACCTCCCTCAGACATGCCCATAGGCCAACCAGAGCTAGATAATTCCTGACTAAGACTCTCAAGTGACTCTTAACTGTGTCAAGTTGACTATTTAACCAGCACAAATGGATTAATACAGAATTTGATATCAAGGGGATTTCTATCGCATAGGGTGGCCTGTGTCATGCCTTACATTAAAGACTTAGGTAAGCTGTATATGCTGAGCCAAGAAGCACCATTGCTATGATGGGCTGTGTTATTGGGAAGAAGCTTATGGAATGCTCTGGTCACCCATAACTATAGTACTGTGGTTGTAGGTCTGATGTTCTGGATTAAAACCAGGGTAGAGCAGACCTGGAGTAAAGGTACATGTAAAAGAGTCATTAGTAACCAACAGTGTGATTAGCTATTAAGACAGAATTTAGAACTTCTATATTGTGTTTTTTACTTAATTATTTTGTTTTCTTATTCAGGCATTGTCTTTGGGGTGATCTTTATTTTACTTGTCATTGTTTGCTATTGGCTGATTCGGAAATATAAAAAACGGTGAGTATAGCCACATTCTCAAAAAAAACTGTAGCAGGGAGCTGTGGTCTGCACCTGTGCCCTAACATTCTGGTGGCTTAGACAGGATAACCATGAGTTTGAGGCCTGTGTGCATCACAGAATAATACTGGCTCAAACAAAACAAAACAAAAATAGCTTGGGAAGGTGGCTTAGTAGTGACAGCACTTGCATGGTAAGTGTGGTGACCACAGTTTGGATCCCCAGTACCCAGGTAAATGCCAGTAGACATGGTGGCCCTCCCATAGCTCCAGTGCTCAGAAGGTGGAGACAGTGGCTTTTCTGGAACAAGTTGACTGGACAGACTTGTCCTATAAGTTTGCTCTGGGTTTTAATGATCTTGTCTCAGTGGAATAATGTAGAAAGCAATAGAGGAAGACTCCTAACACATACATCACATACACGTACTCTCACACATGCAAATATGTATATGCACAGAGAGAGAGAGAGAGAGAGAGAGAGAGAGAGAGAATATAAAGGAAAAAATTGAATCCTTTTATGTTCCTTGAAGGCAAAGCAAATTAAAAGAAAGCAATAGAACATACTTCCATAAAGACAGATGTGGTAATTCTCAGGAAGGTGGCTTTGGTTACCCAAAATAATATATTTACACCAAAAGAAGTATATATAATAACAATCACTGTAAATTTGTGTGTGTGTGTATGTGTGTGTGTGTGTGTGTGTGTGTGTTGCGCACACACACGAACTCACACCACAACACCAATGTGGTAGTCAGAGGATAACTTGTGGAAGTCAGTCCACTGTGTAGGACCCAAGATCAAATTCAGATCATCAGGCTTGGCATCAAGCACCTTTACTCACTGAGCCATAATGCCAGCCCACCAGCACTTAAAAAAATAATAGGTAAAAAGAAACAACCTTTTCAGAAGAAATTAAAGAAAGAGAAAACAGGCAGAAGGAGTTCCTTAACAGTATTAAAGATCTTAAAGGTATGAAGCTGCTGACATCTTATTGTGGCTGAGATACAGCAGATGCTGACCTGTAAACATAGGCTGATCACAGCACCAGAAGTTGAATGGGGTATCCTATGGCACATACATCTTAGGCTACCAATGTAGAAGCATTGAAATTTGGCTTCCCCTGACACACAGAAGTGCTTGAAATATTTACTGTGAATAAATAAATAAACATGTCAGCCATTACTAAGAGTATTGCAAAAGATCAGAATGCATTTTAACTAGTCCTAAACCTAGTTCATAGTTCATGTTCATTGTTCTAATGAATCAGCCATCTCAGTCTATGTGGCTAACTATAGCAAAATACAAAATTGGGTAGCTTAGAAAATAAGCATTGATTTTTCACAGTTCTGAAGGCTGGAGAGCCTACTTGCTAACTAGTGAGAATCAACTTCACAATTAATAAATTACAGTCCTTTTTCTTGTCCCCACGTGGCAGAAAAAAAGGTATAAGCTCTCACAAGGGTGGGGTTTCACCCTCAGGAATCAATTATTTCTCAAAGTCTTGCCTCATACTATCACATTGCGGTTTTGGATTTCAATCTGTCATTTTGGGAGTGGACAAACAGTTTATCATAATATATCAAATCTGGCAACATTTGTCACACTGATGATTTCACATGTCACCTTAATCCCCAGCTTCCCCAGATTTAGAATATCTCCTTGTGTAATTCCATTCCTGCCCCCAATTAAGGAATTGCTTGCTTTATTCCAGCTTAGTTAAAAAAAGTAAAAACAAACAAACAAAAACATTGCCTTACAAATTGTAGTGATACTTGAGGGATTTTGAAAAACTCCTATCCTCCCACTCTATTATTTATTAATATCACCTCCTGTTCCATGCGATTCTACTCACTCCTTCCCAGATCATCAGCTTCTTGTGAGCAAGAAATACTTATATTCACACAAAATTATTATTTTATTTATTTATTCTTCTCTCATACAGTACATACCAACTGCAGCCTCTCCTCCCCCCACTTCTCCCAGTTCCCACCTCCCTCAATTCCTCCTCCCCCAGATCCACTACCCCTCTCTTACCTTTCAGAAAAGAGCAGGCTTCCTAATGCTATCAATCAAACACAGCATAACAAGATGCAATAAGACTAGGTATAAACCTGAATATCATGGCTGATATGATGGTTTGTACCATGGCTGAGGCAACCCAGTAGGAGTAAAAGGGTCTCAAGAGCAGGCAAAAGAGTCAAAGACATCCCCTCCCACTGCTAGAAGTGCCATTGTGTGAATATATCACATTTTCTTTATCCAGTCTTCGGTTGAGGGATATCTAGGTTGTTTCCAGTTTCTGGCTATTATGAATAAAGCTGCTATTAATGTAGAATGTAGTTGAACAACTTTTTGGCATATGCCCAAGAGTGATATAGCTGGGTCTTGACATATGTCAGTTCTCAGTTTTCTGGGGAACCACCATATTGATTTCCATAGTGGCTGTACAAGTATGCACTCCCACTAGTAATAGAGGAGTGTTCCTTTTGCTCTACATCCTCACCAACATTATCTATCACTTATATTTTATATTTTAGCTGTTCTGACAGGTTTAAGATGGAATCTCAAAGTCATTTTGATTTATATTTTCCTGATGGCTAAGGATGTTGAACATTTCTTTGCATTTCTTGGCCGTTGGAGATTCTTCTATTGAGAATTCTCTGTAGACAGAAGTTTCTCTGGCCCCACCCTGGCCCCGAGGTCTGGACAAATCTCCCACCCGCAGTCCCGCAGCCACTTATAAAATACTCAGAGGCTTATATTAATTACAAACTGTATGGCCTATGGCTTCAGCTTCTTGCTAGCTAGCTCTTATAACTTAAATTAATCCATTCCTATTAATCTGTATGTTGCCATGTGGCCATGGCGTTACCCATCTGCTGGCATCTTGTTGCTCCTTCAGTGGTGGCTGGCTTCTCTCCCTGCTCTCCTTTCTTCTCTCTGTATATCTTCTTGGATTTCCCACCTACCTCTAAGCTGCCTTGCCATAGGCCAATGTAGCTTTATTTATCAAGCAATCAGAGCAACACATATTCACAGCATACAGAAAGACATCCCACAGCAATTCTCTGTTTAGGTTTGTACCCCACTTCTTTTTTTTTTTTTTTTTTTTGGTTTTTCGAGACAGGGTTTCTCTGTGTAGCTTTGCACCTTTCCTGGAACTTCACTTGGTAGCCCAGGCTGGCCTCGAACTCACAGAGATCCGCCTGGCTCTGCCTCCCGAGTGCTGGGATTAAAGGCATGCGCCACCACCACCCGGCTGTACCCCACTTCTTAATTGGATTGTTTGGGTTTTTTTTGTTGTTGTTTTGATGTCTAGTTTCTTGAGTTCTTTCTGTATTTTGGATATTAGCCCTCTATCAGAAGTGGAGTTGGTGAAAAAGCTTTTCACATTCTGTAGGCTGCTGTTTTATCCTATTGACAATGTCCTTTGCCTTACAGAAGCTTTTCACTTTCATGAGGTCCCATTTATTAATTGTCAATCTTAATGCCTGTGCTATAGTTGTTCTGTTTAGGAATTTGTCTCTTGTGCCAATGGATTTAAAGCTATTCCCTACTTTCTGTTCTGTCAGGTTCAGTGTGTCTGGTTTAATGTTGAGGTCTTTTGATTCACTTGGACTTCAGTTTTGTGCAGGGTGATAAATATGGATCTATTTGCATTCTTCTGCCTATAGACATCCAGTTAGACCTGCACCATTTTTTGAAGATGCTTTCTTTTTTCCATTGTATATTTCTGGCTTCTTCATCAAAAATCAGGTGTCCATAGGTATGTGGATTTATGTCTGGATCTTTGATTCAACCCCATTGATCAACTTCTCTGGTTTTATGCCAATTACTATGTGGTTTTTATTAGTATAGCTCTGTATTACAGCTTGAAATCAGAAACAGTGATACCTCCAGAAGTTCTTTTATTGCACAGGATTGTTTTAGCTATCTGTTTTTTTGTTTGATTTTGTTTTGTTTTGTTTTTGTTTTTGTTTTTCCGTATGAAATTGAGTATTGTTCTTTTAAGATCTGTAAAGAATTGTGTTGGAATTTTGATGGGGATTGTCTTAAATCTGTAGATTGTTTTTGGCAGGATGGCCATTTTTATATTGTTAATTCTACTGATCAATGAACATGGGAGATCTTTCCATCTTCTGATATCTTCTTCAGTTTCTTTCTTCATAGACTTAAAGTTTTTGTCATACAAGTCTTTCACGTGCTTGGTTAGAATTACCCCAAGATACTTTGTATTGTTTGTGGCCGTTGTGAAGGGTGTTTCCCTGATTTCTTTCTCAGGCAGTTTATCATTTGTATGTAGGAGGGCTACTGGGTTTTTTGTTGCTGTTGTTGTGTGTGTGTATGTGTTTACTTATTCTTGTATCCTGCCACATTGCTTAAGGTGTTTATCAGCTATAGGTGTTCCCATTAGAATTTTTGGGGATCACTTATGTATAATATCATATTGTCTGCAAATAATGATACTTTGATTTCTTCCTTTCCAATTTGTATCCCCTTGATCTCTTTCTGCTGTCTTATCACTCTAGCTAAAACTTCAAGTACTGTATTGAATAGGTATGAAAAGAGTGCCTTATTCCTGATTTTAGTGGAGTTGCTTTGAGTTTCTCTCCATTTAATTTGATGTTGGCTACAGGCTTGCTATAAATTGTCTTTTTGTTTAGTTATGCCCCTTGTATCCCTAATCTCTCCAAGACTTTTATTATGAAGGGGTGTTGGAATTTGTCAAAGGTTTTTTTCAGCATCTAGTGAGATAGTCATGATTTTTTTTTTCTTCTAGTTTGTTTATATGGTGGATTACATTGATTGCTTTTCATACGGTGAACCATTCCTGCATCTCTGGGGTGAAGCCAACTTGGTCATGATAAGTTCTTTTATTCAGTTTGCAAGTATTTTATTGAATATTTTTGCATTTATGCTCATAAGGGAAATTGGTCTGTAATTCTTTGTTGAATCTTTGTGTGGTTTGGGTGGCCTCATAAAATGAATTTGGCAATGTTCCTTCTGTTTCTATTTTGTAGAATAACTTGAGGAGTAGTGACATTAATTCATCTTTGAAAAGCTGGTAGGATTGTGTGCTAAAACTGTTTGGCCCTGGGCTTTTTTTGATTGGGAGACTTTTAATGACTGCTTCTATTTCCTTAGGGGTTATAAATCTATTCAAGTTGTTTATCTGATCTTGGTTTAACTTTGGTAAGTTGTGTCTATCAAGAACATTATCCATTTCTTTTAGATTTTCCAATTTTGTCGAATATAGGCTTTTAAAGTATGACTTGATGATTCTTTGGATTTTTTCTGTCTGTTGTTGTGTCCTACTTTTTCTTTCTGATTTTGCTAATTTGGATATTCTCTCTGCCTTTTAGTTAGTTTGGATAAGGGTTTATCTATCTTGTTGATTTTCTCAAAGAACCAACTCTTTATTTCATTGATTCTTTGTATTGCTCTCTTTGTTTCTGTTTTATTGATTTCAGCCCTCAGTTTATTTCTTGCCCACTACTCCTCTTGGGTGTGCTTGCTTCTTTTTGTTCTAGAGCTTTCAGGTGTGCTGTTAAATTGCTAGTGTGAGATTTCTCCAATTTTTTTTTTATGTAGGCATTTAGTGCTATGAACTTTTATCTTAGCACTGCTTTCATTGTGTCCCATCAGTTTGGGTATGTTGTACATTCATTTTCATTGGATTCTAGGAAGTCTAATTTCTTTCTTTCTGTCTTGACCCAGTAGTCATTCAGTAGTGAGTTGTTCAGTTTCCATGAGTTTGTAGGCTTTCTGTTATTTCTATTGTTGTTGAAATCAGCTTTAATCCATGATGGTGTGAAAGGATGCAGGTTATTTCCATTTTCTTGTATCCATTAAGGTCCATTTCCTTGGAAAATCTTTTTCCAACCCTTCACTCTGAAGTAAAAGCTATCTTTGATGCTGAGATGTGTTTCTTGTATGCAACAGAAGGTTGGGTCCTGTTTTCACATCCATTCTGTTAGTCTATGTCTTTTTATCAGGGAATTGAGTCCATTGATACTGAGAAATCTCAGTGGCCAATGATTGTTAATTCCTGTTATTTTGGTGATGGTGGTGGTAACAGTAGTGTGTGTGTGTGTGTGTTTGCTTCCTTTTTTGTTTTGCTGTTGTGAGATTATTTCCTGTATTTTTGTGAGTGTAGTTAATCTCCTTGGGTTGGAGTTTTCCTTCTAGTACCTTCTGTAGGACTAGAATTTGTGGGTAGCTATTGTTTAAATTTGACTTTATCGTGGAATGTCTCGTTTTTTCCATCTATGGTGATTGAAAGTTTTGTTTGTATAGTGGTCTGGGCTGGCATCTCTGGTCTTTGAGTCTTCAGGATATCTATCTAAGCCCTCCTGGCTTTTAGAGTCTCCATTGAGAAGTCAGGTATAATTCTAATAGGTTTGCCTTTATATGTTATGTGGCCTTTTTTCTTTACAGCTTTTAATATTCTTCTTTGTTCTGTATGTTTAGTGTTTTGACTATTACATGGCAAGAGGATTTTCTTTTCTCCAATCTGTTTGGTGTTCTCTAAACTTCTTGTGCTTTTATAGGCATGTTCTTCTTTAGGTTAGGATATTTTTCTTCTATGATTTTTTTTTTAAAAGATTTATTTACTGCCTGCACATATTCCTGCATGCCAGAAGAGGGCGCCAGATCTCATTACAGATGGTTGTGAGCCACCATGTGGTTGCTGGGAATCGAACTCAGGACCTTTGGAAGAGCAGCCAGTGCTCTTAACCACTGAGCCATCTCTCCAGCCCTTCTTCTATGATTTTTATTGAAAATATTTTCTGCATCTTTGAGCTGGGATTCTTCTTCTATTCCTATTATTCTTAGGTTTGGCCTTTTTATAGTATCCCAAATTTCCTGGATGTTTTATGTCAGAAATTTTTTAGATTTAACATTTTTTTTGACAGATATGTCTATTTCTTCTATCATATCTTCAGTGCCTGGGAGTCTCTCTTCCATCTCTTGTATTCTGTTGGTGATGTTTATATCTGTACATCCTGTTCACTTATCTAGATTTTTCATTTCCAGAATTCCCTGAGTTTGTATCTTTTTCATTGTTTCTGTTTCCATTTTCAGGTCTTGAACATTTAGATTCATTTCCTTCATCTGTTTTTTTCTTGGCTTTCTTTAATGGTTTTATTCATTTCCTCCAGTTTTTTGTTTGTCTTTTTGTGTATTCTTTAAGGGATTTATTCATTTCTTCTTTAAGGACCCCTATTGTAGTTGTTTTTAAGGTCATTTTCTTGTGCTTCATCTGTGTGGGAATATTCAAGGCTTGCTGTAGTAGGGTAGCCAGGCTCTGGTGGCATATTTCCTTGGCTGTTGTTGGTTGTGCTCTTGCACTGGTATCTAGGCATCTGGGTTTGGGGTAATTATAGGTCTAGGTGCTGATTTCTGAGTTTGTTTGTATTGGATGGGAGTTTTGTTCCTTGGTTTCTGTTTCCTTTCTGGTCTTTCTGGCTAGAGTGGCCTGTGGTTGAGCAGAGGACTTTACCTGAGTTGGGGGAAACTGAGAGTGAGGTGGGTCCCTCGGCATGCAGCCTACCTTGAGTTGTGGTGGCCTGCATGACCTCTGGTGGAGCAGGAGGCTTTCACCTGAGTTGTGGGCCATGGGCCAGGATATCAAAATAATTACTGTCATTACTAAGCCATCTTAATGGATTCTTATTTCTTATATAGTATTCCAGATTTTTATAAGAATAACCATAATTGTCATGGTTTTATAAAAAGCTTTAGCATTTATTATCTCTTGTCCTCTGAGCAACATTTTAAATCATCATTCTAAAGATCTTGACGTCTTTATGCTACTTTTTCTAAAATCCAGTTCAGAATCACTAAAATTACCATCTTGTAAAATCATTCAGCATCCAGAACTAATTTTTTATAGTTCAGCAGTACCAAATAGTTTAGATATTACCAAATCTAAATTATTACCTTTTTACAGTATTTCCTCTTTAGAATATTCTCCTGCCCCCACACTTCACTGGATTTGTCTCATACTCCTGTGTATCTAACCATGGTCTTTCCTTTTACATGCTCTAGTCTATTACTACAATGAAAAGAAAATGGAGTGCAGGGACAATAAACTAAAAATTTCCTTCTGTACATCCTTATATTTCCCTGTGTATTTTTTGTGACAGTTTGTGATGTCTAATAAGGCATGTACTGATCACAGAGGAATAATACTGTTTACACTCCTCCATTCAGAACTGTTGACCTTGTTCTCCTGTTGCTGTTTCTAACCATGCCTGGGTCTATACAAAGCAGCCTTCCTGTCCAGTCAGAGAAAAATATTGACACCTACCTGCATATGATATTTGAAGTAACAAAACTCTTAGAGCTATTATCTATAAAAGCACTTTCCTATGTTTGTATTACCACTAGCAAGCAACCAGAAGGGCATTCTTTCAGCAGGTCCTACCTCACCCACATGTGCCTCTCATCACTTATGCACACTTTCCAACATGGCTTGTCTCACTACTACATCATCAGCCTTCACTCTTCTTTATCTTCAGTCTCACACTGGCCTTCCATGTGCTAGAGAAACTGACCTGTGATTCATGGTCTTCCTCTGTGTCTTACGTGCTTCTGTCAATCTAAGAGGGTAAAGAGGAGTTGAGTGGTGAGGAGTAGTGGTAAGTGAGTTAACTGTGTTTTTTATTCTTAACTCTAATACCAACTCACAAAAAATCCAGCAGTATACATACTTGTTGTTTATGTTATATAAAGTACTTGCTAAGTAACCGTAGAAAATACAGTGTAGCATTTCTGGTGAAAGCATGGTGCCTATAGTCAGACCTGAGTGTATTGTCAGTCACCAGCTATGAATCTCTGGCCAAAACACTGACCTTCAGGCTTCATCTTCCTTGCCTATGAGGTAATAGCTCCTATCTTACTGAACACAGTACTGTGCTTATAATGAATGCCAGAAAAATGTTAGATATTATTTAAATTGTTACTTATCTTAAAAGTAATTAAGTATTTTCTTCTTCTGTTACTGTATCTAGTCATCGCTCATAATCTGAAGGCCCTTGGTTCTAGAAATCTCACTGATACCAAAATCTTTGGATGTTCAAATACCTTACATAAAAAAAGGGTAGTACTTTTCTGTAACCTCCTACATATCTTAGTTGTCTCTAGATTATTTGTGACAATATAATACAATGAAAATTCTGTGTAAATATTTTTAAACTATATAGTTATATTATGTGGCTTAAAGAAAATGCCAAGAGAAAAGCCTTTATATGTTCAGAACTTTATATGAACTCAACTTCATCAGAGTTGCAGCTATTTTGAATGGCTTTGACTTGCAGTTTGTTGAATATGTAGATGTGGAGCCTAAAGGTAGAAAGGAAGATGGGTTCCTTATCACACCTGCTGTTACTGTGCTAATGGTGGGGATTACTTTGATACAAGGTAGAACTTCCTAACATCCCTAATGATCACAGAGCACAATGATGCTGTATCAGGTTGCAATGAAAAGCTATTAGTATATGAAGTTGTCAAAATCTGTGGTAAACCTATTTACTAACCAAAATTATTTTAAAAATAGTAAGATGTGTTGTTTAAGGTGTGGATATACATATATAGAGAAGCTAAAGTCTTCTGACGTAATGGGTTTAGTATTTCCTAATCCAAGATTTTACTTAGTAAATCTATAACTTAAATCTCAAAATGAAAGTTATTAATTACTTTCAAAACTAACATGATTCATATAGTTTTCCTTTTATTCCCCCTACCAATTAGCAATACCACAGATGAAAAGTGTAAAGAAGTGAGTATTCATTTCAATTCTCAAGAAGACAGCTGTAGTCACCCTCAAGCTCTGCTCGCAAGTCAGGAGAACAGCAGGTATCTATGTACATCCTGAGTTCAAAATGTTTGCAGCAACTAAGATTCAAAAATAGAAACAATTCAAACAGGGTATTACACACAGAAGTTGGAAACTTCTTGAGCTGGATTATTGCCATTTTTATGATTTTGTTTGGGAACTGTCAAGGTGTGTACTATGAGCCTTTGGGGAGCAGTGGGCTTTGCTTTTTCCCATGGAAGCCAAGTACCTCATCTCTAGGGGGACACCCACATACTCATTTGGATCTCTTAAGGCTCTTCACCTCTTTCCTGATTTCTGATTTTCACTGATTTTTGTTCCTCACTTGGCTTCCTGAGACTCCCCCCATTGCCACCACCCCACCCCCCCTTTTTAATCTGTGTCCTACACAGAGGCAGGGTTTCTCTGTGTAGCTCTGGCTATGCTGGCTTACTTACTTACTCTCTAGACCAGGCTGGCCTCAGACTCAAAGATCTGCCCATCTCTGCCTCCCAAGTACTGGACTTAAAGGGATGTTCCACCACTGTCGGGCTTCTCTCTCTTTTCTGTTCTCTACTGTAGCTCTTTCCATCCCTAACTCATCATTCACCTCTTCCATGCATCCTCACCACAATCCCTTATATGTCAAGTATCGGACAGAGGTTTGGGGTTGAAAGAGAAGTAATACTACAACCGAATGCAGCATGATGACATAACTGAAGTAAAAACCAAATAATGATTCCAAGGCTCCAACTGCAATCTGGGCCAAATTCAGCTGGCCCCTCGCGTTGCATAAGCCATTCTAATTGCGCGTCCTCACACAGTCATGTTGTCAGTGGCTGCTTTCCAACCCTAGTAGCAGGTGAGCGGTGAATCAGGCCCAGAAGCCACATGGCCCACCAAGCCCTTGATACTTACAAATTTGTCCTTTTTTTTTTTTTTTTTTAGCGTTCACTGACTTTATTGTTTCAACAATAAACTGCGAAGGAAAACATTAACTATCACTCCCGGGGCATCATCCACAGACGCGAAAACGATCCTTCAAAAAGCAATTTGTCCTATTTTTAAAGCAGTTTTGAATAGTAAATAAGATCACTCCAATTTTGACAATTTCACATACCAACAGCTTTTCACTGTAAACTGACGTGGCATTGTTCTCTGTGGTCACAAGTGACACTGGGAAATTCTACTTTCTATCAGAGATCCAGCAGTGACAACAAATGTTTTATTGGCTAGTCCCCTTAAACCCTGGATTTCTATCCTCTTCCCTTGCCTTATTCAGTAATGTCTTACAGATTGCTCAGATCTCTACTTCTTACTCAGTTACCTCATCCCTGTCCTTGGGCCCCTCACATTCACAGCTCCATAATTCTGTATCACACAGAGCTGTTTATCATAGCACAACCTGTGCAGGTCTGTAATCCTGATACTTGGAAGGTGGAAGCAAAAGGATCAGTTCAAAGTCATTTTCAGTTATATAAGGAGTTTGATTGAGATCAGCCTGGGCTACCTGACATCCTGTCTAAACAAACAAGCCACACACACACACACACACACACACACACACACACACACACACACACACCAGAAATAATAGCAGCTTATGCTCTGGAAAGGAATTGGGCTGCTCTCCTAATAAGCAGAAGCAAAAACATCACATTGTTTAATAAAATTCTTCTATGTCCTTCTTTCTGACTACAATGTGCATTAATTGAAACTTGGCCTTTTCTCCCGATACATATGGCTAAAATCTGTAATTCAGCAACGGACAGTAGAAGAGGCCTTCAGGAAAAAAAAATAGGAGGTACAGGGAAGGCATTTTATAATCAGTAGAATTGTAAATACAGGCAACTTAAATTTTTTTAGACAAAAAAACTGCAGTTACTATTTTCTTCTGCAATGGAGGTGAATTTACAAAGCCTTCTGTTTATTTTCTGGTTTCCTAGTCACTTCTTCCCTTTTGTCTTGAAGCTTGTTTTTCCATATTATATATAAAGGAAAATGAAATATTCATTTTTTAAACTCAGAATTTATGTTATCCCCTAAGTTTTAATGATCATCTTCCTCAAATGACTATCGTCATCATAGCTAATCCACCAGGGAATAGGAAAGTTGAGGTGACAGCAGTATGCCATCCTACAATGCCCTTTTATGTTAGTCCAGAAGTTTGAAGGGAAAATCATACTGCTTCTGTAATAGCACATATAAATGAATAAAAGAGGAAAAAACTAATAATGTAAAATTTTTTGAGACAGAATGACATAGAATACTATGCTTTGGGGGAATTCTCTTAAGATCTGCATCCAAGGTTCTTAGGTGTTGAGTTGTTTCCTTTACTGTTGGGATCTATGATGGGAAAGTTGTGCAGAATCAATTCCAGGCTAACCATGTAGTCCCACTGTAGGAAGAAAATAACAACTGGAGCTAGGGTTGTTTTTACAGGAAATTGTTTTTAAAACATTCCATGAAAGTGCTCAAAATATCATTTATTTAGATTTGTATATGCAAGATTACCCACCTAAAATTCTTTCCCATCTTTCTTTATGCCCAAGTTCTACTAGCCCACCTCGGAATTCACTCACCCAAGAGGCCTCCTAAATAGCCACATTGCAAAGTGATGATTCTGTCTAGAACACCAAGCATATCCTGCCTGTAATGTTTTATACATGTATAAAATTTATACATGTAATTCCTTCACTTGAGAGATTGACACAGAAGGATTGCTACAAGTTCAAGGCCTCTCAGGACATTTAACCTTTCTCAAAAATAAATAAAAATAAATAAATAAGTGGTATAAATTCATTTTTTAAAATGGTAAATACACAGAATATTTTGTATATATTGAGCCAGATGTGATGACTGACTCCTGTAATCACTCTGGAGAACCCTGAGGCAAGAGGATCAAAGGTCATTCTTGACTGCAGTCTACCAAAGCATTAAGGTTAATTATTTTTGGCAACATTTTGTAGACAACGAGTGAGAATTTATACTAGGCACAAGACCTGTGTGCCCAGGCCAAATGTCAAAGTGAAATGAAAAGGTGGAGGCATATGTCAAAGATATAGCTATGTGGTAAAGGAGAGAATGTTTGTAGGAGTGTAGGTGGGTGATGCTGACCAGTCTTGATAGAAAGAAAACAATGAGGAGCAATCAAGTGGGCAGTAACCAATGGTGGACCTCTTAGGGATTTGTCTACTGGTTGAGGGATAGCATTCAGGCCATAAAGGAAAGGCAGCAGTCTTGTTAGGGGAGAACTCGGGTACCCTATACTGAATATACCATCCTTGCTTATTTTTCGTGGTAGTAACAGGAAATGGACACAATTTCTAAAGCTAACTTTCCTCTGAGAGGATTAGCTATCATTTATACCTCTGCCACAAGCACACTTCTAAAGAGACTGAAGGAAATGCTTTGTGCACTGTGGATGACCTATGTATTTTCCAGATCAAGTCTCTGCTTATTAACTGACAGAAGGAAAAACATGAAATGTACTCATTAATTTCTTCTTTCCATTCCACTTCCTCTTTTACATCATACTTTCTTGTGCCCTACATGAAAAACAGAAAAGAGGGTAAAAAACACTTTTGATGAATCTGCATTTATATGTAATACCAGCATCCTGATTATTGGCATATGAATTCTTGATAGTTCAGTTATCCATCATGCTGTTATCTAAATGAAAACATCCTGTGATTTTTAATGTCCCTTCTTGACAAAATGGACAAAAACAAAAATCAGCAAAAACGGCAAAGTTAGAGGATACCTGGGATTCCATGTTAGTTAAGAAGCCAATTCATTTCAACAGAGTAAGATCTAAGATTCAAGTTTTTGACATTACTTCACAGACATTCAGAGAATTTTGTATAGGGATAATAATGCTTCGACAGCATCCAGTAAAATTCACTTTTAGCCTGCCTGCTTGGTTGTCACTCCCTTGCACCCTTACCTTATGTTGAAATCACACACCATAAAGTTAGAGGACAAGACTGAGTGGACAGAAAATTGAATGACTTGAAGAAAGAAGATGTAGTCCAAGAGTTCTGCTTTATAAGTCCATCGTTTTCCTTTCTTATTTTAAAATGTTCATAAAATGGAATGGGTTCATTAAAGAACATTAGGAAAATGCAAAAATATATGAAAACAAATAATAATTATTCTGTGTAACAACAGCCATTACTAATACATTTTTAAAACAGAACACACTCTAAACATATCAGAGAAAAGCTTATATAATATCAGTTATCACCTTCTCTATGGAATAGAAGTAACTTTTGCTTATTTAAAAATATTTTAAATGGTGATGGGGCAAAGTGACCAAGATTACTCAACAGACTGTCTGAAAAAACTAAAAACTGCATTTCTTCTACTTTGAAAGTTCTTTTGTACCATGCTCTGTATTATGAAAACTTTTTCCTGTAAAGAAATGATAAATAATTGAGATTGATATGTTTAACTGATTTGAATATTTGTGGTGATGTATTGTGTTCCCCAATATACTGTGTCTCCCAATAAAATTTACCTGAGGATCAGAGGAAAAAGCCAGCCACTATAGTAAACAAAAGTCATGCAATGTTAGCACACACCTTTAATCCTATCACTTGGGAGGCAGGGATCTGTCTGGATCTTTGTGAGTTCAAGGTCACACTGGGAACAGAGCCAAGTGTGGTGGCACATGTCTTAAATTCCAACACTAGTTAACCATTTTAGGTTTGGAGGTCTGTACAGACAGATGGGAAGTGACAGAGTTGGGCAGGAAGAGGAAGTGATGTAGCTAGACAGAGAGAACAAATCAGATGGCAGAATATCAAGGCATATAGGCATGGGTAGACAGGAAGTCTTGCTTTTGAAAGCTGTAGAGTTGGTGAGGTGAGGTTAGCATGTGGCTGTTCCTGTTCCTCTGATCTCTCTCAGGTTTTCACTCCTATATTTGGCTCCTAGTTTTTTTTTATTTCATAAGACCATTTAGAAATTCGTCTACAAATATTATGTTACAGAGTGTAGCAGGAATCTTAAAGAGTCTTATTAATAAAATCAAAACCAGAGGCCAGTTATTGGAATGAAATGCTGGAAGATCTGAGAGACAGAACAAACCACAGCTAACCTCACCTGGCCAACTTCTCAGCTGGTCTTGTTTCCTCAGACTGGAAACTTCTGTGTCCTCATCCCAATGGCTCTCAGCTGAACTGTGCTGCTCAAAACCTAAAAGCTTAACCAGCCAAATGCTTCTAGTTTCTGGTCCTCACGCCTTATATACCTTTCTGCTTTCTATCATCACTCCCTGGGATTAAAGGCTCGCTTTCTGGGATTAAAGGCATGAGTCACCATGCTTGGCTGTATCCTTGAACAGATGGATTTCTGCCTCTGGAATGCTAGAATTAAAGGCGTGTGCTACCACTGCCTAACTTCTATGTTTAATATTGTGGCTGTTATATTCTCTGACCCCAGATAAGTTTATTAGGGAGCACAATTTTGGAGAACACAATACCACCACAACAGAGTTCAGTTCAATCCAGAATATAATTAAAATTTTTATTGAAGCTGCTTGCAGAGCAGCCTTCTTAAAGCTAAATTGAAGATGTGCTATCCAGAAGGGTTTAAGGGAAGGTTTTTAAAGGTGGAGACCACAATTATCTTGTTTCTGTGGAATTTGTAGCTGTATGAGAAACTTTCACTCCCCTTGGCTACATGAGGATCTGTCTCTTTCCCCATGTAAATAGCAATAAAGGAGCTGTCTCACTCCCCTGTGCACAGCAATAAGCATGTTTACAGAAGCCAGAGCAAGCAAGCAGTTGATTATCTCACAGCTATTTCACCATTCTGGAGAGGGTTCAGAATGCTAGGGGCTCATCTTTCAGGAATTTAGGCCAGAGGCCAACAGGTACTAGGAGGGCACCTGGTATGGAATGGAGTTTCCTTAACCATCACAATTATACAATGTATATGGACATATACTTTATAAACATCACATGGTACCTCAGAGAAATTAATAAAGTATGTTACTTTTTTAAAGAACTTACCTAGTTAATAATCATACGTTCACACTTTTAAAATAATTGACCCTGGCTAGGGAGAGGGCTTAGCAGTTAAAGCCCTTACACACAAGTAAGAGGACCAGAGTTCAGATTCCCAGGATCCCTCCTGTAATTCTAGCCTCAGAAGGCTGAGAATATCATCCCCTGAGCAAACTGGCTATCTAAACTCTGTGGTGGTATTGTGTTCCCCAATATATTGTGCACCCTAATAAACTTATCTGGGGTCAGAGAACAGAACAGCCACTAGATATAGAGGCCAGAAAATGGTGGCACTCACACTTTTAATTCTAGCATTCCAGAGGCAGAGATCTGCCTGGATCTCTGTGAGTTTAAAGCCACACTGGAAACAGCCAGGCATGGTGACTCATGCCTTTAATCCCAAAAAGTGAGCCTTTAATCCCAGGAAGTGATGGCAGAAAGCAAAAGGTATATAAGGTGTGAAAACCAGGAACTAGTAGCTGGTTAAGCTTTTAGGCTTTTGAGCAGCACAGTTCAGCTGAGAGGCATCCAGTCTGAGGAAACAGGATCAGCTGAGGAATTGGCAAGGTGAGGTAGCTGTGGCTTGTTCTGCTTCTCTGATCTTCCAGCATTCACCCCAATACCTGGCTTCAGGTTTGATTTTATTAATAAGACCATAAAACTCTGTAACAGTGAGCTCTGAATTTGATTGCGAGACCTTCCCTGCCTTGGAAGATAAAGTTGGGGAGCAACTGAACAAGATTTCTGGGGCTGAAGAGATGGTTAAGAGCACTTGTTACTCTTGCCTAGAACATAGGATTCAGTTCTTGGAACCCATGTGGTGGCTCGGCTCACAACTATCTGTAACTCCAGATGTAATTCCAGAGGTTCCAACACCCTCATCTGGTCTCATCTACATACACATGGTGTACAGACATATATTCTGGCAAAATACTCATAAACATAGAATAAAAATAAATACATCTTTTAAAAAAAATTCCCAATTTCAAACTCAGGCCTCAAAGGTGACACACACACATACATACAAGGATGTGTGCACATGTGTTCATGGACACATACATGTATGTGTGCATACTACACATATATACATGTGAAGAAAAAACAAGAAGTGGCCCCATATCGTTATTCTTTGTGTGTATGTGTGATACTTTGAGCTATGCTCATGATCTCAAGAAAATGTCAGACTCCTGGATAGTGAACAAAAGGTTTGCATATAATTATTGCTAGTTTCTGTGTTTTAATAGCTGCTTTGAGGATGTATTATACAATAATTGGTTTGACACTGTGCTGGCTAGTTTATGTCAATTTAACACAAGATAGAGTCACTGGAGAGGAGGAAGCCTCGATTGAGAAAATGCCTCAATAAGATTAGGCTGTATGCAGGCCTGTAGGTTATTTTCTTAATAAGTGATTGACGTGGGAATGCAGCCCATTGTGTTTGGGACTACCTCCAACAGGTGGTCCTGAGTTCTGTAAGAAAGCAGGCTGAGCCGGGAGGTGGTGGCGCATGTCTTTAATCCCAGCACTCGGGAGGCAGAGCCAGGCGGATCTCTGTGAGTTCAAGGCCAGCCTGGGCTACAGAGTGAGTTCCAGGAAAGGCACAAAGAAACCCTGTCTCTAAAAGAAAAAAAAAGAAAAGCAGGCTGAGCAAGCCAGTAAGATGTTTTCCTCTGTGGCCTCTGCATCAGTTCCTGCCTCTAGGTTCCTGCTCTGCTTGAGCTCCTGTTCTGACTTCTTTTGATGGTGAACTGTGATGTGAAAGTGTAAGCCAAATAAACCTCTTCCCAACTTATTTTTTTGTCATGGTATTTTGTCTAAGACAATCCTCATAGGAAGAGCTAGATATGAAAGATAAGGGAAGGAAAAGTGGCCTATGCAAAGGCCACTGACCCCCTCCCACCTACCCACCCTCACCACCACCACCACACAAAAAGACAACTTGTAGACAAAAGGATATTATATATTAGAGAACTCTCGGATGTTTGTAATAAAATATATTTACTTTTTAAGTGCCACTGTGTAAGCATGAGGACTTGAGTTCAGATCCCTAGAATCCACATAAAAAGCCCCAGTGCTGTGGGATGGTCTGTATGTCAAATGTGTTGCTCTGATTGGTCAATAAATAAATCACTGATTGGCCAGTGGCCAGGCAGGAAGTATAGGTGGGACTAACAGAGAGGAGAACTGAGAGAATAGGAAGGCGGAGGGAGACACTGCTAGCCGCCACCATGACAAGCAGCATGTGAAGATGCCGGTAAGCCACGAGCCATGTGGCAAGGTATAGATTTATAGAAATGGATTAATTTAAGATGTAAGAACTAAATAGCTAGAAGCCTGAGCCATTAGGCCAAACAGTTTAAATAATGTAAGTGTCTGTATGTTTATTATATAAGTGGGCTGTCGGACTCCTGGGGCTTGGCGAGAAAAACTCTCCAGCTACATTTATTAGGTAATACTATTTCCTTCTTGGGTCTCTGAGGGAGTTGAAGATTAGTTAGTTGAGTTGAAGATTAGTTAGTTATAGTTGAAGGTAAGTTAGTTAGAGTTGAAGATTAGTTAGTTAGAGTTGAAGGTTAGTTAGGATATAAAGTGAATTGGTTACATTTTTGACTTACCAAAATAGGATAGATAATGGAATTATTTTCTCTAAATCTGTCAAATGTTAGTGGACTAGACATTGTTAATGTAATTTTTGACTGTATATATTGTATATATTTATTGGATAATTTTTCTTGTATTTATAAGCTTTTTTAAATTTTAGACAAAAAAGGGGAAATGTGGTGGTATTGTATTCCCTGAAATATTGTGCACCCTAATAAACTTATCTGGGGTCAGAGAATATAACAGCCACAATATTAAACATAGAAGTTAGGCAGTGGTAGCACACGCCTTTAATCCTAGCATTCCAGAGGCAGAAATCCATCTGTTCAAGGATACAGCCAAGCATGGTGACTCATGCCTTTAATCCCAGAAAGCGAGCCTTTAATCCCAGGGAGTGATGATAGAAAGCAGAAAGGTATATAAGGCGTGAGGACCAGAAACTAGAAGCATTTGGCTGGTTAAGCTTTTAGGTTTTGAGCAGCACAGTTCAGCTGAGAGCCATTCGGATATGAGGACACAGAGGCTTCCAGTCTGAGGAAACAAGATCAGCTGAGAAGTTGGCCAGGTGAGGTTAGCTGTGGCTTGTTCTGTCTCTCTGACCTTCCAGTGTTCACCCCAATAACTGGCCTCCAGGTTTGATTTTATTAATAAGACCTTCTAAGATTCCTGCTACACCCCAGAGTGCTGTAAGGCCAAGAGCTGGAGAGACAGAGACAGGAAGATTCCTAGGGCTTGCTGGCTCCATGAGCTTTAGATTCAGTGACTCTGCCTCGCAAAATAAGATGGGGAATGTGGTGTTTTGAATAAAAATGGCCCCCACAGATCAATAGGGAGTGGCACTATTAGGAGGAATGGCTTTGTTGGAGGAAGTGAGTCATTAGACTTTGAGGTCTCAGAAGCTCAAGCCAGGCCTACTGGCTCACAGTCTCTTCCTGCTGCCTGTGGATCCAGATATAGAACTCTCAGCTCCTTCTCTAGCACCTATGTGCCACCATGTTGTACCATGACAATAATAAACTGAACCTCTGAACTGTAAGCCAGCCCCAATTAAATGTTTTCCTTTATAAGAGTTACCGTGGTCATGGTGTCTCTTAGCAATGATACCCTAGCTAAGACAGAGAGTGACTGAGGAAGACACCAGATGTTGATCCCTGGCCTCCCACAACCACATGCACACTCATGCACATACACATACACATATGCACAGGTGCACTCATACTAACAAGTACATACACAACACACCACACACAGAGGCACAGAAACAGATGCAAAGCCAAAAATGGACAAAATAAGTGTCCTTCTAAGAACAGTCCTTGTTTCTCTACTTGGTTTTTTCTGAAGTTTCAGAGAGTAAATTAGATCCTGCTCCACTGTGCAGAAAGGTCAGCTGGCCTGTAGGTATTACCCCACTCTCTGAAAAACATAATGTAAGCATGATCATTCCTGAGGCACATACATAAAAAGCACCTAACAGCTGATTTCTCCACCACTTAATAAATACCCCTCCACTCCACTGTCCTGCCACACATCAAAAAGCTTACAAGAAGTTGAGTCCTATTCTGGTGCACATGCCTCGTGTTCCTCCCTGTTTGCTTCTCTTTGACAGTTAAGCCAAATATTTCCCATGAATTGGAGAAACCACTTCTGTTTTGAAACCTCCTTCATCCAAAGGTTTGACTCTAGACTTCAGGCACTGTCAGGATCCCTGGCGGTTCACTGTCAAGACAGTCACTGAAAGCATTCCAAATCAGGGCTGAGGCAGAGGGTAGCTCCACTTCAAGAGTGGGCTTGCAATGCTCGCTGCCCCAGGGAAGTGTTCTGTACAATAATTTACAGCAACTGTGGGTCGGGGGGAAAATGACTTTAGAGGCTGGGAACCCAGTGGGCAAACCTTTGAGATCTGATTGTGAGATGAGACCACAGATAATCCAAACGACGAAAATATAGGTACTTTCCCTAATGCGATATGAGTAATGCCAAATACAATAACGAACAGAAAGGCAAGTATGAAGCAGCATGGATAAAATGAGAACCAGGGATGCTGGCTGTGCCATGACCCACAGCTGTGCTCCCAGGCCTCCGTTTTTAGGTCCCCGTTCTTTTATTCTTCAAGCTCAAGTTTCGAGCAACGATCACAGGGCCAACTGGTCTTTCACCCTTCCTGAGCTGAGTGGTCTCTTTTATGTGAGCCAGGGTCAGCTCCAGCTGGTAAGCACACCCTAGAGCCGCTGTAGAGCAGCTGCGAGAGGAACACAGCAATGTCAGTTAGGAGACAGCCCATAGAGGAGCACAACCCTGACTGTGGAAGACTGCCACCCATGCTGAGGGGTGCAGCAAAGCCCTAGAGGACTTGGGAGGAGTGCAGCTACATAAGGGAGGAGTTAAATGTTTTACAGAAGCAGCACAACACAGTTGACAAGCCAGATATTCCTAGGCAGGAGCTCAACCCCATTGTTACAGCCCCTTGAACTGAGGCCCCGCCTTACTGCCGGCCGATTGGCCTAGCCAGCACCACCTTGAGTCACTAACCTCCCTGGAGCGGCCTGGCCACGCCCACCTGTTGTGTCGCCCAGCACACTTTAGTGTCAGGATTGTTGCGTCTGTTCACTTAGCTCAAAAGCTGCTCTCTGACTACCTGGCGCTCAGTTTTCCCTTCATTCTTGTAACATGACGGCGCCGCCTTTCGCGCCGGACGCAAAGCCTCCCCGCCGCAGGAGGAAGACCTACACTTTCTGGTGGTGCTTCCTGGGCATTTGCGCAGAGGCCCTTCTGTTCCTGCTGTCTACTTTATCTGGTAGGATCCAGGAGAGAGTCTGTGTCTCGGGGATGCTGGTACCTAGCCTGTAGGTCAGGTGGATAGCGAGGGGCTCATCTGAGGTTGCGATGGGCAAGGCTGGGATGGAGGACCTGGTAGAGTTCTAGAGTTGTGCAAATGTGTAATGTGGAGACCATGCAGTCTCCATTCCCAAAGTGCAGACTTTCTTAGTGGGCAGCACTTAAGGGGTAAGCTGCCTGAGTGGAGAGAGGAGTAGATGTTCATCCAGAGCCTGGCTGTGTCAGTAGCAGTTTGCATTGTTTTCAGGAATTAGGGTAGCCCTGGTGTTTAACTCTGGGGAAGGCAGAGTGCACTGCTTGTGCTGTGGGTGAGCAACCCTCTAGGTTTAGAGGGGAGGGAAAGTCACACCTGGCTTGTTTTATCTTGAGTCAAGTTTCCTTGTTGCCTGAGGCAGAATGGGCTTGGTTTACAAGTGGCTGTTTTGTTTGGCTTTACATTTTTTATTAGATTTTTTTCACATAAAACATATTTGATCATATTCCTCACACCCCTCCTCCTGACTTGGAGTTATCATAGCCAATATAGACAGTGACTGGTGGTATTACCAAATGGCTTTGAGACCTTGCTTAGCGTCCTTTAAAGACAAAGTCATAGTAGAAAAAAATCTAAACATCACTCCTAAGATAAGTATAAGTAACACTCTGGTTTTCACCTCAACTCATGAACAAAAACTCAAGGTTTCTCCCATGACATTTTGGTGGTGTTTCATTACATGGAATAAATACTATACTTGCTTACTGTATAAAATTTACACAAAGAACAATATTTCTGTGTCCTGTTTTTCAATCCTTTGTGTCTGTCCCTGATACATACTGTTGTGGAATATTATTTTAACTATGTAAAGACATGTTGCATTTGTTTATGTTGTGGAATATTACTTTAACTGTGTAAAGGTGTATTATTACATTTGTTTATGCTGCATTTGTTTAACAATGTAAGAATGTGTGTTTAATAATGCAAAGATATGTTGCATTTGTTTCACTTTGCCTGCCTAAGGCACCTGATTAGTCTACTAAAGAGCTGAATGGTCAATAGCTAGGCAGGGAAGGGATAGGCAGGACTGGCAAGGAAAGAGAATAAATAAGAGAATGAGGAGGAGAAGAGGAGAGGAGTCAACGAGAGACATGCCTAGAGCAAGAGGCCAGGCAGCTGCTAGCCAGCAGACACAGGCAGTGAAAGTAGGAGATACAGAAAGAAGGAAAAAAAAAAGGAAAAAGCCCCAAGGAAAAAGGTAGATGAAGAGAAACAGGTTAATTTAAGTTAAAAGAGCTAGCCAGAAAGGAGCCTAAGCTAGGATGAGAATTCAAAACATTAAATAAGTTTCCATGTCATGATTTGAGAGCTAGTTAGTGGCCCAAAAGAAAAATCCTGGTACACACACACAATCCTTTACATATAGTCTGTATGTATTTCTGTATCTCTCATTAGTAGCATCCATTCAGCAACATTTGCCTTCAATGTTCCAGACTCTGTGCTGGTCTAAGGATGGATATTCTGGGAGGCAGTCATGAACCAGTGTTGTTTTTGTGATCCTCTTCCACTGGTTGTTCATACACATATATGTGTATGAATATAAGCAGGCACTTCATTATGCTGATAGATCCCCAGTGACAAATACATAGTAGATGATCTATAAATATTTGCTTATATTTATTAGGAGTGGCAAATATTAACCAAAGCGTAACACTAAAGAATAGAACTGCCAGGTGGTGGTGGCGCATGCCTTTAACCCCAGCACTCAGGAGGCAGATCTTTGTGAGTTCAAGGCCAGCCTGGTCTACAGAGTGAGATCCAGGAAAGGCGCAAAGCTACGCAGAGAAACCCTGTCTCGAAAAAACCGAAAAAAAAAAAAAATAGAACCAAGCTCTGGAGTAAAGGAGCATGGTTCTCTGACTAGATTTAAAAAAAAATCACTGGGGGAAGGACAAACAACAATCCAAACTTTGCCACTTTAAACCACTGACTTGTTACTGTTTTTCCCGTATATGGAACCATCCCCTGACATTACATATTTGACTGTCTTCTCTTCAAACTTCATTGGAGTGTTACCTCTTAGGGAGACCTCCTCTGACTACCCTTGGTAGACACAGCCCAGCTTACCCTCCTCTCAACTTGCAATTACACTTTTAAAACTGTCTTTTCTATTCTCTACCACTCCCCATTGGAAAGCATAGATCTTATTTTTTTTTCACACTTAATACTTCAAATGGCTGCTCTTTTTTTTTTTTTTTTTTTTTTTTTTTTGCCTTAGTGTTGGCACTCTTACATAACTCAAGTACCAGAATGTTAAATATCATATTTGGCCAAGGCACAGAGCACAGAGAAGTTTCTTCCTTCCTGCAGGAGGAAAGTTGTTTAAAGAGCTTTACTTTTCACTGATCTCTATAAAAATTCACTTCACAAGGAAGAGAAGGGGCAGGTACTAGCAATAATAAGAAGCCAATGGTTTTTTAGAAGAATAATGTTTGGAACAGACTTCAAGCCAAATGTTTAAGAAGACTCTGAAGCTATTTGAAATAGACAAAAACAGATAAATAAATAGGATATAACATAAATGGAGGTGGAAATGAAGAGGAGGTAAAACAATATAAAATCTGAAAACTAAAGATAGATATGAGACCTGGACAACATAAAAGGAAAACTCATTGTGGTAGGCAGGGAGAATTGAAGGATAGAATAGGGTCTCATTTTTGGAACAACTCAACTTGTGAGGAAAGGGGTTTATGAGTGGACAGTGTCCAGCATAGAAAGCCTGTCATCAGGACTGCAGAAGAGAATCTGTCAGATTTTTAGGTTGGTCTCCTTCCTTCAGAAGAGCGGCTGCTTCTTTGAACAAGGCTGCTGCTTCCTGTTGTGTCTGCTCTTATATACCTGTTTTAGGTCTTTCTAAGATCAGTAAATGCTTACACTCTAGTATGTCAGTCCTTACTCTGTATGCTACAGTGTAGGGGAATAGTCTTTATGTGATCAGCTGCTGTTATAAAATACTAGCAGACAGACCCCCCCAAAAAAGTGGCTCTCCTTTCTCCAATGAATAAATCTTTAAAATGACTATTTTCACTATAAAAAAAATGACAATATAATCCTTGAAAGTGTTTTGTTGTACTGTTATGCTACTGTGAGGAGCTGGTGCTGGATATTGCGGCCACATTGATGAGCAGATTTCATCTTAACTATTGAACACAGCCAACATGTGACCTATCTGAGATATCCTGGTAGGGGACAGCCCAAAGGAAGAGAACGAGTGCTGCTTCCATAGTTGAGACACAAGATGTTCCCTCCAGGTGTCTAGAAAGAGGAGAGAGTTGCTCCGTGTGCATAGCTAGGAACTGGGCTGTGGAGCAATGTAAGCAAAGACAGCCCAAGTAGGACACAGCTGACCAGCAACTACTTAGTTTGACACAAAAACGACAAGAGAAAAATAGAGTGCGAAAGAATCATGAGAAGTGAGGGCCTAGTTTGGAACAGTTCAGACTGTGATGTTTTTACCTGATGTACTTAGTACAACTTGAGTCTAAACTAGAGCTGCTGTAATGCCTCCAAGCACCATAAAAGGCAATTTTTTGAGGACTAAACACAGGATAGGATGGAATCTGCTTTGGGGAGTTCCAGATGAGGACAAGGGTCACAGCACTGGCAGTGGTGCCCAAGATACAGGCTGCCTAACTGGACACCTAGTCTGCTACATACTTGGAATGCATTCCTGAACAGGTTATTCCACCTTGTGATACTTCAGTTTTCTCATCTTACAGAGGGAGAAACTTTTAAATAATGAGTATGAAGAGTGCTGAGTGTTCGATTTCTAATTTTTTAAAATCCTCATCACTATTGTTATAGGTTCTGATATCTGTTATTACTGTACTTTCAGGAAAATACAACCCACAGTATTTGAAATTCACTTTCTAATTATAGCAGTAATGCAAGAATGAGTTCATAATAAACCAGTAAAGTGTAAATATTTTGACATGAAAGAAACACTAACACAGGGAAATATTTATAGCTAAACCAATAAAAAAAATGTTTTTAAGATTGGCTGAAAAACAGCAAAGAAAACGTGATTTTCATATATCATCAAAGCAAATTCTCTAATAAAGAATTTGAATTTGAATTTAAAGAGGGTAAAGAATCAATCATAGGACTCATTCAACTTTGGTACTGCGTACTAGAGAAGTGATAATGAATGAGACATAGTCCTTAAGAACAGGATGGTCTCGTATCTTTCTTTGTAAAAAAACCAAAACCATTAACCATGTCTCCTTGTTTTACTTTTGAATAAAAGTTCAGTTCATTCTGAAATGACCCAAAAGCTGATGTTATTTTAAACTCCTTAGGGATACTATTGCACTACTGCCACTGCTTGAGTAAAGAAAGGCATGTACTAATAGTTTAGAATCTTGATAAAAACGTTTCTTTTTTCTGTACTTCCTGTCACAAAATAACATTTCTTAGTTGATAAAAGTGATATTCACACTTCATCTTCATGTTCTTGCCCTCTTATCCCTAGATGCCTGTGAACTACCACCACCATTTGAAGCTATGGAACCCAAGGAAGAAACTAAACCATATTATGAGGTTGGAGAGACAATAGAATATAAGTGTAAAAGAGGATACATATTTCTGTATCCATTCATCATGGTTGCTACCTGTGAACCAAATCATACATGGTTCCCTATTTCAGATCATGGTTGTGCTAGTAAGTAAACTCAATTTTTTTTTTTTGCTTAATTTTCAGATATTTTAGGATGGGGTGCATATGCCCTTATTGCAGCGATGCTTTTCCTATGTGAAACAAAGCTTTTATTTAAATGTGAGGGTTTTTTTTCAGGCTTTGAGAAATTTATGGGGAATTTTTTTTCTTGGAAATTTAGTTGATTTTGTAATTGTTAATCTGTGCTTGTCTTTTGTTTTAGTTACTTTTCTGATGTTGTGGTAAAGCATATGACCAGGACAACTTATAAAAGAAAGGGTTCATTTGGGCTTGTGGTCTCAGGGGTCAGAGTCCATGATGGTGGATCAAAAGCATGGTGTCAGGAACAGCTGAGAGCTTATGACTCAGAATGGCGAGTAGGACCAGAGAGTATACTGGGAATGGCACAAGTCTTTTGAAACCTCAAAGCATGCCCTAGTGACATCCTTTCTCCAGCAAGGCTATACTTCCTAATCTTCCTCAAATAACCATCAACTGGGGACCCATTATTCAAATGCCCTTATGGAGGACATCTTATTTAACTATTTAACAACTTATTTAACTATAACTATTAGAGAAAAATAATCCATAAACTCAAAAGAACCAAGTATGACTTTTTTTTTTTTTACTTTAGTTCAAGTGCAACTGGCTTTGGAGTTGAATTAAATTTTTTGTTATTATATTCTTCTAGAAATAGAATGTCCTACATTAGCAGAACCTGAATTTGGCAAAGTACACCTCCTAGATGGCAGAATTTCATGGGGTGGTCGAGCTCAATTTACATGTATGGATGGGTAAGTTGCTCCTTATGGGAAATAAGGTAAATGTTCCTGATTCCATTGTTCCACTTCTCTTTTTAAGCATTCAAGTAAATTGGCTTTAATTTTGCTCACTATGTGACAAGGTGTGCTCCTAGCCAAACAACATTTGGGTACTTTATGGAGGTAGGAGAGATGCTTAATAAATAAAGAAATGGAAGGAAAACAAATCTGTATCATACTTGCTGTATCTATAATGTCTATGATTAAACATTAAGAATGGAGTAATCTGCCAAGGGTGGTGGTTCATCTTGTAATTCCAGTACTCAGGAAGATGTGGCAGGTAGATCTCCATGAGTTTGAGGGCAGTCTGGGCTACATATCCAAAAGGGATAGATAGTCATGGTGACTTTATCATTGACAGTCAAGTGGACCTACTGCCAACTCAAGGTTAAATTGGTGCTCTCATGAAATCGAGGTAGAACAACTAACCAAAGGAGAATTCTGGAAGGTGTTAACAAGTCAAAATGTAATATAACTCATCTTTACCACAGGATATTTCAGTTGGAAAACCTTATTTTTCAGACTGCTATGTAACCTAAAGTGTCTCCAAAGGGGGCATTAGCCACTGAGTAAGTCTTTATTCTCTAGAGCTCTCTTAGAAGTAACTGTGACTCTTGGGGAAAGTTGGATGCAACTACCGTCAGAGTTTGTTTGATGATTTTTTTGTTTTAGTTTTTGTATTTTGAGGCAAGATTTCTCTGTGTAACAGCCCTGGCTGTCCTGGAACATGCTTTGTAGACGAGGCTGGCCTCAAACTCACAGAGATCCGCCTGCTGGGATTAAAGGTGTGCACCACCATGCCTGGCAATAATTTTTTAATTTTGTCAAGTAAAAGCACATTCAGGTAAAGCTATGTGGAGGAAATTTTCTAGATACTTTGAAGGAACCAAAGTTTAGGTCATAAATCTTTTTCAAAGACTAAGTCTGTTGAGAAACCCAGTACATACAGAAGTTATCAGAACAAAATAACAAAGAATTCCAGATAAGAATACATCATGTGATCACATGAGAGTCCAGAATAATAATCTATGAATGTAAATAATCAGGAGACTTGACAGGATTAATTCTGACAAGTTCTTAGAAAGATATTATGATCATAATATGACAGTACAAGATATATTAGTACAATATAACATATTATTTCTACTTGCTGTGCTCCAGACTCAAATTTATCTAATTCTCTTGAACAATCCTACGAGATGTTTGATTTATATTTGATTTGTTTGTTTGTGACAGGATCTCACTATGTAACCCTGGCTGGCCTGGAGCTTGCTGTGTAGACCAAACTTGCCTTTAACTCACAGAAATATGCATTCCTCTGCCTCCTGGGTTCTGGGATTAATGTGTGCCTCCACTCCTGGCTATTTGTATGTTTTTAATTGAGGAACAAGAGAAACTTTAAATGGTTTGCCCAAGTTTGAGTCAGTCATGGAAATGGGACTAGAGCCCAGGCAGTCCTTTCTTCCAGAGCAGAATGGATGATTAAAGACACAGAAGAGGAGTAATATGATTGTAGGAGATAGCAAAGATGCCAGGTCACATCAGATGTGTCTAGACATCACAGCTCTTGGACAGTGTGTGTTCACAGACAGAAATTCTTCATCTGACTAAAGTTTAGTTAGATTTGTTTAGCAGTTTTTTAACTTATTTAAGAAACCTATCCTTCAAACTACTATAGTACAGAAAAAAGCTATCTAAGAAACCATCCTTCGTTATTGTGTATATCTTACCATAAGCTGACAAAGAAAACGGTAACTTTTTCTTTGCTCATTTAGTTATTACGTAGTTGGCATGTCAGTTCTACACTGTGTGCTTAAAGGTGATGATGCATATTGGAATGGTCCTCCCCCACATTGTGAAAGTAAGTAAATTCTATTTTTCAAAATTTAGACTATTAGTTCTCAACTATTTTGGCCTCAGGACCCTATTATGATTTTAGATTAATAAGTACCCCCCCAAATTTTTTCTTTACAGTTATATCTATTGATATTGATCATGTTGGAATTATAATGGAGATATTTTAAGGGCAATAAACTCAATACATATTAATATATCTCACATGTTTTTATTGAAATTTTGAAAGTAAGAATAGGGACATTGCTTTATGTTTTTGCAAATCTCTTTAATATTTGGCTTGGAGGAAGATATTGGGTGTTAGTTTGTTCAATTATCAAAATTTGTCACTTCTGCAAAAGCATTGTACTGTGGGATGAAAATGATAAATGACAGCATGTTAATATGAGTCTAAGTCACCATCCTATTGAATGAATGTACCTGTACCTTAAAGCACATTTCTCAATCAGTATTCAGCTTGATTTTGTTCATGACAAACAGTTTTTCACCAGATGGTCAGCAACTTTTCTATTGACTAGGACAAAACTTAGCATGACCTCATGAATAAACAGTCATTCTTTCCCTTAGAAAAATGAGTGTTATCCTGAAAGGTCATTTCTGTGTTAGTGGTTTAAATATGAGGTGATGAATTTTCTCATAGAAAACCTTTTCTAGATGAAAATTGGGGTCATAAATAACTTATAGAAATCCTGTGTTGATGAATTTGTTGACAATGATTTAGAGAGCTTCCTAACACTGTCTTGAGTAGATACACTACCTTGCTTTTAACTTATTTCCCTTTTTCCCCGTTTTATAAAGAAGTTTATTGTTTACCACCTCCAAAAATAAAAAATGGAACACACACCTTTACTGATATAGAAGTATTCAAATACCGTGAAGCAGTAATTTACAGTTGTGATCCTAAGCCGGGACCAGATAAGTTTTCCCTTATTGGAATGAGTATGCTCTTCTGTTCTGGTCATAACACCTGGAGTAGCAAGCCTCCAGAATGTAAAGGTAATCATCTTTCCTTCATTTGTAAATAGTTTTACCTAAAAATAAACATAGTGAGTGTATGTCCTTCATCCTCTTATAAAACAGTTTTCTAATTTAATTTCATAGATGTTAAGTTAAATAAAAAAAATAATTCTAGTTATGGAGTTTTCTTCTCATTTTCTAGAGTGTGAGCTACTACCTATAGCTATGAAGTAGGATATTTTTGTTTGAAAGAACCAAAACACTTAACATATACTGGCTGGAAAATAAGGAAGTGTTATCTTGTGTTACAAGAAGACAGAACAATCTAGCTACAGGTAATGTCAGAATAGATTATGATTAGCAGCCCTCTCATTGAAAGAATAATAAAATCTGGCAAAAATGTTTGGTTTTTGTATTTTTTTTAAACTTAAAATGTTTAAGACACTAAAGAGTTACCAAAAACATGGAGACACTGAAAGGGTTTTTCTCCTGAAAGAGAAATACCACTGAATCATAGCAAATGTTTATCTTTCCAAGTGTACATGGAACATCTGCAAGATAGAAAACAATACAGACATTTTTGTTTTGTTTTGCTGTCTTTTGCTTTTTGTTATTTTGACATAAGGTCTCACTATGTAAAACTGGCTAGCCCAGAACTTATAGAAATCTTCTAGGTTCTGCTTCATCAGTGCTGGAATTAAAGGTGTATGTCACCATGACTGGTGACTAATACAATTTTTAAACAAATATAAAAAAAATAGTACTTTAAAGTACATTACCTAATCTCAAGAAAGTAGAAATCCACAAAATTTGAAAATTATGCAAATACATCTAAATAATCTATTGGTAAAGAAGTCAGCAAGAAAATTGGAAAGTATGTGAAATGCATAAAAATGAAAACAACTTCTCAAAAGGTCAGGATTTGCCAGGGTTCATCTGAAGTATTATTTCCTAGCACATAATGTTTGCTTTAGAAAAATAAAAATTTTAAATCAGGGACTGAGGGACCTAGCCTTAGCCTTCCACTGTAGTAATATAAAGAGCAAATTAAACCTGAATAACAAGTTGCAAGAAAGTACAGCAGACATCAATGAAATACAGCAGACATCAATGAAACTGAAAAGAGAGGGGGGAACGAGAAAAATAATCGAAACCAACAGCTGTGTTTTGGAGAAAATGGATAAAATTGATAAAACTATAGCCAGATGTGTGGGGCAGGGGGAGGTGGGGAGGAACCAACATTAAGAATGAGAAGGAACAGGCAGTGGTGGCACACACCTTTCATCCCAGCACTGGCAGAGGCAGGCAGATATCTGTGAGTTCAAAGCCAGCCTGGTCAACCGAGTGAATTGCAGGACAGCCAAGGATACACAGAGAAACCATGTCTAGAAAATAAAACAAAACAAAAACAAATAAAAAAACTGTAAATAAAGAATGAGAAGGAGGACATCACTAAAGATCTTTCAGACATTTAAAGGATGATAAAGGATACACACAGTTTCATGGCCATCAGTTTGACAACTTAAATGAAACTAACATTTCTCAAAGACACAAGATACTGACTTCACCTCAACAGTCCTTATCTTTTAGAGAAATATAATTTGTAGTTAACAGCATTGTCCTGAGACCAAAAGTTATAAATAAAATGATAAAATTAGCAACAATATCCTTAAAGAATATAAAAATAAAAATGCCCAACAAAATATGAGAGCAAATCCTGTGGTACATTAAAAAGAAAAGTTTTTTCATGACGACAGGACTCACCTTTGTAACTCATGGTTACAAGTCTGCTTCTTTGCAAAAATTAATGTAATTCACTATCAAGAATTATATATATACCCTAACCCTATATATAGTCATCTTATTAGATGAAAAAAAAGTAACAACTGCAAAAAGTAACTAAGAGTATTTGATAGAACTTATCTTTTTGTGATAAGACTCAGCAAGCTAGGAGAACATAATTATCCTTTCACCTGATAACAATATCCTACAAAAGTTTTATAGTCAACACTGTGGTAAAAGACTCATTTCTTTCTTTCTTTTTTTTTTTTTTTGGTTTTTCGAGACAGGGTTTCTCTGTGTAGCTTTGCGCCTTTCCTGGAACTCGCTTTGGAGACCAGGCTGGCCTCGAACTCACAGAGATCCGCCTGGCTCTGCCTCCCGAGTGCTGGGATTAAAGGCGTGCGCCGCCGCCACCACCACCCGGCGACTCATTTCTTTCTAATTAAGGATCTAGATAAAATAAAATCTACTCTTATCACTTTGTTCAGTGCTGTGCTGGAGCTCCTGACCAGAACAATAAACTATGAGAAGGAAAAACAAAGAGTAAAACTGTTTCTGAATACAACTTGAGATACTACACACACACACACACACACACACACACACACACACACACACACACACACACACAGCAGTACCAGGTACTGGCAAGGATGTGGAGTAGTTGGAACTGACAAATTGCTGGTAAGAACAACACAAAACAGAGCAAGCATTTTGTGGAATACGTTTGGGAATTTCTTATACACATACACTTAAATAAATATATACACTAGTATATACATTTATATTTGACTGTTAATGTTCCTCATAAGCTTATAAGCCTATTTTCTTTTAAGAATTTCTTCTTAAAATAAGATTGGATTTCCATTGACCTGTCTTCAGATTAACTAATCTTTTCTTTTATTATATTTAGTTATATGAAGTATCTATTTAAAGTTAGGGATATTGGCTATAATTTGAATGTAGTAATCCTTTCAAGTACTATGGAGATCTGACAAACTTATTAAGAAGCACACTTAACTACCACAGTCCAAACAGAGAAGTTCCAGCACTCTAAAATGTCTCCAGGTCTGCTTGTAATCTACCCTTCCTCTCCTAGTTCCACAACCAGCCAACCACTAGACTGTTTTCTATTCCGAGCATGGAATTGAACCTTTCAGAGTGGCTATTTCACTAAGTACATAGCATATGGAAACCATTTGTGGCTTTGCATAAACCAGGAATTCACTATTTTTGTTGTTAAGGATTAATTCATTACTTCAATTAGCCATAGATATTTGTTTCTCATTTCACAAGGTGAATGTGTTTCTAGTTTGGAGTGATTGTAAATAAGGTAGCAAGAACATCCTTAAACATGTTTTTATTTACATGTTTTCACTTAATGTGTGTTGTTGGGTTGTGTGGTACATGCAGTGATTTGAATGTCAATGGACCAGGTAGCCTCAGTGTTTGAACACTGGCTGGGAAATTGTGGAATATTTAGAATGTGGAAACTTATTGGAGGAAGTGGGTCCCTGGGAGTGGGCTTTGAAGTTTTATAACCCAGTCCCACATCCTGTCTGTTCTGTGCTTCCGGTTCCACTAAGATTCGAGAAATCCTAGTTATACAATCCTGCCACCAAGGAGATGCTTGTAACTATGCCCTTCCCTCCATGATGGGCTATGTCCTCTTAAACTGTGAGCCAAAATATACCTTTCCTCTCTTAATTTGTTTCTTATCAGATACTTTGTTACAGTTATAAGAAAATTAACATGTATAACACACACACACACACACACAGAGCAAGCAATTTTGTAGGTTTTAGTAGTTTGCTACACCTACTGAAAAAATTAAAAGTAGTCAAAGAAACAACCACAAAAGCAGTTAACATTCAAAAGAGGTCACAGTTGGCTTCTCTTAATTGGTGCTGGTAAACAATGGTATCTATTAGGTACTAAAAGAGAAATGAAATAATTAACCTATAGTTTTTTTATCAAGAAGAAATCCTTCAAGACAGAAGGTTTAAAAATAAGTGAACCACTGCCATATACACAAAAGCTGAGAACTTTACTAGTCAACCTACAAGAATTGCTAAAGGGGGCTAGAATGATGGCTCAGCAATTAAGAGCACTGGCCACTCTTTCAAAGGACCCGGGTTCAATTCCCAGCACCCACATGGCAGTTCATAACTTGCCTGTAAGCTCTAGGCTGAAAGGAAATGGTATCAGACGTAAGTTCAGGTCCACAAGGAAAAGGAAGAGCACTTAAGCTTACCAAGCTGAATGTGATCTGGTCTCCGCTGCTACTCAGATTTCACCTCATAGTATAGTTTGACATATCCATAGTGCCTAGCCTAGCAATTTTGTCCCTCTCCCACAATTCTCCTAGTAGACTATGATAATAGATTGTGACTCATTTTACTTAAGGAATAGGGAAGAACGGAAAATACCCTGTGTACTAGCATAGGTTGAGTATTATTGTAAACTTTTGAGGGATCTGCGTGCTCATATTTGGAACACAAAATATATTTCTTCTTTAACTCTGGGTTGTAGTTTTAAAAGTTTCAGAAAACATATATATGAAAAATAAACAATATTTTTATTAAATTCTGGGTGATTTTCCTCTTTTCAGTGGTAATATGTCCATTTCCAGTACTACAAAATGGAAGAATGACACCAGGAATTGAAAAAAAATTTTCTTACCGAGAAACAGTGACGTTTGAGTGCATGGAGGGTTTTTACATGAACGGCAGTGATACAGTGGTCTGCGATGCTAACAGCACTTGGGAGCCTCCAATCCCAAGGTGCCTTAGAGGTACAAAATATGTCTTATGTCCATTCTTTGTTTTTCAGGTAGTTTTTGTTTACTTGCTTGTTTTGAAATTTATTCCTTTGATGTTAAATATTGTGATACCTGGAAAGCAATCATTTTGGTATATAGCACAGGCTTATAATCATCCTGTGCATATATATGACATAAAATTCTGCTGTTGTGATTTTTGTTGTTTTTCTGGAAATTTTAGTTTGTTAGATAGAGTATAGCAGTATGTAAGTTCTCTTAAGAATATTAAAAAGTAGGGGCTGGAGAGATGACTCAGAGGTTAAGAGCACTGGCTGCTCTTTCAGAGATCCTGAGTTCAATTCCCAGCAACCACATGGTGGCTCACAACCATCTGTAATGAGATCTGGTGCCCTCTTCTGGTGTGCAGACATACATGCAGGCAGAGCAATGTATACATAATAAATAAATAAATCTTTAAAAAAAAATATTAAGAAGTAGATTGCAACATTTTTTTCAGAGTAAATTGAAACCTGACTATTGCTCTATAATTAAGTCAAGAATGAAAGGCATGGCTCATGATAATGAAAGGTTGATTTCCAATGTGGTCTACCCGAGTATAGAACCAACATTTGAGTTACTCGTGTTTAGTAAAATTCCGCTTCCATTTTTCTAAAAATCTTTAAATTTCTAGTGGAAGGGCCACTGATAACTTTTTTTTTTTTTTTGAGACAAGGTTTCTCTGTGTAGCTTTGAAGCCTGTCCTAGAACTCACTCTGTAGACCAGGCTGGCCTCAAACTCACAGAGATCTTTGCCTGCCTCTGTCTTGAGTGCTGTGATTAAAGGCATATGCCACCACCTGGCCAGGGATAACTCTTGTGTTTTACCAAATTGACATTGTTATTTTGTTTTCTAGTTTCAACTCCCAGTTCAAAAATCTTCATTCTCAGCCGGGCGGTGGTGGCGCACGCCTTTAATCCCAGCACTCGGGAGGCAGAGCCAGGCGGATCTCTGTGAGTTCGAGGCCAGCCTGGGCTACCAAGTGAGTTCCAGGAAAAGGCGCAAAGCTACACAGAGAAACCCTGTCTCGAAAAACCAAAAAAAAAAAAAATCTTCATTCTCATATTTAACAATTTCCTGCTTATATTTTTTAAAAAAACTAAATTCCTGGTGATTTTTTTCAGATACCCTTTAAAATTCCTGCAGTGTCTCTTTACTCATCATTTTTAGTCATTTAGTAATACAGAAAGAAAGAATATATTTGCAGCCATATCATTTGTCAGCTGTGGTAACTCTATTTTATTTGCTAAAGCTCCACACATAAATAGGAATGTGAACTTAGAAAAGTTATGTCAATTTTAAATGTGTATTTCCATGTGTAAAATGATCTAGTACTGTTCTTATAGTGTTCAATACTTAAGTGGGATGCCCTTAAAGGACTTAACACAATACCTGGTGTGTAGGATACTCTTAAAGTTAACTACGTCTTCTCTACTTGAATCAATCTTAATGAAAAGGAAGATCCTTGGCTTCTGTTTGTTGATGTGTTTTCCATGGTCAGCTTTGCTACTTTGTTCTTTTTTTCCCCTAAGTGATTTGCTTACACTTTTGCTCCTTATCATGTTAGATTCAGGTAATGTTTCATTTCCTGAACTGTGGTCAGCTTAGGGGTGAGAGTCTTGTTAGTCATTTTGTTTAGGGTCTTGTATATACTCAAGTTGGCCTCAAAGTCACAATACTCCTGCTTCAGTCTCTTCAGTGCTGGAATTACAGGCATGCACTATGCCCAGCTTTTCAGTTTTTTTTTTTTTAAGTAGTGCATGTAAATAGAAATTTATGCTGCCTCCAGAATGAGATTGGTATTTTGCATTTCCTCCCCACTCCCCTAACCTACTTAAAATTTTTGTTTGTTTGGTTGTTTGTTATTTTTGTTTTTACCAGGCAGCGTTGACAATAGAAACCAGATTACTTAACAACTGAGAGCTAGGAAGCCTCTGCTACTGAAGTGAAATAGAAGGTTTTTTGGAGACTCCTAATCAACTGTTGTTAAGCATGGAGAAGTTGCTATGATGGGAGGAACCTTCATTCTCACACAGGGTGGTAGGAAGAGCATCAGACAGGACTGGCTGTCCACAGGATCCTAGCTTGACTCTGCCTAACCAAACTGACTTCATTTCTGTGAACTTTGGATTCCTGTTGCTTTAATAAGGATATTGAACTCAAGTAAATCTCAATTATTGGTTCTAACTTGTTTAAAGTATTTCCTATCTCCTTAACATTATAAAGGATGGAGAGAATTGTACATGCTCAGTTGCTTACCCAGTAATTAGAATGCGTTTTCTTTCTTTCTTTCTTTCTTTCTTTCTTTCTTTCTTTCTTTCTTTCTTTCTTTCTTTCTTTCTTTCTTTCTTTCTTTCTTTCTTTCTCTTTCTTTTTTATTGTTTTTTTTTAGACAAGATTTTCACTATGTACTAGAACAAGCTGTGTAGATCAGGTTGGCCTGGAACTTACAGAGATCTTCTGCCTCCAAAGTGCTGGGATTAGAGACATGTACCACCATGGCCAAACTCTGGAATACATTTTGATAATTCCTACAACAACCTGACACCTCCCAGTAGCTTCCTTCTATATCATAGTTGAGTCTCTGTTGAAAGGAATTTTTGAAAGCATTGACAGTAAGCACTTGATAAAATATTTATAAAACACTAATTTAGTTTCCTATTTGGAAGACAAGGTATATGAGAAAAGGTTCATAAAGAAGTGAAACTAAGAGGAATTCTTCTGTTAAAAAAAAATCTTGGTAGAATTGTCAGTCACTTTTTATTATTATTAGGGTGCACATGTTTACCTTGAACACATTCTCTTTATGATTTACTTTTAGTTATCTTTATCTTCTAGCATTTGTATTTTTAAAGTATAAAACTGTAATGAACAGTCTTGTACACAGGTCTATGCAATTATATATGCAGATCAAATATATTCATAGACTAAATCCCCAGTAGAACTATAAAGTACAGAATATATATGTATTTTTATTTTGATAGGTAATATTTTAAAAATTTCAATATTAGAATTAAATCCATAATTTTATATTAATAAGTTTAATGAATTAACAGACTCAATTTATTTTTCTAGGTCCTAAGCCTACTCATCCCACCAAGCCTCCGGTTTACAATTACCCAGGTTTGATAGTTCTTTATCCTACTGATGTAATTAAGAATTCCATGAGATATAGATAAAAAATGGTGTCTTGTTTTAATTGTCATTTCTTTAATAAGGCTGAACTTTTTAAAAATACATTTTAAAGCATCTTTTGAGATGGGGATAAAGATGCTCAGGCTTTCTTATCTCAAGTGATCTTTGCCTTTAGATTCTTGCCACTGAGTCCAATGGTCATTTATTCATATCCTCTTACCATTTTTTCTTAAAAAATTTTATTGATTTGAATTTAATTGTTCTTTATAAATTAAAACACTTTTAATGTGAAATGAATGTTTTTCTAGTATTTTTATTAACACTAATAAGTTTTAAATTTTCTGTACTGCTGGATATAGATTTATTTTTATAGATTTAAATTATATAATGTTGCCAAGGTTAATTGATACTAATATTTTAGGGTTGTTTTTATTTATTTTTGTACATCAACATTATCTTACTTTTCCTTTCCCTTTTTCCTCATTATTTTATATTGGTGAAATTATTAAGGCCACTCCACGTAGTTAAAAGGAGATTTATTTAATGGCGTAACTTACAAATTAAGGGATAGGTAGGTCGCGGGGTCTGGGGAAGGTGTATCGCAGTCCAGCGGTGTTCTCTGGAGCTCTGCTTGGTACACCTCTCCAGTCCAGGGTCCCGCAACATAGAGAGCGCCCGCCAATCCAGATCTCGGGTCCCCAGGCGCCTCCTTTCGCCCCGCCTTGTAGGCGTGACAGTTGCCGAAGTCTCAATGGGGGTTGGAACTTCCAGATCAAAGCTGAAATGACTACCCACTACAATTTTATGTGTAATGTGTGTGTGTGTGTTCATGTGTGTTTTTGCATGTATGTGGATACACATGTAGGATATATGCATGTGCTTGTGGAAATCTAAGGTTAAAGTTGGGACTCAGTCTCACTCCCTCTTCCTCCTTATTCACTGTGGCAGGATGTCTCCATCAATCCAGAGCTCACAGATACAGTTAATCTCTCTGGTCTCTGGGAATCCCATCCCCTCTTTCCAAGGCTAGGAATACAGGTAGACTGTCAATATTTATGCAGATTTCTGGGGATCCAAACTTAGATCACCACTCTTATGTAGCAAGTGCTTAATCTCTGAGCTATCTCCCTCACCCACCTTTTCTTTAAAGCAAAAATTATAACAAACTACATATTTCCCATTGATTTGTTCTTTCACTTAATGTCTTAGATTGGGATTTATTTAGATTTATTCCCATAGTAGTTGCATAGTATATATCATACTTTACTAATCTCCTAGTGGTCATGTGTGTCCAGAAGTTTTACATAAATGGGTGATTAGATATATTAATTATTCCTCCAATAGCTCTGAGTTGTATGTCATATAAAAAGCTTTAGGTGAGGATGGGGATGGAAAGATAATTCAGTAGCTAAGAGCAAACCCTGTTCTTGTTCAGTCCCCCCGCCTTGATTCTCAGCACCCATGTGGAGTGGCTCACAACCAACTGTGACTCCAACTTCAGAAGATCTGATACTCTTTTCTGGCCTCCTCAAGTACTGCATACACATGGCGCGCGCGGGCGCGCGCGCGCGCGCACACACACACACACACACACACACACACACACACACACACACACACACATTAAAAAAATAAAATAAAATTTTTAAATAAAAAGAGGCTTTGGGTGTTCCCCTGGTGGGAATTACATTTTCATTCATATATCTGAGTTCTTGTATCAAATTGTTGGTATGCTTGAAACACATGATGGTATTTGTGGGGAGGAGTAACAGGTTGCTCCCTCCTTCATCCCCACTTAGGGGCTAAGAAGGGCTGATAGTTAAGTGGAAGTATAAGCAGAGCTTCTTCAGCTTGGAAGAAGACAGCTTGCCAAACTTTTCATTGTACATAAAGTCACGGGTATTCCAGCCCTCTCTCTCCTTTGAACACTATTCATTCCTGCACCAGATTTGTCTTTTTTAAACTACAGTACTCTTATTTTTTTAGCATTTGACATATTTTTTAACTTCTAGACCGCTCTCACATTAATTTTACAATTTAACCAGACAATTCTTTGGCATTACACACACACACAGACATTCTTGTGCAACCAATTCCCTTTCATCATCCCTAACTGAAACTTTCACTGTTAAATGACTTCACTTTCTTCCCTCTCCCAGCACCTGCTGAACACTGTTCTCCTTGCTTCCCCTTATAACTTTGTCAGTTCTTAGTACTTCCTATACCTAGGTCATACAGCATTTGTCCTGACACAAGCCTTGCTTACTTCTTATAACTAAATCCTTTCAAACTAAATCTTTTTAAGATCCATGTAACTTTCATCTTGTGCTAGGCTCTTTTATGTCTGAATAATACTCCATTATTGCCACATTTTGCTTATTTGTTTATTTTGGTAAACTAAGGTTGCTTTGTGTATACCTCCTAGCTATTCTCTACAGTGCTGTTTTGAACATGGAGTTAGATACCTGTTCAAAGTTTCCACTTTTAATTCTTCTGATGTATATCTAAGAGTAGAACTTCTAGATCATAAGGTGATTCAATTTCATTTTTTGAGGAAGTGTTGTCCTAGTCTTCCACAGCAGCTACATGATTTTACACTATTTTCTTATATCTTCACTCTCCGTTGTACTGGTCTTTTGCTTCATTTCATTTTGTTTTGCTTTTATAACAAGAGCAATCTGTCTTTTTTTGTGTTGCTATAACAGAACACCACAGATGAGCTGATTTATAATAGACAGAAACTTAACTCTCATGGTTCTGGGTTCAGGGAGATATGTAATGTCAAAGTGCTGCTATTTAGCAAATGCCTTCTTGCTACATCATAGCATGCCAGAAGGGAAAAGAGGTAGGAGAAAAAGTGTATGCAACATGGGCAGACTCACTCCTGCAATAATAAACCCAGTCCCTAGATAATGGCATGACACATTTGTGCCCTGATCATCTGAATATCCTTATGTCAGCAAGAATTTCTGCCTGAGTTTTAGAGAAAGAAAGCACTCAAGTCATAGTACCAAGTTAGTAAATATGATTATATATCATATTGGTTTTATTTCCATTTCCCTAATATTAGTGAAGTGTTGAGCATCTTTTCATGAGCTTGTTGGTCATCTATATATCTTATTTGGAGAAATATCTATTCAAGTCCTTGTACTTTTCAAATTGGGTATGTTGCTACTGAGTTTAAGAGTAATTTGGGTATTCTATAATAGCTTATCAAATATGAAATTTAGAATTTTTCCCTCTCATTCTCTACATTGCTTTTATGCTAGTGTCCTTTAGTGTACAAAACTTGTCATTTTAATGAAATATAATTAATCTACTTTGCTGTTATTGTGGCCTATACTTTGTGTCACGTTCAAGAAATCATTGTCAGATCTAAAATCATGAAGTGTTTCCCCACGTTTTCTTCTATAAGTTTTATAGTTTTAGAATCACCTTCAATAATTTGATCCACCTAATTTTTTTTATATATTTTAAGGCTCTAACCTCATTCTTTTGACTGAAAATATCTAATTTCCCCAAACCAACTGCTGAAGAGACCACCCTTTCCCAACGATTGTTTCTGTGTGTCATTGTTTTAAAAAAAAAATCACCTTAAAATGTGTATGTCTATTTCTGAGTTCTATTCCATTCCATAGGTCTGTATGCCTTTATATCAATAATACCCTGTTTTAATTAATATATCTTAGTATATTTTGAAACCAAGAAGTGTGAGTTCTCTCAACTTTGTGTTCTTCAGATTTCATACTGATGGATGATCTATGGACCATAGGATCAATTTTTCTATGATCATATGGACCATAGGATAGATTTTTCTACTTCTGCAGAAAGACAGTGTCATCATGATTTTAATAGGGGTTACACTGAGTCTGTAAAGTGCTTTGAGTAATATAAACAGCTTAAAATAATCTTTTGTCTAACAAACACAGGATTCTGTATTAGGATTTGTTGTTATGACAAAACATTATGAGAAACAATTTAAAATAAAAAAAGACATATTTTCACTGTTTCAGAGGTTTTGTTCTATATTCTGCTAACACCACTGCTGTTGACCTAGGGTGAGGCAGAACATCATGGAAGTGGGAGTGTGTAGCAGAAGAATCTACTCATCTTCTAACAGCTAGAGATCAGAGAAAAACAGACCATGTATAACCTTCAAAGGCATGCCTATATCCTCTAGCAGGGCCCACTTCCTAGTTGCTACCACTTACTAATGCTGCCACCAAGTTACATATCTATTAATGTATTCTATTAATTTAATCAAAGTCCTCAAAAATGCCACCATTTTTCAATGACTGGGTCCATCAGTTGAGTTCCAAGTCTTCAACACATGAGCCTTTGGGGGATGCATTGTATGCAAACCACAACCATATATTTCCATGTATTTATCCCTTGAATCATTTACGGCCAAGTTTTATAGATTTCTCTGTGTAAGTCTTTTACTACCTTGGGGTTATTCTTAGTATTTTACCTTTTTTATGGTATTGCAACTAGAGTTGTTATAATTTCCTTTTTAAAGTATTCATTGTTCTTTGTTTTTTGTATCCTTCAACTTTGATGAACTCATTAGTTTTAGTAGGCTTTTGTGGGAGACTGTCTACATAAAAGTTCATGTCACCTTGTGGCTGAGGCTGTAGCAAAGTGATAGTAGAATGATAGCCTAGTGTGTTTTTTTTTTTTAATTAAGAAATTTTTTATTCATTCCACATACCAACCACAGGTCCCCCTTCATCCCTCCTCCCTCTCCCCACTAGCCTTCCCCCCAGGGTCATCCCCCATCCTCTCCACCAAAAAGGTATGGCCTCCAAAGGGGAATCAGCAAAGCCCAGCACATTCAGCTGAGACAGGTCCAAGCCCCTCCCCCTGCCTCAAGGCTGTGCAAGGTGTCCTACCATAGGCAATGGGCTCCAAAAAGCCAGTTCATGCACCAGGAATAGATCCTATTCCCACTGTGAGGGGCCCCTCAAACAGACCAAGCTACACAACTATCTCGCCCATGAAGAGGGCCCAGTCCAGTCCCATACAGGCTCCACAGCTGTCAGTCCATATTTGATGAGTTCCCACTGGCTTGGTTCAGTTGTGTCTGTCAGTTCCCCCATCATGGTCTTGATGCCCCTTGCTCATAGCATCCCTCTTCCCTCTCTTCAACTGGACTTCCAGAGCTCGGCCTGGTGCTTGGCCATGGCTCTCTTCATCTGTTTCCATCAGTTATTGGATGAAGTCTCTATGATGACAGTTAGGGCATTCACCAATCTTATCACTGGGGTAGGCCAGCTCAGGCACCCCCTCCACCACTACTAGTAGTCTAAGCTGGAGTCATCCCTGTGGATTCCTGGGAACTTTCCTCACACCTAGTTTCCCATGATATCTCTGTAACTGAAAGTTTTCCTGTGTCCCCTTGTCCCACAGCCACTCAGACCCAAATAAACACACACAGGCTGATATTAATTACGAACTCTATAGCCATGACCTATTGCTCAAGCTTCTTGCTAGCTAGCTCTTATAACTAAACTTAGCCCATTTCTATTAATCTGTATGTTGCTATGTGTTCTGTGTGCCATTACATGCTGCTCCCTAGACAACGGGATGGCATCTCCCCTGCCTCTGCCTTTCTTCTTCCTGTCTATCTGCTTGGATTTCCACTTGCCTCTAAGCTGCCTTGCCATAGGCCAGTGCAGCTTTATTTATCAACCAATCAGAGCAAGCAACACATATTCACAGCATACCAAAAGACATCCCACAGCAATTCTCCTTTTCTTTCTAATCAAAAAGGAAGGTTTTAATTTTAACCTAGTAGAATTACATATAACAAAACAGTTATCAAGCAAGAGTTACAGTTACAACATCTAGTCTATTTGTATTTGGCAAAATTAAAGAAAATATTCTATCTATCCTATATTTGTGAGTTTAAAGTTTCATATCTAATTTATCTTTTATCATAACCAAAGAAAATTATAACTATTTAGTCTTCAACTACATCAAAGACCTCAGAAGGATATAATATTACCACAGTAAATAGGAAATGCACTGTAAGCACCTTCCAAAATTCTGGAAATGACAGAGAGAGCTGCCTGCCTGGACAGTCATCCAAAGTTCCTCTGTAATGTTGCGGCATCCATCTTCAGCCAATATGGCTAGAGTTTTTAAATTGCTTCTCCCTGTGTGCTGTAGAATATTTGGTAGTCTCCTTTTGAAGCAGGAACCTGAAGAACCATTTCACCTTGTAAAGTTCAGTGGTCACCTTCCTGCATGTCCAGTTTATATAACATATTATCAGCAGTCCAGGCAAGAGCAGTTTCTTGCCCAAATAGCTATTTTTGCCAAGAAGAAGATAAACTCCATATGGAGTGTCTTTGATGCCTATCTTCCTCTTTGAAGTAAATTGGTGCTGCCAGGAGCAGACATGTCTCACTGTCCAGAAAGTCTAAGTTTTTAAAACATTTTAAATGCCATATTCTGTAGGTCTTTGAAGTGTTTGAAGATTACCTACCTAATTGAATTATATCTATATATACCTAGAAAACTTAACTAACATAACCATAAGTTTGACTATCATAAAAGACTAATTATTAATCTGTGTTTCTTAATTACCCATTACAATCTAAATGAGTTACATAAACATAATACCTTAAATGAGAGTAGAAATATATGTACAGTATAACAAAATTAACTTTAAATTTGTATCAATAAACTAAAATCCATAGCAATGTAAAATATTTTAAACAAGTTGTTACTCTTTGTCCTGTCATATCTATATCCCCTTTTCTTCTTTAGAAAGAGATTGCATTTATAATCAACCTCCTTTAAATAAAAATAAACATTCATAAACAATATTTTGGGAATTTGGGCATAGTTCTCATACTACTTCCTGCTGGTTGAGGGTGCCGGCAATCTTATGGGGATCCTGAGAAAAATAAGAATTATGGTCAAGTCCTGACTGTAATGGTCTGTGAGGCGGCATTGTCTGAGCCAGTTGCATTGAAGCTGTTTTTGGATGTTGGATCATCTAGCCCATGGTGCCATTGGAGACCTTCCAGGGGTCTTGGTTGATCAAACCATATTAGCTTGGAAGCAATACATAGGCTCTCATCTTCTGTGGAAACAAAAGCAGAACCTCTTTTCCAAAGCAATGTATCCTTAGACACAAATTTTGAAGTCAAGATACCATATATATATATATATATATATATATATATATATATATATATATGTGTGTGTGTGTGTGTGTGTGTGTGTGTGTGTGTGTGTGTGTGTATTGGTTTAACTCAGCAGCCTTTACAATCAAATGTCTTTTTACAGTTAAAATTCCCAAAGACAATATAATCCAGATTCTCTATGTAATTTCCATCTTTACCTGGCTTATTTTTTATATTACTTTTACTGTCTCTTTAAAGACTTTATTTTTTAAAAAAACTACTTTTTTATATAACTGTCTATCTTCCTTTTCCTCTCTCTTCCAAGCCTACATGCACTTTTACACATAATGTAAACCATTTAGAGGTTTATTCGATCTGAATTTGCCTTATTGTGAATCTATGATCCTTCTCCGCCCATTTCAGCTTTTCAACATGGCAGAGGTAATTCACCTCCAGCTCTGGGAGTCATTCCACTGACTCTGGGAGGCAGTGGGTCCATGCCTCCACCCAGTAGTGTGTAGTTCAGAAACTTTTTTTTGGTCTGTACTAGCAAAAGCTAATATGCAGCATACTGCACAGCTTGGAGATGCCTCTGTGTACCACAGAAGGAATCCACCATGCTGCAAGTCAAGCCCACATGCCGCAAACCCACCATACTGTAGCTTACAGCTTGCCTGAGCGACACATTTAGCAAACTGTTTTTACCTCCATTTTAGAATCTTTTTTTAAGTTCTCTCAAGTTTTAGGTGGAAAGTCAAGCCAACACATTGGGCAGCCAAATGTAGCTGGAAGTTTTCTCTGGTCCTGCCCAGTACTGTAGTCAGGATAAATCTCTCCCACCCACGTCCCACAGCTGCTTATAAAATAATCACTCAGAGGCTTATTATTTACAAACTTATGGTCATGGCCTATGGCTCAATTTTCTTGCTACCTAGTTCTTATAACTAAACTCAGCCCATTTCTATTAATCTATATGTTGCCGTTGTCACATGTTCTGTGGATTTACCTGTGTGCCATTACATGCTGCTCCCTAGATGGCGAGATGGCGTCTCCCCTGCCTCTGCTTTTCTTCTTCCTGTCTATCTGCTTGAATTTCCACCTGCCTCTAAGCTGCCTTGCCATAGGCCAATGCAGCTTTATTCATCAACCAATCAGAGCAACACATATTCACAGCATACAGAAAGACATCACACAGCATGTCTTCTTCTATCAAGATATCTTCCTCATTGCTCTCCCAGTCTGCCCTTGTTCCAGCTCAACCATCCCATTCCCCCATGCTCCCATCCCTCTTCCCCTACCTTCCATTGCCCCCCCTTACCCCCAGTTTACTCAGGAGATCTCATCTATTTCCCCTTCCCAGGGCAATCCTTGCCTCCCTCTTAGGGTCTTCCTGTTACCTAGCTTCTCTGGAGCTATGGATTGTAGTCTGGTTATCCTTTGCTTTACATCTAGTATCCACTTATGAGTGAGTACATACCATGTTTGTCTTTCTGAGTCTGGGTTGCCTCACTCAGGATATTTTCTAGTTCCATCTGTTTGCCTGCAAATTTCATGATATTGTTTTTTACTGCTGAGTGTACTCCATTGTGTATATGTACCACATTTTCTTTATCCGTTCTTTGGTTGAGGGGCATCTAGGTTGTTTCCAGGTTGTGGTTATTATGAATAATGCTGCTATGAACATAGTAGAGCATGTATCCTTGTGATATGTTTGAGCATTCCTTGGATATGTTCCCAAGAGTAGTATAGCTGGGTCTTGAGGTAGATTGATTCCCAGTTTTTCTGAGAAACCTCCATACTGATTTCCAAAGTTAGCCTAGCATGTTTAGGCCTGAGTTCAACCCCCAACAGCACAAGAAAACAAAGATCACTCCATTTTCAAACATATATTCGTATGTCTTCCTTTCTAACTTGTATTCATTTTCTTTGTTTTTCTTACCTAATTGCTTTGGTTAGATTCCAATACCATGTTGACTATAAGTGGCAAGCATGGGTACCAAATCTTGTTCCTGATTTTAGAGGGAAAGTTTTTAATTTTCATTATTGATAATATTAACTGTGGGTTATTTTTATATGGGATTTATTTTGTTGAGAAAGTTTCTTTCCATTTCAGGTTGATAACTGAAGTATTTATTGAGCCAATTCAGTATCTTTTATTTTAATTAGAATCTCATGAAATTTACAGACTCATTTTGAGAATATACTAATAAGCAACTTTCTATGCTACTATATAATATTACTATAGTGAATACTAGACAGGAAGAAAGCTAATAATGAAAACATGAAAGTGTGGGATTCTATGACACTACTCAAAATAAGATATATTAATGGAGTTTATAAGGAAAATTAAAGTTTAGGAGTTTTTATACATGGGTGAAAAATAAATTTGAGAATTTAAAGGATTTTGATTTTTATTTATTCTTTATTTCTCTTTTTGTTCTATTTTACTTAACCCAGTTTTCTTTCTTTTTTTTTCTAGGATATCCTAATCCCCGTGAAGGAATATTTGCCCAAGAATTAGGTTACTGTTTCAGTTATTTATACCCCTGAAGTATGAGACCTTAACAGTTAACATGGAAATATCATACATTTCAGTTACTGGCAGTTAAGAAGCATATCTTGTCAGTAGAAATAGTTGACATTTAGGATTAAGTAATTTAGGATTACTTACTTTGGACTGACACCATGACAAATGTAAGTACTACTCTATAGAGTGATACATAGGTAAGTACAGTTTCATAGAAGGGCCTCAATATAGGGAAGTTAGTAAGCTGAGGTTACAGTCCATAAAATACAACTTGCCTTCCATGTGATTCTTTTCCTCTTCGTGTCTGACGTACACAGACCTTAAAGTGCTATAAGGTGGACAAACTTGTTTTTCTGTGAAAGATTGGTTTAGCACAATTTATGTAGGCCTCAGTTTATACAATGTACATTAAACAAAGACAAGTGTAGTTACAACAGTTAAAATTCAGTGAAATTTAAAGACATAATGAGTAGGACAAAAATCTGTTATGTTTTACTTATAGATTAGTAATGATTCTTTAAAAAATCACATTTGGCTTATGTTTTTATACATTTGTGTCTCTGAATGCATAGGAGATTGGGTATGATAAACCCATGGTAAATTGAAAATGAACTTAGCAAATTTACCTAAAGATTATCACAGATAGTCAAAGTTTGGGTTTCACTTGTGTGATCCTAGTTCTATAGGAACTGTGGCTTTCCACTGCTGCCCAAGATCTAAGATAAAGTCCCATGTCATATTGCTAACCCAGGCAAAGGTCAAAATTCAAAGCTCAACACTGGTTTCTGCTGAATATGCATCAGTGTCTTACCAATGTAAAATGAAAATCACTCAGTCAAACCATCACAGTTTGTGAACTGTCTATACATGCTTTAGCTTCAGATTCTGTGGTCATTTTATGTCACTATGCCAGTAAATCCAGTGCTTTCTTAAATTGTTAAACATGTGATAAGTGTGTGTGAAATGAGAAGAGCAGAATTGTGGGAGCCCACAGAGGTTTCCTAGTGTGATCTGAGCTTGCTTTACCCAGCAGGGTTGCATAAGGGGATAAATTGACCATGTGCATGGTTACCAGGTGTTTGGAAGGGCCTGCACTTGGCTGTTCTGGGGGAGGTCTTTTGTACCACCCCTTGGCATTCCTTTAAAAAGCCCTTTAGAAGAGACAGAAGGGGGCTGGTGGATTAGGATCCAGGCCCTCCCGAGACTATCCTATGTTTCTGTCTCTCTCTCCCCTCTATATTTTTGTCTAAATCTCTTATCCCTCACTCCTCATGCATACCCTGGGGGAAAAGGTAGGGGCAAGTCCCCCACACAGAATTGAGACTAACACTTTATGCTTTGACTGACAGCAACTTAATTAAAAGTATGTAACTTTAGAAACAAATACATTATTAGACATAAATACTTTCAAAATTTAGGAGTTTGTAGAATGTAATGTTCTCTGGTGACCTGGTTAGCATTAACTGTTAATTTGATACAGCCTAGAGTCACCTGAGACGGCAGTATCAATTTAGGGATTTCCCAGATGAGATTGGCCTGTAGGCATGGGGAAAGAGGATTGTCTTAATTGTTGACTTGTGTAGGAGAGCTCAGCCCACTGTGGACAGCACCATTCCCTGGGCAGGTAGTTCTGCACTGTATATATAGCTTTCTTAAGCTAACTAATCATGAACCTGCTATCAATCTAGCAGTAGTATTCCTTCATGGTTTCTGCTGTAATTCCTTAGTGGTGAGTGATTTCCCTGGTTAAAGGTAATGCTGCATGGAATAGCTGGCAGGCCTGCTTTCAAGTTCTGCCTTGAGTTCCTGCCCTGACTTCCCTCAGTGAAGTATAAGCCAGACAAATTCTTTCCTCCCCTATGTTGCTTTTGGCCAGAGTAAACCAGAACACCCAGTTAATCAACTATGCTTGTTTAAATTCCTCTATACTGCTCATCAATAGATGCTGGTATTTCTTGAGCATGTCACATAAGTGCTCTGCTACTGAATTCCACCTCTTAGGTTACACTTTGCAGAGAGAAGGTCTTTGGTATTTAGGATTATGTCTTCATTTGGGGGGTGGTTGTGAGTGCATTAGGAAGACAGGCAGGGCCCTGATAAGGTAGAATATTATTTGTAAGAACTACAAATAGATTTGTTTAATTTATTGAAACTTATGACATTCTACAGATATACTTTTTGGGGAAATTGATTTTTTTTTAATTATAACACATTATAGAATGCATACTGAACTAAACCAAATATAAGAAGATAGTATATTGTGTAATGGTTTTCCTCTATTTGATGAATTCTAATTCTGTAATAACCTTTACTAAATAACCTGATGGGGTAAGAAAAAAAACACTGAAAATTGAAGTTCACAAGTTGAACCCCAAACCTAGAAACAGATTTACAAGTATTCTATGATCAAAATGACTTAGTTATGTTAATGATTATGTTCAAAGTAGATAAATAAACTTTTATTATTTATTCTCCTAAGTGTGGACTAGCTGAACTATCCTAGAGACTTCTAAATGCTTGGCTTCTCTTTTTTCCCCTTAGATGCATGGATTATTGCTCTGATTGCTATTACTTCAAGTAAGTATCCCAAACTTTCCACTGCTTAAATCCAATTGTTACTGTAAAACAGTAAATTTTTAAAAGTTTTTAAACTTGAGATGAACAAACTTAGAAAACCTGGTCTTTTATGTATTACCCTCTGTTAATTTATATTATTTCATATTCTGTATGTCTACTTAGAAGTAGCCTGTAAGCAATGCATCTTCTTAAGATGATGTACTATGAATGTTCATCCCAAGTATGCTTTTGATAATTTCTTTAAATTCAGCCAAGCCTCTCCTCTGTCTTACTATAGACTGTGATTCCAGGGAATTGTATTTAGAGAATAAAGAGTGCAGATGGAATCTAAATGCATAACTGGTTACCACTGAAATATGACTGATTTATTTCTTCTGCTTAAATTTTGAATCTTGGCAATCATTCTAAGAGTTACATGCTATTCATTTTCCTTTTCTTGCAGTTGTTGGCATTATTGTAATTTGTCTCATCATACTCAGATATCTTGAGTACAGGAAGAAAGGGTAAGTATTCTGAGTTAGCCATGATCTTCAGCATGCCTTTGTGCAACTGGTTTGTCCTCTGCCTTGAGCACTGTCCTTTTTAAAGTATGCCTGCAGTCATGTGCCCTACAAATTGCATTTCTTTGCTAAAACATGGTCAGCTGCTTTTAACATCAGTGCAGCATAAGGATCTGTGTGAAGTTGCTTTTCTAGCAGCTATTATGGCTACAGGAAAGTTTTCTATGGAATTTGAAGCTTTAGTTGCTTAGTGAAGCAAGGTCATTATGAAGTTTTTCCTGCTCTAGGTAAATCCTATTTCCTAAGTTTGAAAGTGGCCAAAATTATATTTGAAATATTTCGGTGTGATATTTTCACTTTAAAGTCACTAAAATTTTATGATTAAAAGCTTACATTTGTATAACTTGGCTAGTGGTAAGAAGCTATGTAGGGGCCTGATTTCTTTATAGAGTTATTTATTAATGTTAACCAGGGTGATTGAGACCATCACCATTTGATTTCTCTCTTCTGTTCTCCTAAATGTTTCTTTTTTCCTACAGACTAATGAATGAATTAAAAGTAGCTGAAGGGCTAAAATTCGCAGGGCACTCTATTATCTTTTATCTGTCTACCTCTATAAAAATGAAAACAAAGGGGGATTAGAACAGGAAAAATTACAAGTACATATATTTAAAAAGAAATAAGGTTTAGAAGAGACAAAGGTATTCAGGATGGTATGTCCATAGGTGAAAATAGGGATTCAAAGTATCAAAATTAAATGTAGCAAATTTACATATAATGTAAGATTTGGAAAAAAATTTAGGACATGGATCAGATTAGTTCTTTGACATTTCTGATAGGAATTAGGCAATTTCATTTTTTTTCTTGTCACTTTAAAACAGTTCCAAGGTATATCTGAATAGGCAAATGTGGTGAGAAGCAGGCTGAGGTGGGTGGCTTCATTGCCACCCAGGACCATGGTCTTTTATATACATAAAGATATATGGATAGCCGGGCGGTGGTGGCGCACGCCTTTAATCCCAGCACTCGGGAGGCAGAGCCAGGCGGATCTCTGTGAGTTCGAGGCCAGCCTGGTCTCCAAAGCGAGTTCCAGGAAAGGCGCAAAGCTACACAGAGAAACCCTGTCTCGAAAAACCAAAAAAAAAAAAAAAAAAAAAAAAAAAAAAAAAAAAAAAAAAAAAAAAAGAAGATTTAAAAAAAAAAAAAAAAAAAGATATATGGATAAAAGTGTTTGCTGCATGATTCATTATGTCACACTACAGTTTCCACAATGAGATTTTTTTCCTTTTTCTTTCTCTTAAATTTTATTTTATTTTATTTGTGGAGGGGGGAGGTTGCAAAGGGATGGGAAATGAATGGGATCGATATGCATGATGCGAAAGCCACAAAGAACAAATAAAAAAAGTTTAATAAAAAATAAAAGAGCTCTGACATCATCCCTAATAAATGCAAGACCCGTATTTCATGTTTAATTTTAAATTAATCATCAGGTTTGGGCTCTTAAGTAGAAATATATTCTTCACTTGTAAAAAGCTCAGTCTTTTTATTTATATTTTTTAAATAAAATCATTTTATTCTAATTAACTCAAATAAAAAATCACACAGCTAGATTGAGGAAGTCACTCAAATACTTGCCCAGTCCCAAATCCTATACATTTTGATGATCTTCTATATCATTAGTATAGCCATTCTGAAGTAATAGAGCGTTGCTTAGGGTTTTACATTCTCTCTGTCAATCATATTTTTATTTACTTACCCATCAGCAAAAAAAGGGGGGAGGGGACTATGTCAGAGTTAAAAGTAGAAAAAGCAAATAAATTTTGAAACTTTTAAATATTACCTTATTATCTGTTTTAAGTGCCTGTAATTCCTTTATTTGAATCTCAAATCTTGTATTTATAGGACATCTAGTAATAACACTTGATTTATCTATTGATTGTATTTCTTTAAATTACATTGATAAACAATATTACTAAGGAATACTATCAGTGGTTTTATTACTGTAAAAGGTTTGTGTAGAAATAACTTCCAAAGAAAGTAAAACAAAGTAGATTTTCATTGCCTTTTTTGTTATTGTTTATAACATCACTCCATAAAAATTCATAATGGATTTCTAGAAATATTAATATACTATACAGACTGTATAGCTATCGGTTAATGGGTCTTTTAAAGCTAAGCAATTACCTGGTCATTGTCCTCACAAATATTCAATAGTGACTTGAAAATCTAAAAATAATTTGTTTTGTCATTTTTCTTGTTCATATGTAACACTACAGTGGTCTATCAGAATATTCAATTTAAAAATACTTTGGGAAAATTATTTGTCTTCTAACAGTGCAATGTATAGAGTAGTACACTTTTAGAAAAAGTTTCCAATGGTATTGGAAGAATAACTCTTAATTGTCTCTGAGCTAAAACATAAATTGCATTGATAGTCTTTCAGGATATACTTTGCCCTTTTCAGGATACACTTTGCCTTTTTAATGACAAGAAGCCAATATAACATATGATGGTTAAATTAAAAATTAGGTTCTTCCCATGCTTATCATGCAAAGGCATTGAGTTAATCTCCAGCAAACAAAAAAGTAATTTAATTTTCAGAATGCTTGACTTCAGAACACTGAAGTTCATATACAGATGCATGTGGGGTTTTCTTTCTTTCTTTTTTTCAGGGAATATCTCACTATGTATCCCTGGCTAGTCTCAAGCTTGTGATGATCCTCCTGCCTTGCCTCCCTAGTGGTAATATTTTATCCCTAAATTTACTCTCCTAAGGGGTCAGATGCATTTCTTCTTTAACATAGCAAGCAATACATCTTTGTAGGCCCATGAATCACTTGGAGATCTTCTGATCCTTTGGTATGAGATAAGTCTGAGACCTACTGTCTAATGCAGTCCCAAAGGTGCTGTATGGTCCACTGTATACAATTATCCATGGGCCAATGTTGTTGAAATCTAAAAAAAAAAAACACACTGTCAAACTCATTGTCTTTTAGTTTATTTTCTTTTCTGATATTTAAGGTCATTAAAGTCTCTGTCTCTCTGTCTCTGTCTCTGTCTCTCTCTCATAGTGAGTTTCTCTCATGAAACTATGTAGAACAGACTGGCCTCGAACTTACAGAGATTCACCTGCATCTGCCTCCCAAGTGCTGGGATTAAAGGTGTATGCACAATTGTGCCCAGCCACTATATATTTTTAAAGATTTATTTTTATTTTATGTGTAGGAGTATTTTGTCTACATGTATATAAATGTATGTGCCTGGTTCACAAGAGTGGGTCTTTGTTTTATTTAAATCTTTTGTGCTATTTTCTTAATAGTGCTTAATGTCCATAACCTTTCCCCTCAAAGTGGCTTTCATTGTCCCTGAGTTAACAGGAATAAATAAACTCCTGTTATCCTCTAATCTCACTTGACAATCAACACAGAAGACTTCTGTGAGAAAAATGTCAATTTCCCCCACACAGAAATCTGTCAGATCTGCAGCAGACACCAGTTGGTGTCTGCTATTTAGTTCAATTCAAATCTCCACAGCTAGGTAGATCTCCACAACTTTCCCTTTTAGATGTCAGTCCTAAGCTCAGCTATTTTACCTGTGCTTTTGACCCACCAACTATAAATCATGAATTTGAATTGCAGAGGAAAAGATGTGTCAGAGAAGGGCAAGAAGGCTCCATGACTTCTAGGGTAACTACCCCTAGAAACTTTTTTGTTCCCCTGTTTGGAATCTCCAAACCCAATTCTTTCTTCCTCTTTTTTTAAATCATGATTAATTAGATCATTTAGCCTTCATCCTTTTGTGGTGATATTGTGTTCCCCAAAATATTGTGCACCCTAATAAATTTATTTGGGGTCAGAGAACAGAACAGCCACTAGATATAGAGGCCAGAAAATGGTGGCACACACACCTTTAATCCTAGCATTAGAGAGGCAGAGATCCGTCTGGATCTCTGTGAGTTCAAAGCCACGCTGGAAACCACCAGGCATGGTGACACATGCCTTTAATCCCAGGAAATGATGGCAGGAAGCAGAAAGGTATTTAAGGCATGAGGATGAGGAACTAGAGCCTGGTTAGGCTTTTAGGCTTTTGAGCAGCAGTTCAGCTGAGATCCATCTGGATGAGGACTTAGAAGCTTCCAGTCTGAGGAAACAGGATCAGATGAGGAACTGGCAAGGTGAGGTGGCTGTGACTTGTTCTGCTTCTCTGATCTTCCAGCATTCACCCCAATACCCGACTTCAGGTTTGTTTTTATTAATATGACTTCTTTTTTTTTTTTTTTTTTCGAGACAGGGTTTCTCTGTGTAGCTTTGCGCCTTTCCTGGAACTCACTCTGTAGTCCAGGCTGGCCTCGAACTCACAGAGATCCGCCTGCCTCTGCCTCCCTAGTGCTGGGATTAAAGGCGTGCACCACCAATGCCCGGCTTTAATATGACCTTTTAAGATTCGTGCTACATCCCTTCTTGGGAGGCTGGGCAGTAGGGCTGAGTTTCAACCCTCTAGTATTGTCTAGCTCTTTTCTGAAGCTTCTGAGAGGTTCTAGCCATGAGTTAGTTCATTAGCACACAAAAAGTCATCATTTTGAAGAGTCCAAGAATATTAAGAGTTGCTGGCACGCCGGGCAGTGGTGGCGCAAGCCTTTAGCTCCAGCACTTGAGAGGCAGAGCCAGGCAGATCTCTGAGTTGGAGGCCAGCCTGGTCTACAGAGTGAGATCCCGAACAGGCACCAAAACTACACAAGAGAAACCCTGTCTCACAAAACAAAAACCAACCAACCAAACAAACAAAAAGTTGTTGGCTACAGAACGATGGTAAAGACTAAATGTGTGTTTCACAGTATCACATTGCCATTGTAACTTCTTATATAAGACTATAAAATGTGTAATGTGTACTTACTTTTCTATTTTTAGGGGATAATTGGAAAAAGGCATAGATGTTCTCAAATTTTTGTTAAAGTATGTTTTAAAAATCGGCTTTGATGTAAATAAATATTTGTGATGACTTGAGAGCATAGTGATCCTTCTCTAGCCCTCATCACAGAGTGTAAACATTGTACAAATAATACAAAGAGCATTAGCATCATTTAAGTTTGCGGAAAATAGCCAAAAGGTTAAAATTATTCTATAGTTTTGCTTACTGACTCTCAGGTATAAGAAAAGGATAGAATTTGGACTAGGGTGGTAGCTTGCCAGTAAACTATTTGCCATACAAACATAAAGACCTGAATTTAATTCCCAGGACCTACATAAAAAGCTAGGTGTGGTGGCACATACTTGCAATCCCAGCACTGGGGATGCAGACATAGACAAATTCGGGGTTAGCCTAGCCTGTCATACATACATATACAAAATGGGTTAGGATCATTGATAGGGGTCTCAAGTCTAGCCCACAGGCTTCTCTCCATTTTCCTCCCTAGCCTCCTTTCCTCATTAATTCTTTCCTCTTGGAAGCAACATACTGTTTGACTCACATCTTACAAGTCTGTGTGCTTCTGAACCACAAATGCTTTTTGTTTAAATGTTTTCACTTGTGACTCCCCCCCCCCCCGCATATATGCATGATTTTCCTTACTTACATCCCTAGAGAGGTAAGAGTTATCCCATTAATGAAAATTATTTGCATAATTCATGTTTTATTATACATGACAGTAATTTTCATTGTTTTCCATTAGTGATATTTACTACCTGGAATAACTTAAATTAATATTTACTGGTTCAGTCATGTTATCATCTGTAAATTGGGCTTAAATGAAACAGCTTAAAAGCTGTGACCAGTACAGACAGCTGAGGAGTACAATAAGGTGCAGAGAGTCAAGGATCCAATTAATTTCAGCATTTTTTTCTACTTGACTCTCAAACTTCTGAGCATTCAACAGACTTTTCTACATTTTTTTTTTTTTTTGAGACAGGGTTTCTCTGTATACCCCTGGCTGTCCTGGAACTCACTATGTAGACCAGGCTGGCCTCAAACTCAGAGATCCACCTGTCTCTGCCTCCTGGGTACTGGGATTAAAGGTATGCATTACCACTTCCTGGCCTCTACAATTTTATGTACAAAAGAATACATAGGAAAATATTGTGTAATTGTTTAGAAAGTGTATAACAAAATCACAACCCCTAAATTTAGAGGTCATGTTGTAAATTACTTGAGGATCATCCTGTACATGTCTTAAACTCCAGCACTCAAGAGGAAGAGGCAGACAGATCTCTCTGAGTTTGAGGCTAGCCTAAGTGAATTCTAGCCGAGGCTACATAGTGAGACCCTGCCTAAAAAAAGAAAGAAGGAAAAAGGAAAGAAATAAAGAAAAAAATTGCATGGAAAAGAAAAAATTCATACCATAGAAAGAAATTATACCCAATGCAAAATCAAGATGCATCAGAAAACACTTGACTTGTCATAAAGATGATTCATAAGAGATTTAATATATATTGTTTTCCTCCAAGATTAAAATTATATAAACCTGAACTTGAGCTTTTACAGTATTACAGAGTGGTTCAAAGGTAAACACAGAACAGCACTGTCATATGTGCTCATCTGATGAGCGGTATGTGATTTCAGAGTTAATGTTATGTACTTGAGTGAGAATCCTAAAATCTCAGTTCATAAGCCTGGAGATCATCTTCATTCAGTAACCCCATACTAGGCAACTCTTCCTTTGTAGTGACTTTATTTAGCCCCTTTCCCTTCCTTTGTTTAACACATACCTAACTGATGAGAGCTACAGAGAAGTAAAATTTACAACTCTCTGAGAGTTTTAGTTTTATCTTCAATGTAAAATGTTGTTTTGAAAAGCAGCTGGTGGATATTAAGACACCAGTCTCATGAGTTCAACTATATTGGCAGGAAAGATAAAAGAGGAAGCTTAGATTCCTGTTCTCTTCACCAAATTATTGATGTTTTCTTATATTCTTTTTCCAAGTTTAACACAGACAGGACTCTGTTGTGAAGTTGTCTTAAACAGTTATGACCCAGTACCCTCCTAGTAGTCCAATTGTCTCTACTTCTGAAACAGCTATAAACCTAGACATAAAAGTGTTTTTTGAGCCTGAAGGGAAACAGTCAACAGAACCAGTTCATTTCAAGGGCAAGCAGGGGAAGAAAATGTCCTTTATAGAAACCAATGTACAGTTTACATTTTACAAATGTACACAACTCCAACTTAAAACTAATTCCATAAAGGTATTTACCTGTTTCTCTGAACCAAAATATATTTGGCATATTATAGAAAAACAATATAGCCTCAGCTTTTGAAAAATATACTTGTGTCAGGCAGTGGTGGTGCACACCTTTAATTCTAGCACTGGGGAGGCAGAGACAGTGGATCTCTGAATTCGAGGCCAGCCTGGTCTATAGAGCAAGTTCCAGAACAGCCAGGGACACATGGAGAAACCATCTCGAAATATCTCGAACCCCTCCCCCCCAAAAATTAGTTGTTTTACCTTAAGCTTTCTGACTCCATCCACCAGTTTATCTTTGGATTAAAGTAAATTAAGTGTTATGGTGGTACACACCCATAATACCAGGATACAGGAAGCTGAGGCAGGAGAATCCAGAGATGGAGGGCAGCCAGAACCACCTAGTAAGGCTGCCTAAAAACTAAAGAAAAAAAAAGTGTTCCTCTATTTGTGCTACAATGTATATCTACATGGCTAGGAGTTAGGGCAGAGCCTATGAGACCTTTCCCTAGTCCATGAAATCTTGGGAACAAGACCCACAGAGGCTCATGGGAAGGCTTGTTTCATGAACAAAGTTGGTGTCTCTGATAACAGGGTAGAGGAAAGACAAAATGGGCCAACTAGGAGAGGCCTCTGGTCTGTCCAGTCATGACAGTTATACTTTCTAGTCTCCTGGGACAGCTGAGGAAAGCTAACTCGGAAAGCAGTGTTTAGAACTGAGCTTGGGAGTGTGGGCAAACATTTAGAGATAATTCAGTGACTGCTAAAGTTAATTTCAAAAACCAATTAGAAATTCAGTTTCAATTTTTCCTCATTAAAATAGCTTTTAAAATGCAATTCCAAACTTATCATTGCTTTCTTAATTTATCCATTTATTTATTTATTTATTTGGTTTTTTTTTTTTCTATTTTATCATTGCTTTTAAAGAAAGATTTATTTTTATGTGTCTGAGGATTATGTGCATGTGAATACTGGTGCCTATGGAAGCCAGAGGCCTTGGATTCCCTGGAGCTGAAGTTACAGGTGGTTATGAGCTACCCGATATAGGGGCTAGGACCCAAACTCTAGACTTATGCAAGATCATTGCTTTTTTTTTTTAACCTTTTCTGAGTGTTGGATTTCTTTTTAAATATTAAGGAAAAAGATTCCACTAAATAAAATATAGCACTCTTAAGAAAATTTAGTGATAAGCTAAACTAAGTCACTTACTATAGCAGTCTTAAGAAACTGCTGTTATGAGTATAGTGACAGGATCATAATGACAGCCTAGCTCACAGACAGGAACAGGTAATCATTGCTGGCTTTTGCACTGTGTGGTCATCCCTAAAGAATGCATGCACACTGGTAAATAACTGGTTGCTCTAAGTTTTGGGTTAAATTTTGCAGTCAGTTTCCTAAGGCAGGGCCTAGAGTGCAGCTTTCTCTACTCAAAAGTGAATGGCCACAATATGGACTTTTAGAATCACTGTTTCTCCCAGACTTCATCAGGTGCAAAACTCTGAGACTAGACAAGCCTGCATGCCTCCCTCATCTAAATTTGGTCCTAAATCAAAACAAAGGAAACGTTTACTAAGTACTATGTACATAGCAGCTTTACTTCTTGTTTTAGAGGGGATCAAAAACACAAGGATAGAAGAGTTTTTGTTTGTTTGTTTTGTTTTTAGGGTGAGACATGAACAGACTCAATACAATAAAAAGTATTTTTTTTAATTGTCTACCTTGGGGTTGGGAAAATATAGCTCAGTTGTAGAGTACTTACCTAGTATGTATTAGGAACTGGATTCCATTCCCATCACCACAAGAAAAAAAATGCTTATTTTCAAAGTAGGTTTCTGGAACTTAATTTCTGCATGTAGTTATATTTGTTTTGATGCTGCCCTTATACCTTGTCTTGTAGGAAAACCGGGGTTAAAGCTAAGTCTACCACTTCCCTGAAAAGGTCAACCTCACAAACAGAGAAAACTGCATCATTGCCACAAATCTCAAAAAGCAACGTATCTGTTGCCTCTAATCTGTAAGTCACTATTTCCACTGTCATGCATGCAATTATTGGGTCACAGTTCTCACAATTTAATGTGTAATTCATACACTTTAAAATGTGTATGAATTTTGTATAGAAAATGTGTTTGGTTTCCTTTAACTATCATTTGTATTTAAAAGCATGCCAATACCATATCCTGACCCACTTGAGACTGGGAAATTATTAATTTCATAATAATGTGTAACTCAGAGAAATATAATTTATAATGAAATTACATTTCAGCTAACATGGTGGTACACGCCTATAGTCCAGAGGTAGGAGAGTTTGAAGTTAGCCTGGCTACATTTTAAAGCAAAATCTTGTCTTTAAAAATTACATTTTATTTGTTTTAAAAAGAGGGTGATTTTGAAGTCTTTTTAATGTTAATTCTTAAGATTTCTCTTTTTGACAATTCTAAAAATATATTTTCTATATGGTTCATTATAAAAAGCCTTCATAAATGCACATACCCCTTCAGCTCTGATCCATTAAAACCAGAACACTAAAAATTGGGAATATAAACAATTTAGAAATCCTTAACTAAGAATATTAATAGCAAAACTATGTAAATGTTAGTAGAGTAAAATCCTACTTTTCTGACAACTTCAATGATTTAAATAAATTAGAAGTTTGATGTCTGGCATTTAACTTTTTTGAACATCAATAAACCAGCCAAAGAAACACTACTAAGATTTCACAGCTAGTTGCATGCTTCTGTAAAAGGCTATATGGCTGTGATACCCATAACAAGAATCTACAAAGTGAACACTGTAGCCTTTTTGTTGAGTCACTCACTCTGAAGTTCTGGCTATTTACGACTTTCTTTCATTAAACACGTCTTTAAACAAGCCACCTAAGCTGTTTGTAAAGAATACATTCATCAGATAACTTCAAGAGTGCGGAAAACAGGCACTGCACATCGCCTTTGCCAGGGGAAGCCTTTTTCTTAACCACTCTCCTGAAGGCACTCCTGCTGTCAGCTGTACTGAAGGAGCTCTGTTAGCAGGTCATACTCAAGTAGTAGAACAGAGCTTAGCCTCCACCAGGTCCCAACCCATTGGCTGAGGAACTAGTGCTGAAAGAGGAAACTGCCACTCCTGATTAGCTGTCCTTTCTAAGGTGTGTTTTAAACTTTTACATTCAGTAGCATAGAATGGTCAAAGAAGCATCGCGTTGGGAAGACTGGGTGAAGGTGAATCCTGTTTTGAGTATAAACACCTGCAGTCACTCTGAGTGACCCCTCTCCCTTTGTGCCCCCAGTGGATACTTTGGAAAGATAATGTTTGAACAGAAAAACAAACCGCCCAGAAACTCTGAATTAAGAAAAATTGAAGTCTGTACTCATTTTCACAAACTTTTAAAAAATGTAGCAATTGTACCTAGGCCTCATGGTATACTTATAATCTCAGCATTTAAAAAACAGACAAAAAGATAGGTTAAAAAAATAATTTACTAATTGTTTAAAAACAAGAAATGGCTTTACTGTTTTTAAACTTAATTTAAAATATTTTTAATAGCATGTTCTGCTTCAAATTTAACCTTCAAATTAGTACTTATATTTGAGATGTATAAATCTATATTTTTATTTTTACCAAATAATTTGTCAGTTATATAAATGTATGAGGAAAAGTGTTTTTTGTTTTTAAGATTGTCTAAATGATAGAGAAAGAGGCATATTTGAACTTAAAATGTTCTTTTAACTACAGAGCTGTATCTGAAGCAAACTGAGAAGTCCCATGTGTGGAAGTCATTACTGTTCCATTTTTGAAAACTGGCTCTTCAAGTCTGGCAAAAGTAAAATTATATATTTGCAGGAGCTTCATTTGTGGTAATATATGTGTGTGTGTGTGTTTCTAGTGTAAATATTGTTTCTAACTGCGATCTGTGTCTAACCTTTTTGCCATCTCCTCATATCTCAGACCCTCCAGCTTACCAAGGTTTCAACTCTGAGCCCTGAGTGCCTGTGTCCTGAGCAAAATGTTCAGTGACATGTTACCTGCAGGAAGAAGGCCATATTTCCAAGCATGACATCAGACCTTCTACAATTCCAACTCTTCTCCCTATACCTCACATTTTCACTGCACTTAATGGTTGTGCAGTAAGCACACATCTGTGTCTTCCACACTCTCAATCTCTTGTTACCTAAAATGCTGAACATCCTCTCCAGATCCATGTATCTCCAAGGCCAATGCATGTCCTACCTGTCCTGTGAAGCTCTGACTCCTCAGGCTCTTAATCTTTTATTGCCTAGCCTTAGGTTAGCCGCATTTAAGACTCTATATATGTGTCTAATAGGAGATGTAACTTTCATATCACTTTAATGCATTCATAGAACTCAAAAAATAAAGTCTACCAATTAAAGTAAAAACTTGACCTGTGTAACTAATAGGATTTGGTTTTCTTTATGCAAAAAGAGTTCTTGCTGCCTTTGCAGATGTGAAGTAAGCCAGACTAAGTAAAGCCAAGCCAATGTTTCTTACCTGAGGCTGTCAATTAGCCTTCCCCAGGAAGTTTTTATTGACACCAAGAACCACCCTAGTGGGCACTCATATTATTAATTTGAGGTGTGACCTGAACACAGGAGGTTTTGATTTCTCCAGTGATTTTAATCTGCCAGCTGAGGCTGAGAACCTGCATTAGTGATTCTTAGGCCTGACAGTCAACTCTCCATATAAACTTATAAAGAGGGTAAAAACTTAAAGAAAATCAGTTTAATTCTGCTCATTAAAAAAATTTTCAAAGACTTGAATTTAATGTTGTTCATGGGTTGGGGATGTAGCTTAGCAGAAAGGTTGCTCAGCATGCACAAGACCCTAGATTCAATTCCTGGCACTGGGGGAAAAAAAAGTCATTAACAGATTATTAACATAACCTTGTTTGCCTAGAAGTCTTAATGTCTGTCAAAATAAGCAATGATAAAGTTTTAAAATATAATAGTAATATTAATGAATATCAACACAGAATGAAAATTACATTGACTAAAGCATTTTAGACAATTAGTATGAGACTAGCATATTTTTAATTGGCATAAAATACAGAGAACTTTTACAGTAACCAACAATAAATTGTCTAAATTATGCTAGAAAGACTTGGGGGCAAAATTGAATTTGCACTTTAAAGTAATTTTAAGGTTTTAGGGAAATGAGCAGTTCTACAGTGTTCTAAAGCTTGTGATACCAGATAGCTAACATTTTAACCAAGACTAGATTTGGCATATTTTAACAATTTGCCTACTTAAGAGCAGAATTTAACAGCCTATTAACTTTTAGAACTGATTCAGAATTGAGTGAATCTGATACACGAGTGTTTTCCCCTATGTTTTGGATCTCTAGGCTCATCCAGGGGTTACCCTAGATGAGCTGCCAACCTTTGAGACATAGCACTGCCGCCATCCTATAGACTGTTTGAGTATTTGACAGTCCTCTGCCCCTTCACTGTGAGGTTGTCCTTGCTGGAACTCCAGAGCCATTAATTTTACTTTAGGTCAGGTAGAACACTAGCTCTCTTCTGCTTTTGGGAAAGTAACAATTTCTTTGTTCCTTACTTCTTAATATGGAGAAAATATAATACTGGGGGAACAGGTGAGTGCACAATTTCCCTTCTTGCTTGCTTACATACAGCAAGTGAATACACTGCCACACAATGCTGGAAAACTACCCACCTGTATTCCTGACATGACTGGACAAAATCCAGTAAAACTTGACACAGGTAGTAAGAGTGATGTGAGGAATAAGCAGACAAAATTTTAGCTATGAATACTGTTGTACAATGCAATGCTAAACCCTGTGTTGAACCACTAGAAACAGGAGCTCTGGTGTCCTGGTGTTTGGCGTTTGTGGCTTCACTGGGAATTCAAGGAACATCGAATGCTTAGGTGAACACAATAAGTATGGTGCTTGGAAAAATCAAGTCATCTGATTACCTACCTCCACTTGCAACATCTCCTCAAAAAATATTAAATCTATACTTGAGGTGAGCTTCAAACATGAAGAGTTCCTTCTGTAGGTTCCCACAGCAATATGCTTCTCAAATTCTGATGTACAGGTTAATCGTGATCTTATTAAAAGGTGAACACTAATCAGAGAAGACAGTGTGACCAGTGAAGCTTGAGGAAGACAAGCCAAAGAATACAGCCTGTTTATAGACAAAGAAAGGCATAAACCTCTTTTTCCTTCATATTTCTGAAGGGTTTGTGTCTGACAGCACCTTGATTTCAGTCCAATAAAAATGTCAGATGTAGCTAGAGTTTTCCTGCCTGGCCCACAGTCAGGACAAATCTCTCTCACCTCCCAGTCCCACAGCTGTCAGACCCAACCAAGTAAACACAGAGACTTATATTGGTTACAAACTGTATGGCCGTGGCAGGCTTCTTGCTAACTGTTCTTACAGCTTAAATTAATCCATTTCCATTAATCTATACCTTGCCACGTGGCTCATGGCTTACTGGCATCTTCACATGCTGTTTGTCATCATGGCGGCTGGCAGTGTCTCTTTGACTCAGCTTTCCACTTCCCAGCTTTATTCTCCTCCTTGTCCCGCCTATACTTCCTGCCTAGCCAATGGCCAATCAGTGTTTTATTTATTGACCAATCAGAGCAACACATTTGCCATACAGAACATCCCACAGCAGTCAGATTCCTGCTATCCAGAACTGTTAAGAATGTGTGTGTTAAGGCATCACATTTGTGCTAATTTGTTACAGCAGTTATAGGAAATTTATGCACCAACATAATAACTAGAAGGAAGCAAAGAACTATGACCAAAATAGTATGGGCTTTTCAGAAATAGGGAAATGGCTCTCAGCCCTGACCGTACACTAGACTCATCTGAGCCCCATTCTGAGACCAGTTAAAATAGTACTTCCTTATTGATGACCAAAGCTGTGGCAAGGTACTACTGGGTTAGAATGTGCCCCAGATATAACATATTAAAGGGACTACCTTAGGCTTCCCTAAAACATATGGACATATCAGTGTGCTAGCTATTCCTGAGACTATATGCCAGCTTCCAAATAGAAGGTCTGGACCAACTTCTTAGAGATGCTGGGGTCCAGACTTAATTCATTTGATCTACTAAACTGACTGTAGATCTTTCTTCCTCCAGTTAACAAAAGTGCATTATATTCACTTCTAAAAAGTCTGATAAGGCTTAAGTTAATAATGCTTCAACAAAAGACTTTCTACCATGGGTTGACAGCATGGTTTCATAAGCCTGACTCAGGAGGGTATTGCCAAAAAAAAAAAAAATTCTACATTACCAGTCAATTATGACTGGTAATTTTATGTGGCAATTTTATGTAAAGTGCTCTAAGCATCCAGATTAAAAAAAATAACTGTTTGAGAGGTGTTCTGGTTCCATTTTGCTTCTCAGAACTTCAGGATATGGAACTGTTTAAGCATTCAATAAGGATGTTATAATTTTCTGTTATGGAAAGAAATCTTATATCATTGTTTTTGTGCTTTGATATTAAACTTCTAGCACTTAACTCGTTTAAAAACTAGAATCACGACCTGGGGTATTTTAATTATATTTTCCAATATAAATTAACTGGGAGCATTGGACAGGGTAGCTAAGTTTAAAAGAAAAAAAAGGCTTAATGTATAGTTAATACCACAGACTCAACTGTCATACTTAGAGGAGCTGCAGTCTCCTACTTTAGTGGGGCAAATTAAACAATACAGCTGAGGGACTTTGCCATTCCCACCACCATATCCTGAGACTTAGAACATGTATTCTTCAATCAAAAGCTTGAAATAGCTCTGCAGCTGCAGGATGTATCATAGTCACTGAGAAGTCTTTCCAGCAAATGCTCCATTCACCTCCCACTTCCAGCACAATAGGCAAGGCAGCCATCTGGGGTAAGACTACTGGGATGTGGGCTCAGAAAAAGCTTCCTGGGCAGCTGATTTGCCATCAGTTATTGAAACCCACTGGCTTGAAATGATTATACTGCAGATAGTTCATAGTTAGCTATGCAACTTCTATGGAAGGGGCCACCTGCTTTCTTCCTGAAGGTTCTCCAAGTATGAACCCTGCCCACCACCCCAATGCTGTCAAATCTCTGAACAGTTTTACAAAATTGTCTCACTGCCTATTCAAGGGTTGAAATAAACTACCAGCTGAAAGTAGAACTCCATCTGCTACAAATGGAACTGAAATTAGCCTGTTCCCCTTTAAGGGCCACATGACAGTTTGGTTAAGTAAGTTCCCTGCAGCAACAGACAGGAGGAGGGTCAGAGTCCACAGTTCCCTTGGAACCATGAATAGTCTACTCATTTAGTAACATCCCCCAGCCTAGAGCTCCAACCTTCTGTCTCTGATTATCTTTCATCTTTAGAATTTCATTCCTGTCTTAATGACCTCCATTTTTAATGTTTGTCTATAGCAACCTACTTCCAATTCTTTATGATTGGCATAGCAAATTAACTTTCCAGGGCCCACTTCTCATTGCCATAGAATTATGAATGGAAAATAACAAATAAAAACACAGACATGATAAACTGAATATAGCAAATTATTTATTAAAGCCAGGATGCATGAACATACTCTTAACAGAAAGACGGTTCAACAGCAAACAATTTATACAATTAACATGTACCACATGTCAGAAAGCGCAACTGAGGATATCAGATAAATTACAACAATTTAATTTTGAAACTCCATTAAGTTATCTCTAAATTCTGCCACCACATACATATGCATTAAAGAAGTTAGGAAACTTCGATCTTCCTTCTCTGCTCTGCCTGTGTAGGAAACGACAGGCTGCTGCTGACCAGACACCACGAGGCTCTGAGACTGGTGCTTTTCCCCCTACATCATAACCGATTTCAAATGGTGCTAGACAAAAACTAGACTCTGAACACCAGGAGAAATCGGTCAGCCTGTGTAAGAGATAGGCCAGTGGTGGTCTTCAGGTCTGAACCTCAAGGCAGATAAGTGACAAGTCTTATTTCAGCTGTGTTGCAACCACGGCTAAGTACTCCAGGCATCTTCCAGGTACAGGCAGGCAGTACTGATGTGGGTGAAGCAGTTCTCCATGTACGGAGCACTCTCCCTTTCCTGCTACAATCAACACCCAGAACATCACTGAATGATGATGAAAATTACAGAGCCAGGCCCAAGCCACCCTCCCCCTCCCATGGAATGCTGGATAAAGTGGATCACTCCCTGCCCCTGATCATGCCCTTGCATTTATTTTGAACACAACAACTTGCCCACTATCACTGCCTCTAAACCAAACAGACTCAAGAGCAAATTTCACTGTTCCAATTCTTCCTTTGACTTCTTGAAGGAGAGAGCCAATCCTGTGTACAGCTGCTTCTCTGTAGCCTAACCTCTGCTGTGCTGCAATTCTTACTCCTAAAACACTGATTTCAAATGGTGCTAGATACAAAGATGGAAAAATCTAAGCCACCATGTGAAACCAGCTTCCAGAAGAAGAGGATCTCACTGAAGAAAGCAGAGAAGTGCAGTCAGAAGGTCCAGCCTTAGTTCTGAGAATCATCTTGCCTGTCAGAGGCAGAGGACAGCTGTACAATGTTGTGCAAAGCAGCATCAGAATCACAGTCAACATTTTGAGCAGACAAGACCAATGCAAAGCTTGTTCCCTGTATGACTTCACATTAGTCATTATAAATTACACAATATATATACACAATGAAATAAAAGAACCAAGTCCATTCTACACATGTACAATTGTAATAACTTGAATTTATGTAGTATTTCCCAAGATGCATAGTGTCTGTCATGCATAGTGACATATATTATGTCACTCCTTCAGGACAGTGACCTATGAGATGTTAACCACTGAACACAAGTGTGGCATCTGTGTCAGGACAACTCTTCCACGAGTATTATTCAAAAAGATCACATGTTCATCCTTTCCATCCCATGACCCCATAGGCTGGCAATTTGATTTAATGCAGAATAATTTTAAAAGCTGGTATCTTATTGTATTATATAGATAATTCTCTAACACAAAAATGAGGTACATTTTTTAAATTTATCTGAAAATAAGATTTACAAACTATGTTTCAAATTGGACTGCCTCTTTGCTGTGTGTTTCCTCTGATGTCACAACCCAAAGAAAGAGGATCTCATGGAAGAAAGAATAGAGATGCATGTTTCTGGTTCCCCAGCAACTCTTTTTTGGCCTCCCCAGATGTAAGCTTATCTCTTTTTATGGCTGCTATAGGGTAATAGAGCAAATATAATGTGAGAGTCACAGTACTTAGTTGTTCCAAGAGTCCAATGAAGCAGGTATTATTCTGATGTCTGCACAAGAAACTGTAGTCATAGGAACAGATGGACTAATGTCTGTATTCCTGTCCCTCTGCCCACTGCCACTGCTTGGTCTGTACAGCTTGACTGTAATCTCCAAGGAGAACTCTTAGCTAGACTGGGGAGGGGTATTTAGCCCAGGCAATCTGGATGGGAGTGAAAGAGACTCCCTGTAATATATGCTACACCTGCGTAAAGATGAGGGCGCATGGTGTTGGTACTGCAAGGGGGTCAGGTATTCTAGAACCTGCTTTTGCTCTATTGCCTGACTGGTACCTCTGTCCTCCCCAGCAATAGGGAATGATGGCAATGAAGCCTACCAATGACATTGATAGGCTTAGCTTCTAAGAACCTGGGCCAGCCAGAGGAGAAACAGAAGGCTCAGCACCTTCCCTGGGCTTCTCCAGGGTCTCAGCTACAGAGGAGTGTAGGCAAATTTGTACACTGAGTTCCTGAGTGACAGTGACACTGGTTGCCAAAATTAGGGCCTTATGAACTAGATGGTAGGTCGTAAATATATTAGATGGAAGTTATTAACAAGAGTCAAAACCCTGTAAATGAAGGGAACAGATGAGATTTGCATATAATACTCAGCTTTTCTGATTTTCATTTCAGCCAAATTTTCTTAGCAACTTCCTATTGCTAGTATCCTCAGTCTCCCTTCCTCTATGTTAAGAGATATCCTGCAGGGATACAGGGCACACCCTTCCTCCCAGAATTCTCAGCCTGTGCTGTTACCTCCTTTTGGCAACTCTCCACCTACTCCCTCCGCTGCCACCCCCATTTGTCCTATTTCAGCTCTAGAAAGCTTTCTCCAAGGCTAGCCCAGTTTGCTTTAATTTAGAAAACACCTATTTCTTTTGGTTCTCAGCATGGCATGAAGCTAATGCCTTTCTTCCTACCCAGCAAGTGAAATGCTGCCCAGGCCCAGGGGAGGTGCTATGCCTGACAAGGGGAAACTACCAGTGAAGGAAAAGGTAAGGTCTAAGGTTCCACTCTTGGACTGCAAACCCTGGTTTCTGGTAGATAAGAACCACTGAATGGTGATTTAAACACTAAGCTACAGAAGAGGGAAAGAAAAGTAGTTTTAGCATTCAGACCCTTTGTCCATCCAACTCCACTCAGGCCTCAGCATCCCACAAAAGCAGAATTCCCATGGTCAGCTGAGCAATGTCCCTTTTCTGCAACAAGGTGATGATTCTTCACTAGTTTGGAATAACTGGGTGATTTGTTAAAGTCTAGAAGGCTCTAGCTTTCTGGCACCAGGCCTGAAAGTCACCGGGATGTCTATGGCAGCAGCCCATGAAAACCTTGGGCTGCTAGGGCTCTGCTCTCAGTGTGAGTAATAGGATCCCCCTCCTCAATTAAATGGCTTCAAGTAAACTTCAAGCTACAAGGTCTGATGGAGTTGTCTAGGAAAGAAATCACTGTACCTCACTTAGCAGTACTGAAAAGGTAACTGAACATGGAAGAAGTCTGAGACACCACTCTCCAGCTTTCATCTGTTCCTGTACCTATTTCTCTCTGGGGCCATTCTACCCACCCATAACAGAACACTTCTCTGGCAAGGCAGAGACCAGAGGGGCGGAGGCAAGGTCACTCCTTGTAAATTAGAACACCTGCTTATCTACATGCTGAAAATAGGGCCCTGCCATCATCCTGAATGGCTTTAGTGTATTCATCTGTAGAGTAGGCTAGGGAAAACTGGTCAATATTCTCTCTCTCTCTCTCTCTCTCTCTCTCTCTCTCTCTCACACACACACACACACACACACACACACACACACACACACACACACACAGTGCTTAGGAAGGAAATAGCCAGAGGCAGCAACAGCATGCAGGAGAGGTACAGTAATCTAGAAAATCATATTCTGTCTAGAGATATACAAAATTAACACACAGAAAAACCAACTCAAGCAGGCCAGACAGTACAATTAAAGGTTAAACACTCTTCATGGGCCACTGGCTAAAAACAAAGATTAAAAAGTGATCTATGACCACTGCTATGATTTTTAGAATCCTAAATATCCTGAGCCCAGAACAGAACCCCAAAAAATGTGGGAAGAAAACCGGTGGGAGGGGAAAACACTTGCTCCAGGAACCTCACCCTAGTGGCCCAGCCTGTGCTGTCTGATGCGCTCACATGCAGAACGTGGGAAGGTTCCAGCCAGGCAATAGTTTCTCCTTCCTGACCCAGCATTGGGTGCTGAGTCACAGTTATATGCATGATGAGAGTTCCAGCCAGAGTGGGGGAGGGTGACAGAAGCCTGCCATCCATTTTCTTGTCTGCGTCTAAAGACTGATTTAGGGCTTCCCACCAGTTAAAAGAACTTATCTTTGGGAGGGGAGGCTAGGGAAGGTCTTTTTGGAAGAAAAGGGAACATCTTACCTCCAAGAGAGACTGCACATATATGAACTGAACAGGCTGCCTGGCTTCCTGTCACTCTCAGCAGTAGCCCAGGCCCAGCATCCAGGACATTTTGTCTTTGGCTGTCAGGGTAGGTAGGGAATGCTGCCAACAAGCTGTGGTTAATGAATCAGAGGAAAGGGTGATAAAAACAAGGGATATATGTTGAGGCTACATGAATAAAGGGGAATTTGTAACTTGTTGGCCTAACATCAGTGACAACTGATTCCCAAAGTGGGCATAGTACCCTTGAGACTCAGTGTGTCCTGCAAGTGCCTGCTTGGGTAACCAAGTGAGAAGCAAAGGTTTCAAAAGTCCATGGAGGCCAGCCTCTCTTGGCTTCACTGAGTTAGAGATATGGAGACCTATGTTCCTGGGGAACCACATTCTAAAAATTAGATTTTTCTGTCTCTTCCTCAATGTTACTGAACAAGTCTTGGGTCTCAAAAGCTCCCAAACTTAGTGCGATTCCATACAGGGCACTAAGGTCCTGGCACAATATCTGGGCTAGACAAGGCATGGTACTACGGCTGCCTTCTGGGATGAAATACACATAGTAAAGAAGGAGGGAGGCAGGTACAGAGTGAAGGCTAGAGAGCAATGTGCCCTCCTTGTGGCAGAGGGCTTTGCTCTCACAGGAAGGAAAAACACTGCCCAGAAGCACTTCCATGGAAGCTGAAGCTTGCCACAAGAGGAAAGGCAAGCCTGCCTGTGGTCTTCCAATGCCGACCACAAAGTTCATGGCCCCAGACCTACATAGCCTACGCCTTTAACATTCCCAAATGGTCTATATGGCTCAGTGGAGAGGGTTCAATAAGGATACCAGCTTAATCAGGTCAGGGCGGAGATACCCAAGTCCAACTTCCCTAACTCACCAGCCAGGACTGGTCAATTCCTCCTCCTCCTGCCAAAAAGCAAGGGAAGGGAAAGACACAACATCCTATCTGATGCCATACTCACTGGATCATGTGCCTACTCACTGGGTTCCCAGGAGTTCTCTGCAACAAGCCTCACTCCTCCTGTGGAGTGTTTTACACACTCTCAGAAGAAAGCATTTCAGTTAGCCATTCTCCTCAGCACAGCCCTAGGCAGGCACCAGGAAGCCAGGGTGGACCTATTGATCTCCTAGTGGCAGTTCTGCCCAGTATATGGGCACACACCTGGCAGTACACAGGCTGGAGCACAGGCTATGATGTATATGTGGCTGCATGCTCCAGGTTGGGGAGAGAGGTTAGGCTTAGCAGAGATATGTCTGAGCCTCTAGGCAACACAAGCCCCAAACCCTGTTTCACCTTTGGCAGTCCCAGCTAGTAGCGGCACCTACAATGCTATTCTAACCCTTTTCAGTTATAACTTCTGTCTGCTAGTCTCAAGAAAAAGGAGGAGGAGGTGGAAGGAGCAGGGAGGTGGGAGGGGGGAAATGGAAAAGGAGGGAGAAGAGAGTCAGAAGAGGCAGAGGAGGAAGTTTCACAGTCTAGTGCATTCCCATCAGAGGGGAACATGCACAACTTCCCCTTTACAAGCCCTTTTCTGTCCCCTTTCTGGACTGGAGATAGCTTAGAACTGGGCAGGGCAGGGCAGCCACTCAGGTACCCAGCCAACTGGGCTTTCACAGGCTCAATCTCAAGCCTGGCATTTTCCCTGGGGCCATTACCCAGCATGCCCTTTTCCTCACTGGGGAGGCCGCACCCTCTTGTTTTCAAAGTTTTATAACTGTATTGTTTGTTGTCCAGCAGATTAAATTCTTTGGTGGCTGGGGAGGCAGCAAGGATGGGGGTGAAGAGAAAGGAGGGCAAAAAGGAGAGAAAATACAAGTAACTCCTATTAGGCCCAAAAGATTAAATGCATTCCTTTTGAACACAAAGTTCACCTGTTTTGGAGAGCAGCCAGTGGCCAGAGGCAGTGTTCCCTCCCTCTCTGTGCCTAGCACCTAGAAGAGCAGCATGTGGTCTTAGATATCCAAAGCTATTAGAATTTGAGCTGATCAGGTTTAGGATTGGCATACCTAAACAACCACCACTCCAAATTAGGTATCTACTATAGGGCAACCTGATCTCTACCAGGGTCTATAGGCAGCTAAACCCTGGAGACAGAAAGGTCCCTGCAGTGGGCAGTCTGTTTATACTCCAAATCAAAGTCACTCATTCACTGATACCAGAAAACCTGTACTTCAAGAATGTGGCAATGTAACTGCACATGACTATAGTCAGTCGTCCATATCCCCAGGTTCTGCCTCCCTGCACTCCAATCATTGTGCATGAACATGTGTATATAAATATGAACTACACTACTTTATATGCACAGACTTTTTAACCACTATCCTCTAAAGAATTCTTTAAGCATTATTTGGCAGCATTTACTTTGAGTTAGGTATTATAAGAAATCTGGGCATGGTTGAAAGTTCATGAGAGGATGTGTATAAATTGTTTTCACCTCACAGAAGGACTTCAGCATCTGTGGATCCAATCCTCCATAGATTGAAATGACTATATTCAGAAATGGCTAAGGAAAAGAAGGAGGAAGAAAGTCAATAGTAAGTGTGAACTTAAGACAGGCCTGTCTTATCAAGCCTTGTGATACTAAATCTACAGCTAGCAAATAACTCAAAAGGACATAGGATTTTCCATACTTAGCACAACTTTTATTGAGCCATTAATTAATCATTTAACACTCCTGGTTCCCTCTAAGTAGTATGTCCACTTCAACATACAACTAAGCCTTTAGCACCAAAACCAATGCCCGTGACTCCCAGAGTTGTGAGTCTACTCAAACTCTTCTCCTACCTTCTTCCTTAGAAAACTTCATCTGATCTTGCTTCCTCTATTACCTTTCTCCCAACTACAATGATTGTCAAGTATCCACTTCACTTCAGTAATGGCCCAGGGTAGGAGTAGTAATGATACAAATACAGGAATAGAACAGATATTTCCTGGAAGATATATACTTTCTCTAGTTTTTATATGAGAATTAAGAACAGTTCTCATAAGCTCTCTGCAAAGGAAAATGGGTTATAGGCATAGGTTCTGTGCCTACATTGTCTCCTCTACACTCCCAGCTTAAGGATGTTATAAAGGCAGCCAGGGTTGATTAAAGGTAGAACCAAGGAGCCACTTTATATCCTAGAACCTTGGCCACATAATTTCAGGGACTGTCTCAAAGTCCCTAGCCTCAGGGCTAGGCAGACCTGACAAGAGCAGCCAAAGTCTCCTCCTCAGGAGGTTCTACCTTCCTTTAGGAACTCAGCAAAGTTACACACAGGCCTTTCATGACATCTACATGAATTTCCCTCACAGCTTTGGGTTGGGTCCACTCTCTTTTTCATTCTCCAGGTGACTAGAAAGAACCAACTCTAATACAAGACAAATTCACAGGATGCTACAAGTATCCTCCATCAAAAGTACTCCCATGCACCCTCCCATTCAAACTATAGTTGCATTCAGTGAGCAGAGAGGGACAGACGCTTATAAACAGACACAGATGTTAGCTGACCCTGTCCACCTCAAATGTTCTGAAGGGAACACTCCCAGAGAAAGTCTAATCATTCATGCCCAAGTTCATGATAAGCAAAAGCAAGCACTTCTCTAGCCCTTCGTCAGAGCCCTGATCTATTAAAATAAAGGTCACTTAGAGGCTGAATAGTCAAGAGGTCATACAGCCCAATACTCAGCCTCAGCACCCCTTAAAAAATTGAGGACTGTTTTCAGGACTCAAAGAAGCCTGGTGCCCATCACTCCTCTGACTCGCTTTTCCGATACAAGGGAGGCCTATTTTTCCACACTGATCATGCGGCAAGGGTTCTGAGCTGATGACAGTATTCCCAGCATCTAACTATGCAGCACATTAGCCAGTGCTTCCAGTGGTGATATATGTTAGCCAGCAAACAGGTAACACAGACACAACACACATGCTGGGAAAGCTCCAGGCATCCCTCACAAATAGAACGGGAGAAAACTCAAAGTTGCCACAGTGAGACTTCCTCTCAGTGAGCAACACACAGCAGAAACATGCCCGGATTCATTGGAAAAACTCTGAAGGTGTCAAATGCCTTAACAAGAAATCTTTTCAGGAACATGGGGATGCCTGGCATTCTAGCCGAGTGCAAGCCAGCTCTCACAAGAGCTCCAACCAGTCAGAGAAACAGAGGGCAGGAGAATAAAGATATTCTTAGTTTTCCTTCTCTTCTCCAATGTGCAAAGTAAGAAGTGAAGCCCTCAGAGATCCAGAACACTGCTAAGGACCTCAATGCTCTGCTCCAACCCCTGGTCTAGCTGGAGTAGAGGACTTGGGTTGGAAATCCAAAGCTGGGAACAAGCAATTGGGTCCTGAGAGGGCTCTTCCTGGCTCAGTTCAGTCATGGCAAGACCAATGCTACCCCTCTGCTCAGTGTTGGGAAATGACTCAGTGAACCAGCTAATGTCAAGAGATCTAAGTGTGTAGTGACTTTAAGGCTCCTTAAAGCTCCTGAGAATCCTTAAGACTGTTCCACATGTTCCTTGGCCCTGGAGCTCCTACCCAGGCAGCTTTGGAGAATTTTTGTCACATTGCAGATAGGCTTGAGTCCCAACCACACTTACTGTGCAAAGGAGGCACAGGAGCAGGCCTTGAACAGAACATCTCCCTTGAACATACAGGGTCTTTCAATCCATGTCCTGCACCACAGCCAGCTCCCATATGCACATCTCTTACTTGTCTCTAAGAGGGAACAGTGTCCTATCCTGTCACCTAGTAGGTCCTCACCAACTACTTTCACTCAGTTAACCCTTTCTCTTCACTGCCACCCATGCAAAAACACATTCCTACTACCTACCCAAAGCCCATCACCAACCATCATTCACACTAGCACTAGCTAGGGTGCCTCTTTGGAACAAAACTTGGTTTTCTCTCTCAAATGGGTTCATTTTCCTGGCCTTGAGTTTCTGGCTAAGCAAACACTGCACAAACATCCAGGACAGGCCTAGAGGTAACATGAGTTGGAACCTCCAACAGGATCCTCATTCAGAACCTGTTTCACAGACAAGTAAACTGACTTGTGTTCACGGGAATGAACACAAAACAGCATAAATCCACTTTCCCTGACCTATTTCCCCATGCCATAACCTCTAACCACACATCACCTTATCCCTGTGCAGCTTTTGGCACTTTCAGCCAATGGCAGCTCCTATATTTTGAGTAGTCCCAAGCAGCAATGTTAGGCCAAGGAGGAGGGAACTGCATAGCCTGGGTCACCAGAGTCACCTCTTTCCAAGCAAACAAGTTCTGAGTCCTGAAGTTGAACACCATGGAGCAGAAGCACTTGTGGCTCAGCACCACTGGCCCACCTCGACCTCACAGAGCACACAGCACACAAAGGATCTAACACTGGGTGACTTCTCCCCACCTGGGCTTGTCAGTTTCCTGAAGAAACCATAGTCTTAGCAGAGACTGGGATTCAAATTAGCCTCCTGTAAGCACATACTTAGTGACTTAGCAAAGACCTGACCTGAATGTTCCCTGTGCTGCACAGACAAGAAAGGCACAGTGATTAGACTGAGGCACAAAGGCAGCTAATGCCTGATGAGGGTTGAAAGAAGAAGACAGAGGTTAAGGGCAGCCATACAAAGTGAAAATAACATTAAGATGGTGGATCAGAGTCTGACCTCTCCTCCCACCTTGATTCCTAACCTAGTACATGCTTCTGTGAGCTATAGAGAACTTGTAAGGATTTTTTTTTTTTAATGCCTAGGGAAAAAAGGAGTTGGTGTCCATATCAGTTCTAATCTTTTGGAAGACAGCCCAACTAAGACAGTTTCCCAGGGTACTGAGGCGCTTCAGGACTTGTCTATCATCTGGACCCCTTTTTTCTTCTGTGTTTTGTTTTGTTTTGAGATAAGGTCTCACTACATAGCCCAGGCAAGCCTGGAACTCAAGTTTCCTGGTTCAGCCTCCTGAGTGCTGACATGACAGAAATTAGTCACCATATTTTCAGTGGGTGGTATCTTCCTCATCCACACACAGTGTTACCTATGCCTACTGTGTATTTTATGCTGCTTTGTTATTGGAACTCTTACACCCACAGCACAAGAAGAAACCTAGTCTTGGGCCTCTGGACTTCCAGCACCTAGTACTGTCCCCTACATCTAGAAGAGAATTTTTACCCCTTCCACAGACACCAAATAACATCTGCCTCACCTCCCCCAAAAAGGAATGTGTACAGCCTTGCTAGGACATAGAAAGTTTGCTTTCACTTGAGATTATATAATTTCTTGAGGATGTTAATTCACAAAAATGTCTGACCTCAGCCCAAGGGTGAGGAGAAAACAGGGCTTTGGAATCAGAAGTGCTGAATCAAATCTCAACATCACTCATCAATTGTGTGACTTTAATTTAAATCATTCAATAATTACACTTTCATTAACAATATAAAGGAAATAATATCTGTGTAACCAAGTGTGGGAGAACAGTTTCCTCTTCCATGGATGGCATATGGAGACCAAGATATTTGATGCCATCTCCTTGCTTCACTAGAGACTCATCCTGGCTCCACCCTGCCTAGAGCCTAGACATTTGGATGTGTCTTCCCACACCCTCGTTACTTGTTCCTATTATCCAACCACAAACAACCACGGCCCTGTGTGGTTCCCTTCACCCTATTCCTGTACTCTACCCACATAGGCATGACTCTACAGCACCAGGCTCTGTACAGACCATGGGGCCTCATGAGTATTTTCTTGCTTATCAACCCATAAGCAGTGGAAAGGAACCAGCAAGGAACCAAACCCAGTGTATGCTTTCCTCATGGCCACTGACCAGGAAAAGGAAGGAAAGCAATGTCCTCCTATAGATGGCAGGCTGATTAAAAGGACATTATCTCTTACTTATCCCAGAGGCACAACATATGTATAAAAAAGTGACCTATGAGAGTTCACATCCTCCTCTAAGGCTGCAGTCTTGGGGACACACCAAAGCCAGAGGATAAAGCCAAGATATGCACTGAACAATTCATAGCCCCAGTAAGGAAAGGATACCATGGAATCCAGATGGTGTGGACCAATCAGGTCCTTGGGTAGGGCACCTTGCATTTTACTATGGTCAGCCATGCCATTTCATCTTCAGTACCACAGCTGTCTTGCAGAACTCACATGAGGCCAAGGGAAAAGTGCCAGGCATGCTTAGATCCTACAAGGCATGCTAACTGTCCTGCCTGCTTGGCTGGCAATGCGCAATTCTGCCTGTCACACAGCAGAAGGCAGGTTAGTGACTAGGAGCAAAGCATTAGATGAGGGTCTGAAAGAGGGAAATGGGCAGGGTGGTGCAGCCCTAATTTACAGAGACAGCTGTGTGACAAAAGGCAAAGCCAAGATCCCCTTTGCTCTCCACCTACTTTCCAAATCAGGCAAAGGAAGGGTTGTGAATGGTAGCAGAGGTCACTAGAGTTGGGCACAAGACCTAGGGTTCTGAAGTACAGCTAGCGGCACATCTGGCTTCAGCCTCCCAGTGGGGCTCATCTTGAAGAACCATGTTTATTCCTTTCTACCTCCCAGCTGTAGAGCTGACTGAACTTACCTTTTTGTCAAACTTCCGCCCCTCCATTCCCCAGCTGTCCCTCACACACCACTGAGGCAGTGACTGAATTTGTCCAGCTCCTTAAAATAACAGATAATTCATCCAAACTGGCTTTCTTGGCAGGGATCTCAGAGGCTTGTCTCAAGGGGAGAGACAAGACAATCAAATATGTGAGTCGGATTCATTAATCTTCCTTGGACAGTAGTGGGAGGGGGCAGGGAAGGTAAAACACATCTACATAATGCCAGTAGAGTAGCTGCATGACCTGGCTGGGGTTGAGATTCTACAGGTACCTAGTAGAATTATCCATGATTATTCCTTTTCTCTTTAGACCCTAGACATTTGGCTGTTAGTTCCCAGTAGCCCTAGGGGCCAAGAACACTGCCAGCAATGATAGACCGGGACTTCTGAGTATCGCAGCAAGCACCTGCTGTCTGCTTTCTGGTTTGTGTCTACAATGGAGCTGTCATTCTAGTTTTGAGGGACATCACCACTTTAACTCAACACTGCTGTTGTTGTAAGGTAGAGGAAAAGTGTTTCCCTGTCAAGTGCCTGGAGATATTCTGAAGAAATTGGAGGCCTAAAGAAGAAAATGATTTGTTCAAAGGAAAATCCCAAGTAGAGAAAAAGCTAGAATCCAGTCACTGCTCAGCCCAGTCTAAACTTTAGACCCCAGACCTAGCCTAAGCTCCTTAAAAGCTCAATGTGTCCAAAATACCCATTCTTCAGAGGAAAGAGCATGCTTGAGCCCTGGGCAGTTCCCAGAACCTTAGGGACTGTAAAGGGAACTACACCCAGAATAAGCTCAGGTTAGATGTCAGGAGCCAAGAAGCTTCCTTCCCACAACTGTGGGAAGTAAAAGTGCCCTGGTACTACCATACCCTGTCTACAGTGCTGCCCAGATGTCTCCCAAATATCTCACAGCCTAGCTAGTTGAGCAGGCTGACCTTATGCCAGCACTCTGCTAGTTACTCACCCCATTCACAGAAAAGCCAGGAATGGAGGAATGGAAAGAAAAGAACAATTGTTGGAGGTTCTGAATGGTAAAGTTTGAGGGAACAGATCCAGGGAGCAAACACACTCCACCTATCTGGGAGGAAAGCTCAGGCCTTTCCTTTGTTGCTTCTAGTTTCTAATCAGCAGCCTGATATTAGTCCACCAACAAGACTAGGTCCATGTCACATCAGACTACAGCTGAGGTCATGGAGCCACATAAATTGGTGAATCAAGAGTACCTACGAGAAGGAAAAGACTATCTAATCTACCATACTCCACCACCCAACACTATGGGCTTATTCACTACACACCTTCCTTCCCAGGACAACTTCCTCTCCCTGCCTTGCTAAATGGGGGTAAAGATAAAGAACAGAAAGAACAGACATGGCTCTTGGACCAGCAGCTGAGAATGTCCTCATTCATCCTAAAGAAAAAAATCAAAGGGAAGAAGAGGAAGGGTTGTAGGAAAGCACAGAGAGTAAAAGGTCAAAAGAGTGAAGAAAGGTCAAAAGATATTCTTCAGCAGAGCAAGTTAAGCAGGAAACAGAGGAGACACTGGAAGCTTGTATTTGATGTAGGGCATAACCACCTTTAGCCATATTGAGTGCCCAAGTCTTTCCTTCTCTAAACATGGCATCCTACTGGCCCTCATTCCACCTCAGCAACTTCATCCAGCATGACCTTTCATCTATCAGCATCTGAAACAGGAAAAAGAAGAATAAGTATGGCAGACCGAAGCCTGATATGGACATATATACCTTCTAGCCCTTGGAGATAACTCACTCTCCACATTGCGGTTATGATAGAAGTACTCTTCTCCCACAGGGAAGGGTAGACAAGTCTGATAAGAACGGCTTAGCTCAAGGTTATATATAGTTGAGGTTCCTACCAGCCTAGAGATTTGGAGCTAGAACTTGGCAGATCTATGCTAAGTGCTGGCAAGGACCATCCTCATGCAGCCAGCCAGCTAAGAGCCTCAGCACAAGCTGGCCACAGTGAGTGCAGCAGGGTCCTTCATGAGGCTCTTAGTACTCCTCACCAAGGACATGGCTACTGGATCCATTTTAGAGAAAACTAGTTTCTAAAATGTGAGTCTAAGGAGATATGTAATGGCTGAATACTAAATTCCAGCCTTTCCTTCTGAAGGACAAAGGGAGGGCACATAGAAGAGGAAGAAGGTATTGCACCCAGGATTACAGATATCTATTGACTTTGCATATTTGAAAGTAGAAAAGAACATACAAGAATGAAGATGAACACTTACCTATTGAAAGCAGAGTGGTCAAGTAGCTCCTCTTTTCTGTTCTATAAAAATGCAAGCAAACTGCTTTAACCAGCAGTATGGCTTAGATGCACAAACATCATCCTCAGCTGAGTCTGAGTTGCCAAGAGGTTGTCACCTACTTAGAGATGGAGTTGTACTCTGTTGAGTTCTCTGTTGGGAAGAGAAAGGAAGGTAGATCAGCTAGCTGGGCTCTGCTCACAAAATTAATCAAGCAATGATTTGCAATCAGAGTTTATATCTAGCTCCTGAGATAATAGTCCTCAGCTGTGACGGATGCAAGATAACCCTGGGTAGAGCAATGTGGAAAAGGACCAGTACCTGTGGGCACAACATCTGATCCAGGAGTACCTATCCACTACCCTTTTGTTAAGTGACAAACAAACAACAAAGTTCTCTGAAACATGACAGTCAGGTTTTCATCATATGCATAGCTCAGAACCAAGAAGTATAACCCTCAAGTACCCAACTCCTACACATATGCAGTCTTTGTAGTCAAGATGTTCTCTACTCAGACACAAAAGCTAGAGGCTTTGGATACCTTTGAGAGCACTATGGGTATAGATATAGTTATAGCTAGTTCCTATGCCTGTTCTGCTACACTCTGCTGTGATCTCAATCATATCTCCCTGCCCCCATTTGGTCCTCAGACATACCTCCCAGAGATCCCAAATGAGTCATTCTAGGTGGTCCTTGGGCAGAAGAAGTGCTCTGGTGCCAAATGTCTACACTAAAATTAGTGGCTAGAAAATGTAATAATTAAAAGTGGTACCTGGAAAAAGCCTGGAGGAAGCTCAGGGCCAGGATGTCCCTCATACCCAAACTTAAATTGTTTGTTCCTCACCCTAGACTGTGTCAAAGATGCCACAGAGAAAAGGGTAATAGTTTGACCAGGATACAATTGCAATGGAGGCATGATGGGTGGGGCAAGGGATCATGTGTCTTTAGCACAATGCTGCAGGAAAAGCCTAGAACTCTGAGCTTCCATGACGATGTGCTAAAGGGGTAGAAGGAAGATGCAGAGAGAATTCATTTCAAAGAAAGCGAGGAAGATGGAAGGAAAAAGGAAGCTCTGACATGCCACCACAAGGAACGGGAAAGCTGACATACTACAGGGGAGCTGCCTTCAGGTTAGGGCAAGTGAGGTGGACTACCATCCACACAAAGCTCAGCAGACAAAGGGTGTTCCGGCATCCTGCCTCTACTAAAGCACCTACTCCAGGGGACTACAGTACACTGTCATGGAGGATCTCCTTGGCCACTCTGGGAAGAAGGAATCTGTCACCTTCTACCCTCAAGAAGACCACCAAACCCATCACATATAGATCCAATGAGAAATCCCAAAGGGTATCCAGCTCTGAAAAATATGTCTATCATTTGGGACCAGTGAGAAGAATTTTTTAAAAAAGAAGAAAAAAGGAGAAGAAGAAAGGGGGAGAGGTAAAAAGGTACTGTTTTCTAAGCCCACTGAATAATCAGCTGTCTCTCCTCTGAATCTAAAATCCAAGGGTCTCAGAACCCTTGTGAGGTGTCTGGTGTCTCCCCATCCCTGACGCACAGCAGTGGCCTTCTTACTACCTAGCCCTCCCTAAAAAATGCCCCAAGGCTGAGAATCGGCCCAGAGCCCCAATGAGCTGTTTTTGCTGCTTTCATGTTGTCAGAACATTCTGGCTGTTCAGCTGAGAGCTCCATCTCCCGGCTCCTGATACACTGAGTCATCTTCCAAAGAGGAAAAAAAGGAAACACACACACACACACACACACACACACACACACACACACACACACACACACACAACAAAGCAGCCATCACCAGGACCCAGATTGCTGTTGACAGAGGACTCTCAGCTACACAGCCCAGAATTGGTGATGAGGGCCATCAGGGTGCTCAGATTCCCCTCCCACAGGGCTCACAGCATCAGGAAGCATGCAGCCACTGTTGAGATTCAGCAAGAAGAGAAACAAACCTAGCATCAAAAGGCTCCTACCCAGGAACACTCCCTGCTTAACCTCCATTCTGCTACCCCCAGTGCCCCTTTGTTTCCTGCTTTAGAAACAAAGGGGCACTACCCCTGGGGGAACACCACCACCTTGTGGGCTTGAGGTCCAAACTACTGAAACATTCCTCTCTGTACTTGCTGTGACAACATAGAAGTACATAAATCTCCCTAAATTTGGTAGTCACCTGTTATTATCTCATTTTACATGTCATAAGTCCCCAGGCAGGAAAAGAGGGCTTCAGACAAATCTACAAGGAACAGACAATACAATGGACATGCCTACAGAATAGGCTGCTAGGGCTCTACTTCAAAAACTAAGGTCACTTAGGTTAGAAATAGAATGACTTGTCTAAAATTACCCAACTGAGATTGGGGTACAGACATGGTATGACCAATCCAATGTGTTCACCTGCCTCAATGCCTGGGGCTCGCCCTCCTATGAAGGGATTCCTACCTACCCACCTCTGGCTGTTCTTACAGGAGGAAGGCAGGAAAAAACAAAACAAACAAAATAAAAAACAACCTAGGTTTGTTTACTTCATCTACAAAAAATGTATCACCTTGACTGAATCTGGCCATGAAGGAAAAGGAGAATGTTACAAAGTAGGTATAGACCAGTTGAATGACCTAACATAGTGTTAAGAGACTTACAATATCCCTAAAATAGTCACATTGAAAGGTGTCGCCTTCTAAGATTTTGCAAACATGGAAGATTCATACAGGAAAAAGACTCTGGAAGACTGGGATTCTTGTCAGCCACAGGACTTTTCTTAAAAGGGTTATGATAAAAAAACAAACAAGTAACTGTTCTTGAAGTGTCTAACATGGCATCCAGCAACAGAAGCTCTGAATAGGAATGTCTTCCTCCCTCTTCCCCAGGCTTCTTGTTAGAGCACAAACTCTGATCGAAAACACACGGAACCACACACAACAAAATACCATGAAAGAAAGGAGATTTATAACAGTGGTTACAGGGATTTCTTCTCAGAAGGTGCTCAGGGAGGGCTCCATGGAGACAGTGGGACTGCAACAGGTAGAGAGTAGGCATGGAAAACACCAGTGTTGAAAAGGGAGAAAATAAAAGCAGAGAAATGTGAGTTGGCCAGTTTTTACCCGAGGAAGGCTTCTTGGGAAAGCTAAGGCCACTTTCAGACAGCCCTGAGTATTCGACTGAATGGGAGGAATTTCAACCTGACAATGATAGGAAACCATTTTAAATCTCTGAGCAGGAAGACAAGATGGCCGCTATCCGCAGCAGAGCCTAGAAAGGGTTGGGCGGCAGGGAGCCTCACTAGAGGACAGCAGTTAGAACTGTAGCCCTGGCAGGGGGCATGGAGGAAAGGCAGGGCCACTGACCAAACACTGCTGCCTGCTGTGTACCTCACCCCCATCCCCATGTGGAGGCTGCCAGAGACAGAGCCTATTTGAAGAACACAAAACACAGGTCTGCCACATCTCAGATGAGCTGCTGTGTCTGTCTCTACTCTCTCTAACACTAGGCTCTTCATGGAACATCTCTGAGTTTCAGGCTAACTAGGGTATGGAAGCCAAGTGCTCACACTCTAAAGATGGGGCCCGAGGCCATGGAATCCTGACCCAGAAGGTTTCCATTTAGACCCCGACCCAGTTCTTGTGACCAAGGGTGGGATCGGGCAGTTCTGCCTCCAGACCACCTTCACTGCAGCAATCATAGCTACATCCATATATATAGTGCCTGTACCCCTCTATCATAGACCCTTTTCTTACCCCCACCCACTTCTCAGAATTGGCACAGCAGGGCCAGCAAAACCAACAGCACCAGCCACCATGTGGAAGACCAGCAGAGATGTCTTCAAAATGGCAGCCTCAAAGGAAACCAGAACCCAGCCAGGGAAAGGAAAGCTAGAAACAAGGAAGGGGAACTGCCAACCCCCTCCCAATAGGCTTTCACACCTTCCCTCATACTAATACTGTCAGGTCTTCTTCAGAAAGGGTAAAAGGGAAAGGAGGACACTACCCCCACCTCCAAGCCCCAGGGACCATAGGTGACACAGGGTACTCAGAAGGACATTCTGGGGCCTATATCCCCAAATGAGACAGCAGATCATTTCTGTATTCAAATCTGGTCACTAAGTAGGCAAGGGCTAGCCCATACAGGGAGGAACCTCCCCATGTTCTCTATCAGACCCTCAGCTGTGAGCCCCGAGGAGTGGGGAAGTAGAGTTGCAAAGAAGGCTTGAGAAGGCACAGGCCACCCTGAGTTATATAACAAGCAGGGAGGTGTTTGTCCCAGGCCAGAGACCCAGGGCGCACTGCGCTCATGCTCTGGATGCGCAGTCATGGGTGGGGCCACTACACATAGTACAGGGCCCAGCAAACCCCCTCCCACAAATATGAGACCCACCACAGGGACAAGATGGGATGCCAGAACTCTGATTTTCCTGCTTCCCTCCCCCAATACAAGACGGTTGATGCTGGCCCAGTTTTATTCTTTATCTCTTAGTTCCCTAGACTGACAAATCATTCTAATGGGAGTCCTTCAAACCTTTACCCACTCATTTTTCAGAAAACCTTACAACAACTAGTTTCCAAGCAATGTCCTGAGGTTAGTCCCCATGCTCACCTTTCCAAGCAGCTTCCAAAAGGCAGGTTCTTCCAAAGTGGACTCAGCTCAGAGCTGCTCTAAGGACCTCTGGATGATCAGAGCATCAGTGTAGATCCCTTCACTTGGGGGCAGCCCACTCAGTAGGAAGCCCACGGTGGTCGCGACAGCAGCAGCAGCAGTTCTGCCCTACCTTGCCCGATGGTTTCCAGGGGAGCCAAGAATTATTTTTGCCGCAACACTGAGGTGTGGCAGATCGGAAAATTCCCTTTTCTGATACCAAAGCAAAGGACAAATATTTTCTTCCAATTTGGTCAATCCTCTTCAAACCAGTCTCCCCAATCTCCTCCCTCAAAAAAAAAAAAAGTTTGGGGCGCTCTAAGCTCTTCTTCCTTATAGTGAGTGAAATTTTAAAAAGGTAAAGGAAGAAGCTGCGACTGGGCAGTCTGAAGCAGGCAGACACACGCACCTACGCACACCCCTAAAAGAGATTTTAGAAGCTGCTGGGCTTCTCCCCCTCCCCTTTAAGCAAGTGAAATGCAAATTCAGATTTGATACTCTGTCCTCAGCCAACCAAAAAGAGCTTTTCACCTGCCATTGGCCCTCCCACCAATGAGAGGAAGTATCTGAAGTAAGAGCCCTCCCCTGGCCAATAGAAGGCCAGCTCAGTCACTTAGTTAATGATGCAGCAGTACAGGGAAGGCCATCACATGTGAACTGGAAGGGAGCCAACATGGAGACACAGAGAACGCAAGGTAAACAACTTTCCAACGCCAAAAGGATGACATTTAATCTCTAAATGCTAGCTTCCCACCTAGGCTCATCCTTAACCCTTCTGCTGGCCTGACAGATCCCAGGAGCCTCACTACCTGTCCCCACAGAGCTCCTGACAAGATGCAACAGTGACTGCGTCACCATTCTCCACTTTTCTCAACTACGCAGTCACATCCTACCAGCTTCACCCACTTCTCCCAGCCCACACCCTACCCTATGCTTATGCTCTTTACCACCCCAGATGCCCAGGACTAGACATTTTAAAAGGGAATGCCTGGAAAAACAGTTTCTCCTGACTGCTTCTTGTCACTTCTCACTCTCCTCCTTCCCCATGAGATCTGCACAGATGGACGCTGACACCCAAACAACCTGGAAAACCAGCCTGTCTGTTCACCAGAAGAAAACAGGGTAAAGGTGGGAGGTTAAGTGAGGAGCCAGGGATGGTTCACTCCTCCCCCCACCCTGTCAGGCTTAAGTAGCTGACACGAAGGGAGAAGAAATTAAAGTGGAAAACACAACAACAACAACAACAACCTCCAAGGGAAGGAAAAACAGCAAAAATCAAGAGAGGTGAGAAGAGGCAGAGCACCCACATACCCGAGACATTGCCCTTATCACACAAAATACGTACGTGGGGGAGAAGTAGGTTACGCCATCAAGTCCTTAAGCCTCACTGGACCACCAGTCGTCTCCTGCGCAGACCCAAATCTCTATCCAGATACAAGGTGTCGCAGTCCTGAATGTTCCAGAATCCACTCTGATTAAGTCTTCCCCTGCCACCCCACTCCTGTACCCACTCCTGCCCCCCCATCTCACCTCCTCCCATGGGAACCGCCCATGGCACCTTGCGTGACATCTTAGCCTAGGCTACCCAGAGGCCTCTGGCCCCCAACAGATTTCTGAACGCTTGGCAGAACCTGGTGCCCAGTGTTGCTATGACTTGTTTCTTGCTTTCTCTCTTTGCTGCAGCACGGCTGCTGCTAACAGACCTATCGACAGCTTGTGTGTTCATGCTGGCTCCCCCTCTCTCTCCCTTTCTCCCCTCTCCTCCTCTCTCTCCTCTCTCCTCTCTCCTCCTCTCTCTCCTCTCTCCTCCCTCTCTCTCTCTCTCTCTCTCTCTCTCTCTCTCTCTCTCTCTCTCTCTCTCTCTCTCTCTCTCTCTCTGCTCTGAGCTCTGTGACGCAGATCTAAATTCTCCAGTCTGCTCCTTGTGTTGCAGAAGCAGAACTGCAGCTTTTCCCCTGGCGAGGCAGAGGGCAGTGCCAAGGCTGGTCAAACAAGAGAGAGAAAAAAAAAAGTTGGACCTACATTCTGTTTTCTTGGCCACACTTTTCAGCCTTTTTTCCTTTTTCATACCTAACAGCTCTGGAACACACAGGTCTCTGTCCCTGCAGCCTCTCCTCTTCCTTTGGAGTTTCATGGCAGTAAGACTAACTTTAACTCTTTGAGTGGCAGCCCCCAGGGCCCAGCCAGGCCTGTCCTGTACTAAATATTGCATCATCTTTTCTTGAGCCATATGGGCTTCTCATAGCCATAGGCTAAAATAGACCTCACCATAAGACCTATCCCATTAACTCTTTCTGCCACAGACAAATCCAAAATTACAGCTACGGCTGTTTTCTGGAATTATTTTTGCCTTTTTCTTCTTTCCTTCCATTTTTTTTTAAATCTTTTTGTTTTATTTTTAGCTACGAAATCAGGACTTTTATATCCTGAATTTCCTAAGGATAAAAAGCATAATTAAAACATTGTCTGCCTAACCCACAAATGAGATCCTTCTATCAGGCCAGGTATTTGAAAAACAAACCAAATAGCAGCCTGAAGAAATCCAGTGTAATGTAGCTCTCTATTCATTCAGTGGCAAAATTTTAGGATCTAGATAGGTTTGTTCAATTACTTCCCAAAAGGCACATAGGCCACACAGTCTGCAATTCATTGCTGAGTCATTTGTTCCCAAGAGCCTTCCGACAACATAAATGACAACAAACAAGAGAGACGTCCAAGCCTGGACCTGAGGTAGCCAATAACTGGTTCTTCTCTCAGGACTGGTAACCAACCAAGATGAACATACACCAGCCCAAACCTCAATTCTTGAACAATAGTTTAGTGTACCCACATACCCAGAAACTCTTATGAGGAAGGTGTTCCACTAATGCTTCAGAGGCAGGTGGAAGTTACCTTAGGATAGCGACAGCTCTCAACCGCACCAAAGCACAGACCTTCTAACATGCCCTTCTCTGAGAATGCTTCCAATAACAGCTCAGACACCAACCCAGTGAACCCTACATAACCAGACACATTCAACACGGCTTGTGTTCAAACCATCATATATATGTAAGTGTTTCTCATACCAGCCTCTAACCAGATGTTTCAGATGTGTTCAGGTTCTGGGGGCGGTAAGCTGATTCATAAAGTGCATCACATCAGGATCTTGTACTTTTAGTAAGAAGAACAGGAACAAGAGGCCAGGAAACCACCTCTTCTACACCCACTATTCTGTATAGCCTTTACACAACCATTAGAGCCAACATTTTAGTCAGCAGAGAGAAGGATCTCTTGGAAGACAACCTGGTATTCCCTCGTTTTAAAAGAAGCCTGGGGTATCTGTGCCAGGCTCCCAACAGAGGGGAAAGTGCTTCAAATTTACACCTTCTGGGAGGCAGGGTAGAGTATGCCAATAAAGAAGTTACCTACTGGTCTGATGACCAAGGCATATGGCTCTGATGTCACTTAAAGCAAATTCCCCAGAATGGTTCTCTGCTTACCAAAGTTCCCATTTGACAGTTTCCTTCTCCATGGGGAAAAACATGTATACACACACACACACAAACACACACACCACACACACGCCTAAGTTCATGTCAGGACATTCCTGATTTATCCATGAGCCCAGGATCAAATAAACAAAGAGCTCTGCCAGAGAGCCTTCTCTTTCAGGAGAAGGAACCAGAGGGAAGCAGGCTCAGTACAGAGTTAGCCCATAATCTCACGAACTTGGTGAAATGATGTGGTTTCTCAGTCCCATGGCAACAGGAATGTCATGGGTGAGTGGAAGTGAGAAGAGGTAAACCATGAGAAATAGTCAAGAGATGCACAGGACAAGAGTAGGGACATACAAGGCCACAGAACTTGAGGAGTGAGGCCACTGTGGTCTACAACCACAGCAAGACTGTGCTAAGCCTTCACAGGGAAATGCCCATGACAGCAGGGACGGCTCGCAAAGTATGACACCATGTAGGAAGATTTGTTTCCATTTTCTTCCTAAAAGTCCATTTACCCTCCTCAGAATTTTACTAAGATTAAAGCAGTTATCTTAGGTGCCTCTGATTAATTCTAGGTCTCTTCCATTAACCTGATTCTATGGAGCACTGAGAACAGAAAAAACCCAAAAGGGATGACCAGGAAGCAGAGATGAATTCAGTTTCAAAAACATGGGTGGATGTTTACTTAGTGAAACATACAAGGAAGCAGTTTTACAGGATGCTACGGTTAGTATTTGATTTCTTTCGGGCAGCAAGGATAACTCCTGAGCAGGGACTCTGCCATCTATACTCAGAGGCCTGGGAACCTGAAAAGGCAGGGTGTCAGCTCCTGCCCAACAACTCCAGGTTTCTCAGCTTCTCAATTCCTACAGGCCTTGGGGACTAAACAAATTCTCCAGACACAGTTAGCTCTCCTTGGCCTCCAAAGGATATGGGTCAAAATTTCAAAATGCCAAAAACAATGTTTCTTTTTCTTTAAAGGGATGGAGCTAAACTTTGACCCATCCTTGTCCAGGGTATGAATTGCATGCACTCTGTACTGGTCACAAACTTCATTAGCCACATCAGTGGGCAAAAGTAGGATTCCTGCTGGCCTGCTGCCTTTCTTTTCTCCCATCAAGTCCAGCTCTGGAAGACTGGATCCTTAGGGGAAGCAGGGGAGCTGTGCAAGAAGCTAACACTCTTGGAACATTTGGGGCCCGAGTGTGTATCCTAGATATACTAAACATAAATCTAGTCTCCCATGGAAGTGGCCAGCTAGATGCACATGTGGTATACTAGATGTGGAAGGCATTTCTGCTAAGAACCTGGGAGTAGACAAAGCTGGGGCTTGGTGACCTCAGGAGGTAAAGCATTCATGAAGTACCTAGTAAGTGCTAAGCTAATATACAGTACAGAAGTATAGGAAATGGGCCAACACCTCAGACAGATTTGCCAGCTTAGTATCCTCTAAGCATTCTCAAATGTGCATTATGGATACTAAAAAACAAATCTACTCTTTAGAAGCTTGAATTTGCTTTTCCAATGAATTAATAGTAAACATACTGATTAATCCCCAGGCTAGCCCATACTTCCCTTTTTGAAGTAACCAACTATGATGTCTCCCAGCCAGTAATAAAACAATAAAGTAGAAAAGAACAGTAATAAAGAAGAAAAGCAGTCTTCTGGGAAATAATGTCCCAAGAAGGAATATGCCAGTCCTTGTAGGCTGTCCCTCCAGCTCTGTGCTCAAGGCTATCTGAGAATGGAGATCACAGAATCCAGACTATCTAATTTTTCAGAACAAAAGCTTTATGTTAAGCTCCAAGATTTTAAACACTGCCAAAAAAAAAAAAAAAAAACAAACAAACAAAAAAACCTTGTAAAGTCCACATACACCTACAAAACTTCCAGGGTGTTCATGGGTCCAATAATGAATGTGTAATGCCAGGGAGAACAAGTACTGCCAGAGAGGGATGCAACAAGAATAAGCTCCAAAAGAAAACCAACACACATATGTTGCCATTTGAAGAAAACAAAGGTAATCAAAGCTTTCAGATCCATCCCTGATGGATGCAGGTGGAATGCTGTATTAAAAGTATTTGTTAAGTAGACATGATTACCATTAAAGTAACGGTATTTGTAGCCCACCTTGACCAACTGGCAGTGCAGAGAGATCATGTTAGTACACTGGCTTTCTTTCCCACTGAGGGCTACTCCCCTGGATGTCCGTGGAAGGTCTGATCAGGGCTTTAGAGACAAGATTGGAAGAGATTATCATAATCTAACACCATCCAAGGCATAGGGCCCTCCACAGAAAACAGTGCAACCAAGTTGCTGTTTTGCCTCTTTGTGGTAACTCTGACCATTCTTTAGAGAACTTGGACAACTGTAGCACAGCAAAGAACAAACCTCATGTAGGTAAATATGAGCCTGTGGGTCTCTGGAGCCCCACAGAACAAGCTTGCTCTCCCCAAGTCTTTTGAGAGTGTATGGTAGGTAGCTTTTACAACCTAAAGATTTAAGGCTCAGCAAGAAGGTTGAGGGAACAAAAGGGAAATGAAAAACAAAGAGGGAAAAAGCTAGAGAGAAAAATTCAACTGATCAAAATTTATAAGCAAAAGGAGAGTTAAAGACACATAGTAACATTCATGAGAAAAGAGGTATAGCTGAGCGAAGCAGCATGGGAAATGAAAGGCCTGGTGCTCTTACTGAAAGGAGAAATAGGTCTGAGGCCAGCCACCAGGCTGCACCAGTAATCCAAGATCCATAGGTTAAAACGTGGAAACGGGAGAAAAAACTGCCTATGACTCACGTTCCTAAGTGCAGAACATTCTTCTGCTCACTGGGGGTGGAAAGGGGAGTTTTGTTTTTTTTCTTAAGGATCTGTTGGAAGACCACATATTCTAGATGTGACCTGCCTTCCATCCTCAGGTGCTACGCTACATGGATATTCTCCACATTGCTTTTGTTTTTACTTTTTACTGAGGTCACAATAATAGAAGTTTCTCATTTTAATATCCAATTTATCAGGCTGTTCCTTTATAGTGAGGGCTTCCTGTGCCATCTTTAAGAACTGTATGCCTATCCCAAGGTCATGAAGATACTATTAGCTTATACATGAAGCTTTAATATTCAGTGGTCTTGCTGAAATTTATTTTTTATATGGTCCAGATTCATTTCTTTCCTCAATCTTATCACACTGAACTAGCAGTGTTTACTAAAACAACTATCTATTCCCTACTCTCAGTAGTACATAAATCTCTTTGTCATAAATCAGGGGTCTCAACACGTGTGTGTCTACTTCTGGGCTTCCTACTCTTTCTTTTAGTCAAAAATAAAATAGAACCAGCATGATAGTGTAAACCTGTAATCCAGAGGGATCATAAGTTTAAGGCCTACCTATGCTACACAGCACTATGCTCAAAAAGGGAGGGGGCTCTGAATATTGACCAATGATAGAGTGCTTGCCTAGCATATGTAAAGCCCTAGGTTCAACCCCCAGCACTTCAAAGAGAGAAGGAAGTGGGGGAGAGGAAGGGGAGACATACTGCAGTAGAGGTCATTATAAAGCTTAAGCAAGCACAGACTGAAGAGTCAGTCCTATGAATTAAGCTTCACATGAACAGACATAATCTGAAAAGGAAAATAGGAAGAGCAGGTACAAACTATGAAAAGCACCATAAGGTAAAGAGGGAAGCAAGAAGAAAGGAAGAGGAAGAAAATGAGTCTTACTTAATGTGGGCAAAAACAGAAGGATTTAGAGTGCAGATTTAGAATTCTAGAGATAACTTGCACCCAAATCCCAATTAATTTATACTACTTAGCTGTGCAACCTAAGGCAAGTAACCTTGGTCTTTCTAAGTCTTGGTTTCCTAATCAGAAAAATGGATATCTATTCCATAGAACTGGAAAGCCTACGACTATAAGTATTCAAAAACTGCTTCTAATTACTAATAGTGATACCATGAAGACTGCTAGCCTATTGAAGCAATCCCGAATTTATACAAACATTTATTAAATACATAGTATTAAGTACAAAGACTGGTTAAAAATTCCTGACTCTCAAACGAAACAGATTTAAATCTGAATTCTTGTGCAGTGTCTTTACTAGTTATATAAACTTCAACAACTCAATTAACTTTCATGTACTTCCTGCTTCAATTTCATCTGTAGATCACTGGTTTTTCTTGGAGACAATACAAAATCACTCAGCTCAAAGCCCAACCCAAAGAAAGCAGTTCAACTGATCCTAGCTAACACTGTGGCAAGGAAAATAACAATGAAGATGATGATTTTATACATCTTACAACAAAAGCTACTCACTAGTTCTGCAATTCCTAGCATTCTCAAGTCTTCCATCCAAGTACTGACCAGGCACAAAACACCTTGTTTCTTATTTATGAGAATAGCTAGACAGGAGCAAGTGTGTTCGGGTCCAAAACAGGTGAGATTTGAAGACAAAAGGGCAAAAGAAGAGTGATGAATATGCAGAGTAGACATGCCAGGTTCTGAATTCACAACACAAATGAACTCAGCACACCCAGAGCCCCTTGTAGAATATGGAAAGGGCTATATCACAAGGAGGCATGTTTGGGGTAAGATCAGAACCAGGATAGCAGACACTGTGACCAATGTGCTCTGCTTTTAAGCAGGTACTTTCTTTTGGACAGATTGAATCATTCTGTCTCTTATACCAGAAATCTAGGCTCCAAAGTGTCCTGCCTAGGCTGCTTCACAGCACTTCATGTGAAAGTGAAAGAAGCCAAAGTATCTATGAAACCTAGGCCACTGATCATTAAACCTAAACTCCTGCCCTGCTCACTCCTTGGATGTAAGCAAAACCCTTTTTGGCAAGGTGACATGTACCTGCTGTCTTGATAATACCTGGGGGCCACTGACCTGCCCCTTGTCCAGGGACAAGGGCACAAAGTCTTGAGACTCCCTGTGGGTCTCTTGGCTGGCTGCTCTTAAAATCCTGGTTCTGTCAATGAATGGAAATAATCTGCAGATATTGAGCATGGCTGGGCCATGTGAACCAAAACTAGAGATCTGTAATCCTTTCCTCAACTGCGGACTACAGCCTGTGCCACAGAACAGACCAGGCTGCAGATATGAGGGTCTTGGACCTTAGGAGTACAGGTTGATGTTTCTAGGGCATGTAGAACCTGGACAAGTGAATACTCTCCAAACTATGCTGACTGATGTGACCATACAAGCTTAGTGACATGTAATTTTAAAATGGAGTCTCTTTCTTATTAAAGAACAAATCCTGCTTTGTTTCATTGGGTCAGATCTAGATATCAAGACTCATTAACACACAGGGCCCTAACTTTAGTTTTCATTTCCATACTGCTTTAGCCTTAATCCAGGGCAGCATGTCCAGACCCACAGCCTAAGACAGAGGAGGAGAGAACAAAGTTATCACATATGGTCAGGTCACAGGACCTGGCTTTCAATGACCAAGTGTTAGCTTGAAGAGCTAGATCAGAGATAAGAATTCCAGGGCCAAAGCCATCATCTAAAATATGATAGCACAATCATTTAGGACAGTACCCAGGATATATTTACATAATGATAATCATAATGTAAAATCTTATCAAAAGTACAGTTCCACAAAATGTGTGACAGTGTGAAGTATCTTCTAAAGTTTGGAGGGAGAGAGTTGTTGACCAGAGTAAGGAAATATCATGAATACACGCAGATGGAAAATAGAGTAATATTCTTCCAGGGAGTTCCACTCTCTAATGCCCTCTGGGATGTTATTCTCAAGCTAGGCTCTAGTATAACCCTATAAGGCCAATGTTCTCACCCCAAAGACAAGGCAGCAATGCCCAATGTACTTTGAAGACAAATCAGCTCACTTTAAACTTTCCAAACACCTTGCAAGGAGTATTCACCAACCTCCCTCGGAAAACTTCAACTCCTTTGGAGGCCAGGGTGAGCATTTAGAAATCAAGCAGGATCTACAGAATGACTACTCATTTATCCCAGTGAAATGCACAGTTAGCATAAGTACTGTGAGGAACTCTACCATGGCCAACAAGACCCCCAACAGCAGAGGCAGATGATAAGGGAAACCAAGTATAGACAGCTCTTTGGGCTCACCTGACCCCAGAATAAGATGGTTCAAGTTCTTTTGCATCTTCAGGTAAGCACCTGGACTCTACTGACTTGCACATTTCTGGGGCAGCAGAGCTAGAGAGGAAGCTGAGGACACGATCAAGAAGTTTCCATGGGTCTGACATGACATAAGCACCTCTGGAGCTTCTATGAGCCCAAAGTCATGAGGCAGGGGCTGGAAAAAAAGAAAGCAGAAGGTATTGAGATGCTAAGCCTGGGATTCACCAGCCTTCTTACCTAGAGAAGCCTTTACCTAAGAGCCACTGGATCCTCTTGCTCATAAAATCTTCCTAATCAAAACCATCACAATGACCCATAGCCACAAAACAGTAATCACAGTGAGATCCCCAAAAGCACCAACTACCATTCCTGCACTTAAGCACATTGATCTCCCATTCCCTTCCAAATGGCCTAGAGTGGCCTTTCAGTCAGAGCCTTCAGAATCCTAGGGTTTGGAGCTAAAGCTATAACTTCATAGTATAGTACTTGCCTAGCAAAATTGAGGCCCTTGGTTTAATGCACAAGACAAAAAAAAAAAAAAAAAAAAAAAAAAGGAAGGAAGGAAAGATGGAGAGAGAGAGAAAGGAAGAAAGAAAGAAAGAAAAGGAAAAAGAAGAATTCAGGGGTTTCAAAGGAATCCTCAATATCATCTGCCTTTACCTGGTACCTAGACAAGAAGAATTGGATTTGTATCCAACGTGGGAGATCTTAAGTAGATTACTAGTCTCGTGGCCTAACAAGCTCAGCACATCCTTCCCAGTGTTGTGATGCATCTATATAAGTAAAGAACTTAGTGTATTTGCTAAATATGTTTACCCAAATTGTTATTGTTGCTATAGCAAAACTGTAAGGTAGTCATTTGTTCATATGTGAACACTGTGAAATCTACAAAAGGAATGGCCACCTAACTCCCCAGTCATGGCTTTCACAGCTGCAAAAGTAGTGCCCTTCAAAATACACAGTAGCCGGGCGGTGGTGGCGCACGCCTTTAATCCCAGCACTCGGGAGGCAGAGCCAGGCGGATCTCTGTGAGTTTGAGGCCAGCCTGGGCTACCAAGTGAGTTACAGGAGAGGCGCAAAGCTACACAGAGAAACCCTGTCTCGAAAAACCAAAAAAAAAAACCAAAAAAAAAAAGAATCAAAATACACAGTAATGTGTTAGAACTCCCCTCATCTTCTCAGGCTTTCAAGAATTCTTGGCTAATCAGTACCCTCCCTTGAACTTCTAGTTTGACTTTTTCCCTCCGAACTGAGACTAAGAATAGGACAGACTTCTGAAATGGTCCAGGCACCTAAAGTCTCACAGATTCTGATCTTCAGAAGAGCTACTCTGTGGCTGCCTTGACTCTCCATTCTGACTCTATAACCCCATCTTTGCCCCCACTCCATCTCCTACTTAGTGGTATAGTATTTGACTAGCATACACAAAGTCCTAGGTTCAATCCTTAGGACCTCAAAAAAAAAAAAAAAAAAGGAAAGGAAAAGAAAAAAGAGAAAGCCATTATTGAAGTCTTCCTATATGTAGTGCACTCTGAGGTTACAAGCCTGCCATCTTCTCTAAATGCCAACAACACATGAAATCCAGAATTTGATAGTATACCATGTGTCCCATGGGGCTCAGCTGTTGCCTCCAGTGAGTGGGCTTTGCAAAGACAGGGTCCAGAAAAGCTTCAAAATTCTCAATCTTCCCAAAGCTAATTACTACAGGTCCTATCAGCACTTGCTACATGAGACCTCCCTGTCAAAAGGTCAACTCCTACATTCTACAACCCACTGGGAATAGCTCAAGAGCCATAGTTCCTTCCAGGCCATACTGGTCCTCTGAGGTTTCTGCTATTGTCCCCTTCCTTTGATCTGAACCTTTTTCTCTTCCAACTCTTGCTTCTAGAAAGGGTCACCAAGCAGTAGCAGAGGGACTAACCTATAATGCCACAAGCCCCAGCACTCAGCTCACCCTCTAGCAGATTCTGCTAAAATCAGCTTTTTTCCCCTAAGAATAGCACAAGCCTAACTCATCTCTGGGAGGTATCTTATTTGACTTCCTTTTCCTTTGCACCAGTTTGAGGCACAGGCACAAAAATCAGATGTCCTGTCACACTGATGAAAGACCAGGGTCAAACCAACCCTCACCCAGCAAATCGAACCCTAGAGATCCCAGTATCTCCCTGTGGCTACATACTATAGATTTCTGCTAAGGAGACAGTATAATGCTGGTCTTACCTCATAAGGTAGTAGATGAAGGGAAAGGAGCAAAGGAAAGCCATTAGTCTCATAAGACAGGTGGGAAGACAGAGCTTTACAGGCTGTTACATATCCTGGGTACACTGAAAGCCTATTACAAACACACACAGACCCAAGATCAAAAGGCAGCAAAACTCTCCACTTTTTTTGCCTCTGTCCTAGCATTTCAGAGCCCCAAGTGGAAGCTCAGGCCCTTCTGACATTTGGAAGGTAAAGTGACCACACAGGACAATGTCCAAGGTCGTCCCTCAGAGATGACTGTATGTAGGTGCCAGCTCTGATGAACTGGTGAGCTCTAAGTACTTTGAATACCTAAGACAAAGCCAGGCATGGTGTTTGTTAGTGCTGCTACTGAATCCAGGACAGGAGTGAAAAGAGAATCAAAATTAAATATAAGATATGGTTCATAACCAAAGGCATTCCTAAAATAGCTTCTAGAGCTAACATGATTTAGGAACAGTTATAAAACAATCTCACTGCTGAGATGCTTCTCATGAACCTGAACTGTGTCTTATAGCCCCCAATGCTACCAAGTAGGCCACATCTATCTCCAGAAACCATCTGCTATGTAAATGGACCAATGAACACAGGAATGAGAACATAAGACAGTTTCTTTAGGGCTTACCTACAAATATTATTTTCAGAATTATAAAATGCCAAGATACTACTGACTAGCCGCTTCCAACCTATAAGCTACACCTTTGTATGAAAAATGTGTTCCAGCAAGCTGCCCTAGCATATCACTGTCCCAAGACTGAACAACTTGTCTCCTTTCTCATTCATAGAGAACCAGGTAAGAAGTTAAAATAAAATGGCAAGAACCCTGAGTAAGCCTTGTGCCTTAGACAAGAAAATGAAGAAAAGTTTCACCATGGAATGTTCCCTGCTCTCAGTGATTTGGAGCCTGCTTAGGCCCAGGTTATCTCTCAGACACAGCCATGTCCCTGAGGCCTGCAGAAGGACCATGGGCAGAAGCTGCCTTTCTCATAATCCTCTTTGCTGGCCCACAACCCTGTACCTCACTGATACCAGCACTAGGAATGTGGAATAATAGAAGTCTATTGGTCTAGAGACCTTTCTAGGGATCCAACTTCGTCTCAGGGCCCTTGGACATGGATTCTGTCTTTGCCCCTCTCCTAGCAGGGCCTTTAAATAAGGTCAAGTCCCTAAACTTGCTCCCCATGCTTTTTACCTACCCAAAGAGCAGCCTCCTCATCATGAACATGACTTCATGACTCACTCCACATTGGGCTTGCTGCAAACCCTTGCCACCTCATGCAGCTAGTCCTACTAAACAGGTCAGAACTGAGCCTGTCATGGAGGCACAGTTAGCAATCAATAGACAGTCACTTCACAAGATTGCACACATAAATGACATTCCTGCCTCTCAGGAGAGCTCCCCAAGCCTACCCTTCCCTAATGAACTGCTCCCCATCTACATACCTTATAACCCCTGGTGTGCATCAGTACTAAACACACACACACACCAAAATAAAACCAATGCCTCTGAACCTTTCTTTTACTATATTATAATTTTAAATAATTTTTCCTTGCTATTAACTTAAACTAGTATATAAAATACTTTCATGGCAAATCACCTGATTTACTCTCTTAAGGAGGTCTTGTGAAATACATAAATATTAAATTTGCCAGTTTACAAATAAGTAAATGGGAAAAACAAGATCAGCTAAAATAGCTTACGTTCCATAATAAACTTAACCCGAGACTTCCAAATCTAAATCGTCCTCTCTGACACCCATGGTATGAAGACTGGGGTGGTAAGTAGGCTCAGAAATCAGGAGACTCACATTAGCTGAGGGACATGAAGCCATCTACAAGATCTTTATCCATGAAGCAGCACTAGTAAGATCTGTGGCATGCAGCCACTGTGAAAGGCTAATATGTAGGTGAGATATCTATGCACAGTGCTTGGCATGGTGCCCAGCCTATAATAATAAACGTTTAATAAATGTCTGTTCTCATCACACACCACTGCTTAAGCAGGAGGAATGGTGTTCTCAAACTCTGTGTGCCAATTATAGAAGGTTTCCTGTATGTGGGAGATGCTAATTAAAGGCTAACAGAAACTTTTTATATTCCGATATATCTTTTTAAGATAAATCCTTATTTTTCTGTTTACCTCCAAACAACTGTGGTCAGAGCCACAAGACATGAGGATAGAACCCAGTGCCACAGGTAGGTGGTATGACCACTACACAGTGTCACAGCAGCCAGTAGAAGCTGGCCACAGCTACCACAAGGATATAGAATGCCCCCTGAATTTAATGCATTGTAGAACCAGTGAGACAAGCAAAAGCTGAGAGCGCTGTGGCCAGGCAGAAACAAAATGGACACCCAGGCAGGAGTGTTTTCCAAGCAGTGTCTCCGTAGGATGATTCTTCTCCAATTCTGTCTCATATCACCCTCCTCAGGGATCTAGGGTGCTGCTCCTGGAGCTTGGGAACAGGCTTGTCCTTGGTGAGAATAACAAACAAAAGCACATGGCTTACTTCCAGATGCCTCACTGTTTCTCACTTAAGATGAAAATAAAAAAATACAGAGAGGCTGGAGAGCGAGAGGGATTGAAGTCGCACTGGGTCTGTGATACAAAGACTCATGCAGCTTGGAAACTTGGGAACACATGCAAGGTATATCTGAGTAAGACACAGACAGACAAATATCAGGCCTGGGTATAGTCAGGGCTGGACATGGGAAGGTCACAATTTGACGACTGATTTCTTCTAGCACTGAGCTAAGGAGGAGGGAGAGCAAATGCAGGCAGAACGTTCCTGCCCACACAACTTGTAACTTGCAGCCATGTGTCGCAGAACCCTCCCAACCACCTTGTTACGGCCAGGCTCTCTCCTCCAACCCAGTCTAGAAACTTCTATCAGCATCTTTTCTAAACTGTGACCCTTCACATCTATCCTGTAC